CCGCTTCCTGGAGTTGTAAACAATCTCTGTGTAGGTTCTGGGACAGCCACTGTTTGAAATTGGCGATCTCATGGTTACCTAAGTATTATTAAGATGAGACGCATTCACTCAACATACACTGCAAGACTAACATACCTTCATACCGCCCATTGGAGAGCTTGCCCATTACTGCAGGAGCTGCTTTGTTCGCAATTGCCCGGTAATACGTATAGATCTTGGGAGCATTGAAGCGTAACACTTTGCTCGTCAAAAGTCGCAGGGCCGCTTTGCCATCCTCACTGCTCAGTTGAGCCGATGGGTTTCTTGCCAGCCATTGGACAATTATCAAGATATCGTGAACGAATCTGACAACTGAATCCTCTACATCTTTGTTGGCTGCCAACAAAACCACTATTTCTTCAGGTCTCTTTTCCAACGCGACCGCAGTAACATAAGCAGGTTCCTTCTTGTATGCGCAGGCGTAGGCAAGTGCATCCACGAAGGACCTATGACTCTTTATAGCGTTGAAACCAGAATCATCCTGCGGTATATTGAAGGGCTTGATGCGGCTGCCTCTAACTTCCCCCAAAGTCATGAGTAGCGAAAGAGGTTCATATAGAAGTCGGAGCCGGGGTATCGGATGCGACATTAAAGGGTCGCCTGGAGGATCTTGGTCCATTTTCGCAACTGAAATGGCTAAGCGGTCTTGCTTGGTAACAAAAGCTCCCTGGGCTGAAAACAAAAAGAGAGATGATAGAGATGATACGCTGGAAACGGGATGAGACATGGTAGATATAGATGATGCTCATGGGAAGTCGTTGAGGCACAGCCAAAATAAGTTCAGCCTTGCATCAGATAATTCGTTTAGGGGTAACAAGGAGCAAGGACCCTGGCACAATTGGGTGGGATTGTCTCTAGGCAGCTCAGATTTACCAACCCTTGGTTGCTTGTGCGTACATACGTGAGTGTTTAGTATCTTTAGTCTGGTCTGGTTGTCCGGCATTGTGGTATTTTTTGGGCAGCCTTGCATCTTACATCATGCAGCAGTGTCAAAAAGAAGCATAATATGAAGATGAAAAGCATGTAGAAGGCTCTCATTAGAAATCTCCTACCTGTACATTGGAAAAGAAGAGCGGGGTTGAACGACCACGATATTTCACCATCGTCCCCTCAAGTCATCAATCCGTGTTACTGCCCTATCACACGTAAAATGTTCATTTTGCTGCTAAGGTTACTGTTTCTCCATTTCTAGCCAAGGCACTATTGGGATACTATGGAGTACTGAACAGTCGCCCATCCGCAGTGGGGCAAATCCTGGAATTAGATATTCAAAAGAATGGAGGAGGAATTTTGTCCATGGCAATCCTTCCCGTACAAGAACCTCTATACGGACCCTTGCTTTCTGACTCACCCGCAGGATTGAACCCACGTTAGTGTAAATTTTGAGAAACAATAAGAATCGTGCCAATACTTGGGCCAATTCCATTGACTACCACGATTAACACGTCATTGATAGATGCGTGAGTCACCTATCTGCAAATATGCTCTTCAATGGCTTCGGCACAATCACCATAGAGAAACTCTGTACCAGGCTTAGCATGAGTCATACCGAGTAGATTGCAAGTGCACGGATCAGGATAAGAAATACGGTTGTATATTGAGGCATAAGAAGGCTGCGTGCCGAGACTACCAAAACAAGACCCCTAAGCTTAGATCCCTGAACTTCATGTATCACAATTGTAGTATAGTTTACTAGGCAAAACTTGCTCGCATCGAATGTTCAGCTTGCTGATTGGGTTTCGAACCTAGCCTGTTGTGTGAATGAGGCTAATAGTTTATATCGCCCTCCCTCAGTCGCTCCAGCATGGAGAAGGCCCGTGTTCTTCAGTTGCATTAGTGGATACTGGTGGGTTTCAGAACGCGGCGCTGACAGATAGGGAAAACGCGAGGCTGTCGAATAGGGCAAGAACGCCAGTCGAGGAGGGCGGCGGATCGATAACACTCGAGCGAGTCTAAATACTTTAGCGGCGAATATACGCAGGCTACCCACAGGTTCKATTGACGATATCATTCGTTCGTATATACCATGGCCAGTCGGGCCGGCTGGCGATCGCCTTACTCAAAGTGGAGTCCCAGGACAGGACGCTCGAGGCAGATGAGATTGCTGGCATCTACCACCACCCATTACTACGCCGGGAAGACTGAACTGGATGAACTCAAGCTGCCGCAGAATGAAACCAAGAGAAAGGCGGCAACGATGTTCGATCCACTAACATCATCGATGGAGCGTGAAATCCATGGTGGCCGAACACTGCCACCGCGAAGGACTACAAGCACGACATCTTCATACACACGAACTGATACCTTAGAAGCCCCATGGACCTTGAACACGAGCGTGACATTGGCGTCAGCATCCAACCGGAAGAAGTGTCCGGGGCATGGTGGCTAACCCCAACATGCAGGCTCCCTCGTTTCCTAAGAGGTCTGTCGAGGGGAGGAAGATGTATCAAATGTGGCGGGCACCTCGCGGCCAGCTGGCAACCAGAGAGGTCTGAGCGTTGCGAAGCGAGCGCAAGCCATGTAACAACTTGTGCCCTTTTCTATTGGCTAGAACCACGGCCAAGATAGCCTTGCTCGCAGGTTAACTAACCAGTAGCGCTCAGCACTAAAGATATGCATGCTGTGGACGACTGCTTCCGCATTATGGAGCGGAACATCTGCATAATGCCCGCGTCTACCTCCACTTTTCATGCCCCGTACAGCTAGATGGTTTGTGCTTGTCGTGTACCTCCAGGGATCTTGGCATATGAATTTAGCAAAAGCCATAACTGATAGAGTGACTTCTCCAGCCCGATTATGAAGGTTGGGCTCCCTTGACCCACTCCCACTCCTTAGGCCATAGCCAAAGCTGCGACGTGTCCATGACAGTCAAAGAAAATGAATCAACACACTTAACCTACGAAATGATGATGATAGGTACTAGCGCACTCTACATGCATACATCAGATAGAAATGACTACAAGGGTGTTTGGCCGAGTATGACATAGGATTGGAACAGCGTCTAGATAAATACTCAGACACCATTCCGCGCAAGCATTAGAGCAGGAGTTATATTGAAAGAAAGAAGTATATGCATTTACCAAAAGAAGATTGATCAGCTTGAACTTATACATCTTTATTATTGTCAAGATGTCACCGAGGCTAGTGCAACCGGACTGCTACACCAATACCGGTAGATATAGTCAGGCAGCTGTGGAATAATAGTTACTGATCTGTACTTCAGATTATGAGATTGGCAAGCGGCTCTTCAACGTTTATATGGCATTAATGATGGTTCAATCCTCGCCTGGCGGCAGAACAGGTGAATCCTTAGTATGTTTGCATTCTTCGTTCTTCTCATCGCAAATCTGAATCATGGATCGCTGACGCTGCTCCAGGTTGAAGCAGACCGCTTCATCGAGTCGAAGGCCTTTAATTTCGAGGCAGCGATGGCAGCCATAAAGGGCTTGAATCTAGATTTACCCCGCACGGACATAATCAATGATGAGAGCGTTGAAGACTACATTTACAAGATTCTCGGATTCGTCAGATTGGCCAACAACAGGGAAGACTTTATTCTTCTGTTGGCAAAACTCCAATTGCAAATCCCAACTTGTTCAGCCGACACAGGAATATCTGCAACTGCCTATCAACAGTCAACGTTGGAGGAAAGGGCAGGGCGTTATATCAGTCTTGCGCCTACCCAGTGTTCTTCTAACTCAAACCAGGGCCCTGAAATCTGGAAATATACGTCTCTTTTATGGGAGGAAGCCGTAAATCACGGTGTGACGCCCGATATCAAAGAAACTTGCCTCAGCAGTTATCCACCCAAGTTTCGAATCACTATTTCTTGCATGGGAGCACAATCTTCGGGTGAGGGCAAAACCAAGAAGCTGGCGAAACACATTGCAGCAAAAGGTATTTGCCAAAAGCTTGGGCTCCAGCCATGTTGATGGTGAAGGCAAATTCAATACATGTCTGTATGGAATACAGCACCCATGAGATTACGCTTCTGTATCAATGCAAGCGTCGCACGAAGTCATAAAAAGTCTCACATACGATTTGTTCCCTCCATATAAGCATCAACAAGATATCCGTAGAGCTATAGAAGAACTAGGTTTGGATCAGATGCAGTCTCATGACTATAATACTATGTATGTTGTCCGGCGGCCTTATTAAAGTAACCACATAGCAACTCTGTCGGTTTCAGATGATTACTGGGTAAGATAAGAAGCAAGGCATATAGATTCAGACAAACAAAAAGGTTCTCGAACACGTGAAACTACACCCACACTAATACGAGGGGCCTCTACGTAGGGAGTAGCACCCTGAGGGACGAGATGCGTGGCCGCGGGGAATCACGGCCAGCAGAAAGGCATGGAAGAGATGACAGAGGGTCATATAGCCAATCTACCACGGCAGTAATAGACACCTAATCCCATATGTACCCGTTGAATTAGAAATCCTGCAGCGTAGAATCTTGATTATCCATGCAGCCTTTACGAAATACCTCATAGATCATCCCTGGAGCCCGTTTTCCGAACGGCATCCTCTCGGCCCTCATGTGGTACCTGATTCGAAGATACCTCGTAAGAGGACTCACGAAGGACTATTAGAAGTTTTCTTAAAAAGCTTGTTGGAGATTTTCTGGGAGCCTATGATACACCATCACTGTCAACACTACGGATATCTTCCAGTAGCCCCACGCACAAATATGTATTATGCCTTGGGCATTAGACAGAAAGCTTCAAAAGCGGTGAAGATTCTGCTTGTTATAAGGCCAAGCCTAATCTAATTACGCAAGGAAAGTATGGAATCGGCGTGAGAGTAACAGACGCCTATGTGTAGGTAGTCTGGCCGGTGTGGTCGTAGCTCCTGCCTTTAGAGTTTACGAGGAAAACATTAATAGGAAAGTAACCAAGAACAGAGATTGTTTCTAACCAAGCGGGCTAAGTGATCCGATAGTATAGTTGTCATTAAAACTACGATGTCTCGGAGGTAGCCAACCCCTTGCGCAGGAGACGGACAGCCGTTTCAGCTGCCTGCGCTGTGATTGCGACAGGATTTGTTTGGCCTTCTACCGAGGTAATTTCACAGCAATCAGCCAGAACACAACAACGCAGTGTCGTGGACTTTTCTTCGTCAACGCAGATTCGATAAGAAATTTTGCGTCCCGAAAGAATGGCCTGTAGAGTGTCTTTTGGGTGGTCTGTCGTAATTCCATGGGAGATGAAATGCTCCAAAAGCGGCAGGATTCCGAGTTTCTCTGCCAGGGCCTCACAGGACGCTAGGGTTGCTTGGGAATCGATATAGACAGCACCAAAAATGCTCTGAATGGTATCAGACAACACTTGCATGTCCCCAAGCGCGCTCAGCCGCACCCATGGGTATAATCGCTGCTCCAATAGTCCATGCTTGATAGCATTTACCTGCTCGGACGCATTTTGGACAAAGGCTGATAATTTGGTAGGCAATGCATCGCTATGCGAGCGCAGAAAATCCCAGAGCCTGACTGAACATGTCCTCACGGTTACATGAGCCTTGTTCTCATCATCAACATAAACATGATTTTGCTCCCTTTCTTGATGGAATGTGATTGCTACGAAGGTCAAAAATGTGTTGTTGGTGAACGCCGATTTCAAGGACTGCATCCTTTTTGGATTCATCAGTTCATCCCGTCGATGCAGGTAGCTCACGACAACCCACTCTAGCACGCTGGCTCCGAGAAATGAGAGCCGCCGATATGATGTTGTTTCAGAGAGACCAGTGCAAGAAGGATGCGTCATGCTTTCCACAGCCAGGCTTTTGTCGGTAAAACTGTATCCAAGAAGTTGTTCCATGTCGATCACTGCTGTTGGAGCGACTGCATTGGTCGGTCTCGTCCTTGAATAAGTACCATCATGTAAAGATGACGCATTCCAGGACTTGACTTTGGGAACCGTCACTGATATGCATGTAGCAGCCTGGTCCATTCCACTATCTAAGAAGGCAGCCCCAACAAGTGCTTTGGTCATATCCGCCAGTGTAGCCGCACCGATATGTCGCTGCTTGGCTCCATTGCTGACGGGTTCTAACCCTGACACGAATGACGGCATCCATCGTTTCCCGTTGAGCTGATTGGTTATGAGGAATTCTCCCAGCCCAGATTGATATGCAGCATGTGCAAGCCCTGCATCAGACAGAATCTTCTGCTTTAGCAATGACAAAAGACCTTCATGCCACAAATGATGGTGCAAAAACAGTTGCATTGCTAGGAGATACTTGATAATTGCATCACCAATAAAGGCCATTGAGCGGAACTTGGCCTGATGCTCAATACTCGTAGGCCTGATAGCAATGGCTAGTAAATCAATCCGTTGAAAGTTCGTCGCCGAACCTAGAAATAATCGGTGTCGTAATTTTTGCGCTGTCAGATATACCCCCACCTCATGAGATATGCTTGGTGTAAGAAGAGCGGCCAGGGCAAACATAGAAGGGAGCTTGTCAACCGAGAAATCTCGCACAGACATGACCTTGACATTGGCTTTAAGGTCAAACTTTGGTTCGGCTTTCTTTGATTTCTTAGCAGCCATATTTCCTTTATGGAGGAAGTTTCGACGTCTGGTCATATGCTTGATCTTGGCTTCGACGGACAAAGTGGACTGGGGGTCATCGGATACGAAGTACTCTCCTTCTACCCACGACTCTATTACAAGTGGTCGACAGGGTTTCGTAGTATTGCGTAGCAGTCCATGAGCACTCGGCGTAACATGCTTTGCCAGAAGCTTGGTCAAGCTGACTGTCCCCGAATACCTCTCGAGAAAGTCTATTATCGTCTTCTCTTCAGGTTCTGGGACAAGAAGAAACACGTAGTCCATATTTTCGCTAGAACACCGGTCTCGGTATACCGATTGGAAGATCAGGTTTGTCACCTGCTGGCAAAGTGCAACATCTGTAGTGATTGGATGCCCTGGCGTGAGAATGGCCGTATATGTCGTGCAACAATCAATAAACAAGGGAATGCGAATTGTTGTGTCAAGCCGAGTGGGAAGGATCATATGTAGATTGATTTCATCCTCTTCTGGCCTTATTATCCGCAGCTTATGAGAATACAGCTGACTGTCAAGGTTCCATAGATGAGCAATGTCGTGCCAAGGATCCAGCTGTTTTTGAATACTGTAGTGAGACCGAGGCAAAAGATTTCTATCTAAAATGTCTGAGACCTGAGTCGGAAGTAGGTGATCATTGACAAGACCAGCCCGGAAAAGAGCTTCGTACGCTTTCAGTGCTGCGTCCTCCCTTGCGTACTTTGCTCTTGACCAACTTCTTGAACTAGCAAATGTCTGTAGGGTAGGGTCGAGATTGCTAGGCAATCTGACCACTGCCTTGACTCGGCCGCAATCATTGGGCTCAAAAGTGAACAGGGGCTTGTTGCTGACATACGGCTGAGCGGGTAACTTAGAGCAAAAGTTATACAAATGGCTGATCGCTTCCCGCATTGTCAATTGAGCCCTAACAAAGTCAGGATTTTTTGATAATGAGAATATAGTGCAACTGTACCTACCCGGTACTGTCAATATGAAGAGAGAGCGAACTTCGCGTGTACTTATCAAAGTCCATCTCATTGGCTGGTATTTGTCTTCGCTCAGCATCCTGGAATCTTTGAACTAGCTCAGTTTCCTCCGTCTCGAGTCGTTTCAAGTCTCTTATGCCGCTTTCGTCTTCCATTATGATAATAAACTGAGCATTCTCCCTTCGTGCCCGTCCTCGGCGCTGAATGAAGGATTTCAAGTTTAGAGGACAGTTGAAGTTCAGCACTACATTACACGCTGGTATATCAATGCCTTCTTCCAGAGCATCGGTGGTTATGATTAGGTTTACAGAGCCTTGGCGGAATTTCTCCAGCGTTTCCGTCTGATTTCGGATGTCATGTAGATCTCCAAGCTCTGTTTTGCTGTGCTGTATCGTTGACATACCAATGAATGTACCACAACGAAATAGGTGGCTCGTACGTGGATGGTTTTCTATCAGCCATCTCAATGCAAGTACAGTCGCTCGCTGAGTGACAAATACCAGACCACAAAATGCTTTGCTGTATGCTTCTGAAAGTTCGTCCAATAAACACCGACACATTGGTGAGATGGCTTCTGGTTGCATCGCCGGGATACAATCCTGCAATTCGCCCAATTTAGTAAGCGTTTCCATTGCGTAGTCTTTCCCACGACTGGAAACGTTGGTCTTCTCAGCGCCCATTCGCATGCCTTCTTTGAAATGCATGATCGATTTTTGCATGTACACTGTGGCGGCCCAATTCCCAAGCTCCTGGTTAACCATTTCTGAATATCGTATGAAGCGTGCGATTTGTTTTGATTCCTTGCTCTTCATTTTCAGCGAACTTGGCACTCCATTTTCAGAGGACAACAAGCCACATAACTTTTCCAGTATTGGTGGCTTGGTCGTACTCTTGGGAACTGTATGAGAAGGTAGGCGCGGCAAAATGAGAGCACGGTTAGTGAATTGCAGGAGCTGCGCATAGTACTGGCGAGGGGTCTTGCATATACTGCACAGGTTTCTTTCCACTTTCCTTGAGAATGATAAATCAGAACACATGAATAGGATGCATTGAAATGACAGCTAATACATACTGCAGAGCAGACAAGTCGGATAGGATAGGAGAAGCAGTGAGACCCAGTATCTTCGGTAGATTCGTTACACCCTGTTGGTGTTGTTTGTGATAGAAGACCTGCATTATCTTATTCGCAACGTGATCCTTTGTACAGTGATGGGCTAACTGTGATGTCAGTTCTTGTTCAATACTTGAATAAGTTTTTCTCCCTCAGACTTGCCTTCATCGAATATGAGTAAAGACAGTTTGCCCATCTTGACAAACCCATGGGAGAGTGCGTCATACAAAACCTGGTAGGTTGAAACTGCAATTTTGACTCCCGACAAAGCACTATCCCATATTGTCTTTTCACCCCAGTGATCCACCCCATCCCTGCTGGTGAAGCCTTTGCACCACATAGAAGGAACAAGACTATGTATTGTATGCGTATGCTGCTCACATAAAGCAACTGTTGGACAAAGTAGCCATGCGAGCTAGCATTTGTTAGCCATGACACATCTAAAGTCAGTGACCGTATGTGCCTTATCTGAGCTTCCTTTGTTTATATCCGCAAGAATTCGTAGTATAGCACTGTTTTTTGTATCAGCAATAGGAGTAAGATTCTAGTAGAATCCCTTTTTTACATTTGTGTTTTCCCGGTACCCGTTGGCATCTTTCTATGTGTCAATATCTACTATTCTCTGAGGTGGGCGACCATACCACAACAATAACATTTTGTTTCAAACTCTCATTCAGCATTTCCAATTGGTATTCTCGGGCTCTAAGCCCTCTAGTCTCTGCAATCACCAGAGTAGTATCTGTGTGGCAATTGGTAGGTGAAGTCATTTTCGGATGTGAGAAGATAACTACGCCTTTCTTGCGCCTTTCTTTTAGGGAATCCGAGAGATACAAATATATCGATAGTTGCCGACGCTTACATATGAGGCCGGTTTACCCCTCAAAAAAGGTTGCGCATCACTGCCCAACAAATCAGAATGCTGAGGACGTGGACCAATTATGCCCAAACACAATTCGAGCTGTGCTTTCGTCGCGTAGCCCAGCAGAAGTTCGTAGGGTACATAATCTAGCCTTGCATAGATAGTTAAAGAAGATGCACAAAATACGCCCGTCTGCAAGGCCAATATTGCCAGTCTGCCAGTGCTGTAAACTCGCATCTTCGGTTATCCAGGGAGAGTCGGCCTCAACGTTGAACCGGCTATGGCTGGGCGGGCTGCCTCTGGGAGACCCCTCCACGCTATGTGGTTCACGTATCCTAATCTGTAATAATCGAGGGTTACTTGGATCGTTAGAAACTCTACGTCATACAAGAAAAGAAAACTCTCCAGTCTGTACTACTTTTCTCTATAGTAAATAAGTTATTTTGAAGCCGGCCCTTGTGACTCCGGAGTCGGCCTCCGTTGACCAGTATGCCGTGGAAGGGTAGTCACCAGCGACGAATACCCGGCCAAGCAGAAAGTTTAGGTAGTTCCCTTTTACTGATATTTATCGTGCACTGTTTGATCTATTCCTAATAGAATCTGTTCATGTTGCTGATAGCACCTATAACTGATTCAAGGATGACCAAAATTCTATAGAAATTAAGCTACGAAATCCTATTTGTACTAGAACTGGATTATTCGACCAACCTAACCCGCTGGGTTTCGGCCCTAGACTTGCAGCTTCATTAGTAGTTTACTAAAATAACTAAGACACCGAAATACCATATATGCAGTGTAATAACCTCCCAGTATTACTAATTACTGCTAACGATCAAATCAGCCGCCCGCTCCGCAACCGCATAAACCGTCGCCTGGATATTCCCAGCCGGCTCCAGAGGAAAGACACTCGCATCGACAATCCTCAGATTGCAAGTCCCATACACCTTGAGCTGATCATCAACAACACCCCCCATCTCCCGCGGTAACATGGCACACGATCCCGCAGGGTGGAAGCACGTGAACAGGCGTTCCTTGACTACCTCCTTTGCTCGGTCCAGATCGCTCAAGTCACTGGTGTTCTCCGGTATCCGCCGTTCCTTGAGCATGGATTTGAACGGCTCCGTAGCGACAATCCTGTCGAGGAATTGCGTGTGTCGAGCAAGGATCTCCAAATCCAGCGGGTGAGACAGAAACTTTGGATCGTAGATCGGTTTGTCCTCCGCCTTGGAAGACGAGATATGCACCGATCCCCGCGAGAAAGGATGGTTGTGTAGGATCATGATGCTGATATAGTTCTCCGGCAGGGGCTTAGCCAGGACGTCGGCCATGCTCGTCGCGCCGGGTTTCAGGTGCAGCTGCGCGGGCAGCAAAAAGTACTGCGAGGAGGCCGTATCGTTGTCCAGGAGCCTTTTCCGCAGGTTCGCGTATTGCTCTTGTAGATTTGGCGGGACTTGCGCGCTGTCCAGATACTTCGCGAGCAGGTCCTCGACTTCCTGTCGCGGGACTACGCCCCGGCCATCGACGAAGGGGAGGTAGGCCACGCTGATGGGCATGCCTGCCAGTGGGCCGCCGCGGGTCTCCTCGTAGAGCTTGATGAGGGCCTGCACCACGTCTGGATCGCGGAGAATGTCGCCCGAGACCTGGCCGTCGGCGATCTCGAAGCTGATGCTGCTTATACAGTGGTCTTGGAGGTTCTCGCCGACGCCTGGGTTGTTGATCACCACGGGGATGCCGTGCTTTTGTAGGAGTTCTGCGCTTCCGATGCCGGAGAGTTCGAGGACCTGAGGGGTGTTCAAGCTGCCGGCGCAGAGGATGACTTCTTTCTTGGCGAGGATTTCCCTACTGCCGTCCTTGTTCCTGACCTGCACGCCGGTGGCGACGACCTCTCCGTCCTGCTTGGTCAACCGCACCCGCTCGACCATGGTCTCTGCCAGGAGGCGCAGGTTCGGCCGTGCGGCCACCTCAGGGGAGTAATATGCCGCTGCATATCCCCGCTTCCCTGTCTTTGCGTCGACGGTCAACGGCGCGGTGAACGCTCCCAACTTGCGACCTGCGATGGGATCCGCATCAGTGCGCCAACCAAGCTGTGCAAATGTCTCGTCCCAGGCTTTGTTGAATGGCCCATATACGTCGGGCAGGGAAACAGGCACGGGACCATCACACCCCTGGTTGCTGGCATTCATGTAGCGATCGACACTGAGGAGTTCGGCCGTCGTCTCGCTCGGCGGGGAGAACGTGTGGAATTTCCGCAGGTACGGCGCCATATCCTCTGCGCCCCAGCCTTTATTTCCCAGCGCCTTCCATGCCTCAAAGTCCGATGCGGGAGGGTACATGACGACCGAGAAGTTCAAGGCCGAGGAACCGCCGACGACGCGGCCGCGGGGCTGCGCGATTTGTCGGTTGTTGACATGGGGCTATACGATCAGCATTATTGACATGAATGAAGAAGTGGCATGAAGGTGATACCTGAGGGACACTCATATAATCCCAATCAAAGTCTGGGTTTCCGTATAACGTGCCCAAAAAGCCAGGGGTATCGATACGGGGATCGCCCATGCGGTTGGCCCCGGCTTCGATGAGAAGGACGTTGACGGAGGCATCTGCGCTGAGGCGGTTGGCCAGAACAAGGCCGCCGATGCCTGCGCCGACAATGATGTAGTCGTACTCGTCCATTGTCTTGTTCAGTCTGAGGCAGCTGCTGCGGTTGCGAGTTGTGTTTCTGGACAGGTTGAGGGGTAAAAGGTAAGACTGTCAGGCAACCAGGAGTGGATCGACGCGGATCAAATCCCGACGTACAATGGGGCCAAAATAAACTGTCAAATACGGGGCGCCTCGTTCATGGTTAGTTAGTCTACCCCTCTCCCAGTCTGAAAGCTAATTCACGCCCCATTCGTGTCTCTTCCAATGGCTTTCTACCCGAATCCCCACAACTTCGCGCCGGCCCATCATTCGCGCGCCGCCGTTAGACTAAAGTAGTAGTCTGAGACTTCGCCCGTCCTCATCGGCAGGAGGCCAGCCGCTTGTTGGCTGAGCGCGGACGAAGATTGGTCTCGACGACTCGATGGCTGCACAGAGCAGGACAATGGCTGTCCATTTACCAGAATACGAATTCCGCCCCATTTTTAGGGCAAGTCGGAAATTATGTATCGTGTGTGGCGCGCTAGTCTCGTACCTGTCTGAAGCTTGGCTCGTGATAATTGTCTCCTCAGAATTCAGGATCTCAGAGCCCCTATAAAGGACTTGCTTGAGGACTTTGCAATTGTCCACCACGCCGGCGCTGGCGAGACGAAATGGTGCACCTGTACGATGCCTTTGCCTTTCCCATCGTGCGGGACCAGCTCATCGCCAACACGGTGCTGGTAGCCTTCGCAACGCTTGCTCTGGTCCTCCGGTTTGTCTCGCGACATATCCGGCAGAGTAACATCTGGTGGGACGATGGCTGCTGTGTAGGCTCMATGCTGCACACATACGGCATGCTGGCAATGCACTACCACTACGCTCGCGTCGGGATGCGCAACCACGCCACAGAAATCCCCGGGGAAAACGTGGTGGCCATCTTCAAGATGCTGATCGTCTACCAAGTCGTCTACTACAACGCCATGGTTCTCGCCAAACTGAGCTACCTCTTCTTCTACCTGCGCATCTTCGTGACCAAGGGCTTCCGCATCGCGGCCTGGGTGTGCATGGGCTGTGCCTGTGCCTACTGGGCTGGCAGCATGCTTCAGATCTTCCTCATCTGCCAGCCCTTCGAGAGGAACTGGAACCCGACGCTACACGGCCACTGCGCAAGCCAGAACGTGGCGTTCTCGACTATCGGCGCCTTTAATCTCATGACGGATGTCATGATTATGGTGCTCCCGCTGCATTTTATTTGGAAGTTGCAGATGAGCACAGCGACCAAGCTTGCACTCTACGGTATCTTCGGAATGGGCCTTTTGTACGTCCTTCCTTTTCAACTAGGTACCTAAACACACTGAGGCTAATAGAGGCTAGTATCTCCGCTATAACAATCATCCGCATCCGCGTCCTCACGACCGTTGACTTCCTCGATCTCCCTTATTCGATGATCTGGGCTGCCTTTTGGAGCGTCACTGAGCCGGCTCTGGCGAACTTGAATGCGTGCGTGCCAATGCTGCGGCCCGTCTTCAAGGCGGCCTTCCCGACACTGTTTGCCAGCCGCAAGACCGGATACTCAACGCAGCCGGCGTCTGGTGGTTCAGGGATCAAGAACAAGGCTTTTAAGCGGATGAATGATGTCGGGAGCGAGTTTCAGCTTACGCAGTTGGAGGAGCCGGTTAGAACGAGCCGGGAGGGGAAATCAGAACATGGAGACGACAGGTCCCAGGACGATCGGTCACAGGATGGTCGATCGCAGGACGAGTCGACGCATGTGCCCAGGAGTGTAATTGTGACGAAGCCTTGGTCTTAGTATGTAATATATGAGTCTTATTTAATTGATGGCGGAACTATTGCTTGGGGCACCGTATCCACCCTTCATCAACGGACTAGTCATTATCTCCTCCCAGTGATGATATGCGTACATCTGCTCCGCCGACAAGTCTATATCCCGCTTGCCACGCGTATACGCTGACTCATCGTAGGCATCTATCTCCGTCTGGAGATCTGCGCCGTGGTATACAACCTTGACAATGGCATCAAGGAAGCGCTTCACGTCTTCGAGCGCGGTGTTCAACCCTTGCGCGGTGACTGCCATCGTCAGCCGACCTCAGCAGCAACCTGTAGGAAAGACATACAAGGGACCATCGGATGGGCTGCATCGCCGGCCAATGTAACTTTTCCGCCGAAATTATTCCACCGCGTTATATTTTTCCAATAGAGGAACTGAACTACTCATTAGCGTCCGCCAACGAAATAGTCTAGACGTACCTTTTCGGCTAGTATTGGTGTATCCTGACTCAACCATTCACCCGCCGACTTGTACGGCTCGCAGTACTGGCTCATGTAGTATTTGAACAGTGCTTGGCGCGCCTCGTTATTTTCTGGGTGGTCCTCGGCCGTCCAGATCGAGAGGCAATAGTGAAACACCCATGTTTCCGGCCGATCAGGGTCGACCACGTTGGCCACTAACTTGTCAGTTGCGTTGCGCTCTTGGTCAGGGAATCAGGGCATACCGTTCGAGAAGATACTAGTCTTCTGGTGCGGATGGGGAGCAAGCTGCACGATCGGGTGGGATTTCGCACGAATAAAGAGGGCTTGCTCTCTAGGGAACGTCGGGAAGGCAATCTACTCTATCCGTCAGCGTAATCCCAGAGGATGAGGGTAAAGTCACGAACCAAAACCATGATGTTGGGCTTTTGCAATGCCGCAGCCTGGGCATCGACGAGTTGCCCTCGCACAACACTCCGCGCTTGACACCGTCCACCGTCAGCATCAACCGACAGAAAGGAAGAAAACCTACGTCCGTCCGCTCCAACAAGCACACTCCCCTTAACCTCCTCCCCGTTGAAGATAGCAACTACCCCATCATCCTCAACCCGGATGTCGGTCAACCTCATCCCGAATCTAACATCCACACCTGTCCTTAAGAGATCACGCAGCTTCCCCCGGATAAGGCGCTTCGGACTCGGCATCGGAATCTTAGCCATCAGCTCGCCAGTGGCACCATTCACAAACGGGATAGCAGCCGCAATGGCAGGATCTGGCTCGGACCAGGGATTCGTCGTTGCGGAGTTCAGTTTTGCTCGGAGGACAGGAGGGAGGATCGACTCAAGGTACGGCAGGGCAGAGTGGACGGCCATGGTCCATTGTCCGGCCCGGCGAGCGTACGTCTCCTCATCCTGCTGTTCGTAGATGGTATATGGGATGCCGGCCTACTCTGTCAGCTGCAGTTGGACTGGGAAACGGGTGGAGTACCTCTTTTAGACCCTGGGCGAGGAGGAGGCCGGTTGCACCTGGTGGTGCGTTTAGTATCGGTATGAGTATTACATGAGGTGACGCACCGGCTCCKATGATGATAACGTGGAAGTCTGGGACTGACACTGTCATTGCGCTGGTGGTATTTCGAGATTAGCTGCTGAGGCGCAGATAGCACGTTTTGGATATATTGATGGAGCTTTCAAGGACACCACGCCTCCGAGTCTGTATGAACAGGTGACTACTGATAGCTAGCGGAGCCGAGTCAGTGGCACCTTGACCAAAGATATATGATAAAAAGGTCTAATTTCTCTGTGCGCAGCTGGCAGGAGCTTATAGTAGTATGACTTGTGGGGTAGAAGGAACCTAGGGAGCTCTCTGACTCCTTGCGTCGTGTCTTAGTATAGAGTTTGCCAAGTCACATCTGCATGCCCTACCTCTGGCCGTATCTCATCGATTGCTTGAAATTTGATCAGACAATGGTTATACCATATATTCCATTGCAAGCATCATTTTGAAACAGTTATCAAGAAATTCATACAGGTCTTGGAAGAATCCCTGGCAATCAGTAGTCTGGTGCTCACTGGCGCTCAATGAGAAAAGTACCATAGGCGTGTTCTGCGGAAGTGTATACCTTACCTTTGTGAAGTGCTCACCGACTCTAGATGTGCATGTCTTGTGCAGCAGTTGAGCTATGATTGGTAGACACGAGGAGTCATGATATTCTTTTGCAGAGGACTATGCGAAGACTATAATAATCCAGGGTGACCTGCTCTTTGAATCTGACAGAATACGCCGACAAGGACATTGATGACCCGCCCAAGTGATCCTCATCTCAGATTCAACGAACAAAAAGCGGTGTAAAAGTTATTTTCATTCCGATCTAATGGATTCATGTCGTCTCCCAGAGCAAACGCGAGGTTGAGTGCAGTACAAGTCGACCTATGGCGCTGCAAAGCTGCGTAAAGCCTGCTGCTCATTGACATCGATATCGACCTGTCTGAAATGGGAAAAGGCTTCTCATGAATTATAGAGTCTTTCTATTGAGACATGTTCGAGAATATGACTGCAATTAGATCCAGTCTGCTTCCGAAGCTCATCCCCTCCACTGACATATTACTGAAATCACAGCAGTTTCAGAGAGGAAGGCCTTCAATACTTTTACCTTTTCTATTTTCTTCTTGGTCGTCTTCTTTATAGACTTAACGCCTGCGTTGATTTTCTCCTCTGAATAAGTCGGCACGGTTTGGTCATCGGCCTCATCTAGAGCCTCAGGGGGGTCMACTCGTTCATCCGGCGAGTCAGAAAAATCAGGTTCTTCCGTATCCGATCTCAGGTCTTCACATATGGATCCATAACTACTCTCCCTTGTCAGGTGGCCATCCACTAGTAGAGGATCGAGGCTGCCTTCTGTAGATTAAATGAGCTCTGATAACCAGTTAGAATCAGGGAAGGACTGACATACCGTCGGCCTTGGTCCTAACAAACCGTCTGCCCGTCTCCGAGCCCTTGGTCAAGATTAAGAGTTTCTTATTGAGCTGCTCACATATTATTTGACTTTCCTTTGACTCCCCAGCAATTCTCATGATAAGATTCGCCGGCATATCGAACACTGTCACTGGTGATAGAATGCCGGACAGCGAGAACATGAGTTTATCTTCCACAACTTGGTTGGCAATATCATCAACCAACCGTTTCAGAGCGACCTGTCTACCCTTGAACTGATAAAACCGCCAAAGGACACGAATTATGACTCACCTTGTAGTAAGCTAGCATACAGTCTAGGGCTTCAATCGATGCAAATCGCACCATATCTGGTTCGGATTGATGCAACAGTGATTTAAGAAGTTGTTCAAGGTTGATTGAGTGTTCTACGTGGTAAGGCTGCCTCAGATTGTCAACCACAAAGAACCGCTTTAAGGTCTTGGCAAGATCATCTTCCTGGCGTTCAGCCCGGATCTTCTGCAGGGTTTCTGTGAAGTAGTGATTGTAAGTAATCGGATGCCCTGTCTGGTGGGGCATGAGTAGCTCCCTAGTTTTGTTCTCGATTTCCCGTTTGATCGAGTCGCACGCTGGGATAATTATCTCTTCGATCAGTGCGGCTGACTTGGCTCCATCCATCACATGTTTGACCACAAGGGTGAGGAACTCTCTGGCAGCAGTCTATATACTGTCCGTGTGGCTGCGGGTCAGCTGTTCCCATGGAGAAAGGAGGGAAGGCACCTCTGGCTCTTAAATAAATATTTATATAATACTGGGACTATATTTTCATAGTTTGCACTGGAAAGTCTATTGTTTATAGTAACTATGCATCACAGAACCCTGGTTGTTCTTATCTTTAACCTAAGTAGTAATAAGAAACTACATTCCAAGCACTAAGTGCTTCACCTGTGGTAAGACACTAACTCAACATGTTAAACCACTTTGCATCCTTGTTGACTAACAAGTACTATCATCCCATCAAAGGGCTGGGCTGTACCTCAGCCTCGTTTATCGCACACACCCCCGATCCAGCAGTCATACCACTTGAGGTCAAGCTACAGCCAGCAGAAATCGCGATCGCGGCCGCGCTGATCTGAGGCCCCCATAGCTTTACCGGTGTAAACATAGACAACATACCACCGCAACAGGAGACAAGACTTCCAGTGAGACCTACATGATCGCTCAACTTGTAATTCTTTTTCTCGGCGTATCCGGCGATTGCAGGAACGAGAGCCACGGCTGAGAGGATCGTCCCAGCCCCGGGCGAGATAAAGTCTTTCCAGATTGGGTTCCTCTCAATGAAAGGAAGACCGATATTATCCGCGAGGACTTTGCATAATCCTACCGTCATCATTATATCGCCCACAATAACCCATTTACCCGGTGGCCACGGAAAATTCGCTGAGATCCCTGGGGCCTTTTCGGCGAACCATAGGGCCACGGCAAAGTAGTTGACAGCCTGCCCAGAGATCTCTCCTTCACGTTTGAGGGCGGCGAAACCAACACTCACTGCGCCAACCCATATGGCGGACACCTTGAGATAGGTCGTCAACCTTTTCGCCCCACTCGGAGCCTCTGCGGCTTGGTCTGGAGCCTCTGCGGCTTGGTCTGGTGCATTGGCAGCTAAAGACACCATTGATGAGTCCGGCTCCAATAGCAAGGCGGAGAATTCGGAAAAGGTTGACGCATCGATCAAAGACTGGGTGAAGGGATCATCCGGGAATGGTACACTGTTGGTAGCCAGTTTATAGATCAGCGTCCCGGGAATTGCAGTAACCAGGCAGACGAGATCCAAACACGAGAGCTGGTCTCCATCCGTGATCCACTTATATATTGGAGAGATGATCGGAATATTGAGAGGAGCATCGAGAAGATCAAGAAGAGCAGATACAAACAATTTCACCAAATCTAGAAGCTTCAGGACAATGATCTCGGTAGCACCAACCAGGAATGTGGCGAGTATTTTGAGACACTCTTGAATTGCCTGTATTGGAGACATGTGATGGATTCGGTAGATGACCCTCTTCCGAAGAGCTTCCATAGCCTCATTGAGGTTTTCTTTTTCTTCGTTGAACGCATCTTCCAGGATTTCGAGCAAACTTTGAGCAGCGCCCTTGTTCATGCCATAAAAGGTTCCTCTGGGTTCTGATTCTGCAGATGTAAGACCATTGTTGGTGTGGTAAACGATCCAGTTGCTTTGAGGGCTATCAGCTCCTGATAATCTGGATGTGTTCCCTTTCTGCTGCTGTCCAATTGTCTCTCCTCCATCTTGCAGACTCTGCCACGAGTTTCCATTGATAAACGATCGTAGATCCTCAAACCCAGTCTGGACATTTTTGCGTAGATCATCGATCTTGTCCACTGCTCTCCCTGCATACAGTTTGATCATGTTTTTGGCAACTCGGTGGCTTCGCAGAATATCACCCCAGTTGAACATAAAGCCCAGCCATGCCACCAGCTTTTCAAAGAAAACCTTTATTTTGTTGAACAAAAACTCAATTGCACTGTACACAGCACTGACAGAGTTGAGAAGGGCCTTGTAAACCTTCCCGCCGATGAAAACGAGGATTTCCCAGAATTCCGATGTCTTTCTGACGACGAATTCTTTCACATCTTCCCATGCATCTTTCAAAAAGCAAAACAAATCTCCAGCAACTGTGAAGATCGCATCCGCGGGCGTTGATAGGCTTGCTGAGGACATCAATGTATAAAGAGCAGGACTACTGGCCGCACTCATATTGCAAAGTGCATGACTGTCTTCCACAAAGTGAAGCTGGTGCGAATCACTGAGAACTGCCCACAGAACAGGCTTGTCTTGTGGTGGGGCGGCGAGGGCGAAGGTTTTATCAGAGCCCTCATCAGGCAGTGTAGACTGTATCTCCAGTAGTCTCGATAAAGACTTAGCAACTACTTCTTGGTCATTTTGAGACACATCAGAAGGAACAAGCGGGCTTGTGTGGCCTTTGGAGTCTGTGACACGGACTTTGCTCAGATCGCTTCCCGATTTCACTGTAGAAAGTCGTTCAGAAATCTTGGAATTTGGATCAATTGTGAGAGTTTGGTCTCCTGAAGTGAGCTGGATAGTAGCTGCAGACAATGAATGGGTCTCCTGGATGATAGTCAAAGTGCCAGTGATATCTGCCTCGATTTCAAGCTGAGAATCCGGACTGAGCTTGTAGTATAGACCATTCACAGTGGCTTGCGTTTCTTGTTTTGCACGGAGGAAGATCTTGCTGCGAGCTGCCGGTGTTCCGTTTTGGTCTGTACACTTGATATGGGTCGTGAAGGTGTTGACTTCAAATATCTCATTGAGCTCGGTGGCTGGCAAGGTAATGCTTCGTTGAGTCCAGTCACCGGAGGATGGATCTTGATTGAGCTGTAGTAGCCTTTTATCCCCAATCAAGGCAAACACAACATTTGCTGAGACCTGAATGTTGAGGTAAAATGCGAATTGAGCCACTCCAGAGCTAATTCGCATCGGCGGTGACCACTGGTCTGGCTTGGGCTCCTCGCCGGTCAAGCAGGTGGTATATATCAGATCCAACTGCTCATTCAAACCCCAAACTGCCGTTCTAGTGCCAATGGTACTGGTTCTCAAACAAGTGGCTCCGGAAAAGGTATTGGTTTTGCCGGCAGGGGATGATGGGATGATCAGAGTGGGTTCCACGTCGCTCTTTTGCGGGCCTGCCTCGAATAGGAAAAGACCATCATCAGCGGCCACAAAAAGATTTGATAGCCCATCCTTCGTAAGACATGAAGATAGTGCTGTCACACCTGATGGAGAATTTAAGCGTGCAGATGGTGGTTCGATGTGCGGAGACCAGGGATCCTTTTTGGGCTTGAACATGAGACTTTGTGATCCTCCAATCTTTCCCAGTGTGTATATACCATCCACATCATCGCCTTCACGTCGGCCCAAGCAGCTAGAAATGGACCCTTGCTCGATATCATTTGGTAGCGAGTGCCTGATCCATTTCGTTTGAGATTCGGGCTCGATGTAATAGCGTTGGAGAAGTTTGAATTGATTTTTGGGCGTCTCAACAATGTCCACAAACATTGTCAGGTCTCCCGAGCCCTGGTCGGCCTTCTGGGTCAACATGTACACATCGGAGATGAGGAACGGTGATGGTGCAGAATCGGAAGTAGCATCAAAAGGGACACTCTGCCACACGACTCCCGTTGCCCATTGATCACTGTCAATGGAGTTACCCTGGGACAGGTAGAGTGTATCGTTGCCTTCTTTAGTCATGACGCATGCGATATTGATTGACAAGCTGCCGGGGTCTTGAGAAACCGTAAAGGACTTGGCCTTTGCCGCACCTGCTCCGGAGTCTGAAGTCGATGAAGAAAGGTCTTTACGAGACCAGCCATTGCTAGATGCTCGCGCCTCGCGCGTGACGTAGAAGATTCCGTCAGTCCCGATTGAAAAGAATATGGCATCTCCGTCGCGCGTCTGAAGGGACTGGAAGTCTTGCTGGCGGCCCATTATTGCAGCATGCTTTTGGTTTTTCATCAACTCCGAGTCCGCTTGGATCTCGATTGTTCTGTTTGCTGAGGACATGGCGGTTTGGAAAGGCTTGGAAAGGAGGATGTGGAAACTGAATGGATCCAGAGAGTCAAGAGTGGGACTTGAGAGATAGACGGTTGCAGGAATCAGGGTGCTAGAGAGGTCTCAAATATCGTGTATACTACAGCGCTTAGGCAATCACAAGGAGGAGTTATATGACAGTTGGTCAAGCATGCATTGGTGAGGTGGTATCACTCCTTCGAGGGGTGTATATGGATGGCTGAATCGCAGATCGGTGCAGTTTGCTCTATACAGTTTTGCTCTGTGGAAACAAATGCAAGAAGAGAAGCCAATCAACACAACTGCAAGTCTCTTTCTGGTTCTCTCTACGTAGTATTCACCTAAAAACAAGGTCGACACCTGCGGTCGGTTCGCTTATGTTGCAGATCGATAGAGGGGGAGCTGAAGGCTGCATAATATTCCTCCGAAGATCTGTCCACGTCACTCCAATCCATATTCTCCCAGCTGTGAGGCTGACCTTTCAAGTGCCTTCGAATTTTGTGGCGTGATTTAACAACCTGAGCTCAGAGAGATTTCTATTGCAGATCGGTGGAGGTGGAGCTGAATACTGCATGATACCCCTCCGAAGATCTGTCCACGTCACTCCAAGCCATATTCTCCCTGTTTTGAGACTGACCTTTGAAGTGCCTTCGAAGTTCGTGGCGTGACTTGACAATCTGAGCTCCGATCCAAGATGCTCTTTACCTTGAACAGATGTGGAGGTTGGTTTTAAAAGAGCGCGAAATCTCTATGGATTCCCGTCGGACAGTTTCTTCGAAGTTTATCATCAGATTTGCACATCCCGTGAAGAATCCAGTACGGAAGCCGTCATGTCCGGTTCGAATTCCTCTCACTTGTCCGCTCAACAATATGGCTACGATGCTGTTGTTTCCACCACCCAAGAAAGCATCAATGCAGTCATGAAGCGGTATCTCGCTACAAACAAGCAGCCCGAAGTCTGCTGCTGCTTCGTGGACAAAGATGGCACAGAAACTCAGGTCAGCCTTGATGAGGTTTTGAGCAAGAGCAACAACACAAATCCCTTTGAGATTCCCGACAAGACCGATCTGAATGATGAAAGAATCAAGAAACTGGACGATGCTCGATTCATTCGTGGTTGGCGTGCCCGTCTGGGTATCCCCCCGATGAGCGATCGATCAAAATTACCAAATTTGGTCGATATCGGCTTGAGCAATGAGGCTGTCAATTTTTATATGCCGTGTGCAGAGTTCCAAGTGGTGTCGTATATTGCGGGCACCCGCTTTGGAGGTAAAGCTTACTGGCTCAATGTCTCGCAGCAGAAGGACAAGCCGTGGATCTTCTGCAGTAGGGTGGATATAGCTAGACAGACGGTGGATCCAAAGAAGAACCCCGACAAGGTCCCCACCGATGTCCGGAACGCGCTCGAGGTGTTGGAGAAGAAAGCACCGATGACGGAGTTCAAGATCGAGCAACTCTTGTTAGATCTTGAAAATGCGGGGCTCATGGATGAGGGTGGTCAGTTGGAGGGAATTCGCAACCCGAGTCCGGAGTATACCATGTTGAAAGAGACCTTTTTGGGTTCCTACTTTGATCAAATGCGGAAGAATGGAGAACCACTCCTTTCTTGCACTATCAATGGACCCGCCCAAGACAAACCAGTCGCCGAATCGACTTTGCACATAACCGACTTCCGTTATAATCTCAGCCCATACCTTGGCCCAGATGGGGAGCCTGTTGGAGACCCAACTCCAAACCAAAAGATGGTAGCCACCCTTAACTACTTGTGCGCTGCCAATGGCAACCATCTTCCGCCACGAAATCCCTTTACCTGGAACTGGGTCGAAGTTTCTGAGCTAGACAAATACCACGGGACGATTGCCGTTAGGCGGGACTGCCTTGCGGAATATCTCAGCTCCAAGTTAGCCTCGCAAGTCTTACCGAACTGTATCAAGCCTACCTTCAAGTTTTGGAGAGAATCGGTGTTTCACGACTGGAAAGCGTCATGGGATTTTTCCAAAACGGCTGCGGATGTCAAGCCTACCATGCTAGCTGAGGGCGAAAAGGTTCTTCGGATTGAATGGTCCTCACCCAAACATACCGACGAAGTAAAAGGTCTAGGTATCCTGTGGGCTACTGTGCAGGCCCAATACACCCTGGATGTTGAATTCAAGGGAAATTCGAATTCCATCCTTCTCACTCATCATTTTGTGTTTAAACTTGAAGCTAAGAGGGGATTCAGCTGGGGAAAGGCGGATATTGTGGATCACAGCCGCACCGACACTTATGAAATAGCAGTCAACGATCGAGGCAAACTGGAGGCTAAATGCGCACCAGGTCCCTTGATAGATGCATCGAAGGATTTCGAGACGAATCTTCCCGACCTTGTCTTCAGCGGCCAGAGTACAGTTGGGTGGGTAAGGGAACAGCTCAGCGGCAAAGTACGCATGGAAGCCTTTGAGCCTAAGCAGATTCCCTTGTCATTTGTGCAGGATTATGTGTTTCCTGGGGGCAAGTCATTCACTTTCAAGGATGTTGTCTTTTCGAAGTATCAAGATTTAGTGTCCCACCTGACTTACCTAGATCGCTAAATATTAACACATAGGGCGAGACGATTTGTCCAAATAAGCAGCATCCTTGAAAGTATTGGAAGACCACCTAGAAACTACTTGTACGTTGTAGACACACCAGCTTTCGCCCCAACCTGATTCCTAACTGATTTCTGACTAACATGACTCACTACCGAGTGGCATATACCACTGAGCAGCCCAAAATCTTCGACCAGTGCACTGCGGTTGCTAGGAGGTGTTTGTTTCTTGGTGCAGTAAAAACCGCGGGCATTGACCACTATGCACAACATGAAACAGATCAGTGAATTCAACACCATAAATAAACCTTACCCTGGATGATACCTACCAGCGAACCGCCGTACGCTGTGGGACAATGGGCTCCATGGGTAGCTGTGATCATGGCGTTGGCGGGATCTGCCATCGTGGAGTATCACAGGCCAGCGTGGGAGGATCGAAGCTGCCTTCTGTAGATTAAATGAGCCCTTATAACCAGTTAGAGTCAGGGATTGGCTGACATACTGCCAGTCTTTATCCTAACAAAGTGTCTGCAGGTCTTCAAGCCTTTAGTCATGATTAAGAGTTCCTTATTAACCTGCTTACATATCATTTAACTTTCCTTTAACTCCCCAGTGTTTTTCATGATAAGATTCACTAGTATAATAAACACTATCATCAGTGACAGGATGCCGGATAGTGAGAACATAAGTTTACCTTCCACAACTTGGTTAGCAATATCATCAACGAACTGTTTCAGAGCGACCTGTCTGCCTCTCCTGATCGTATGGTGGACCCAAGGGGGCTCCCCATTTGAACTCCTTACCTACCTTTCCGTGGAGCCAGCATGGATGTTCATCCAGGATGGGATTGTCCACAGCTGTAATGTTCGCTGCCTCGCCCACCCTCTGCATAGTATGAACGCACCACCCAGCCACACGCATCATACCAGACAATACAGACCTTGCCGCATTCCGGCCTTCACTGGCTAGCATAGTCTTATCCACAATATGGATCCGTCCAACTACCAGAGACCAGTAGTACATGAGGTAGTCCTCATCCTCCCATTTAATATTGTCCTCCCCTTCTTTATCCTTATTACTCTCTTCCCGCAGCGCCTCCTGCAGGTCCTTGTGATATCATTCTGCAGAGCCTGAATACTCTAGGAGGTATGGGATGAGCAGGAAGATCTTGAGCCAGTCAGCCCCAAAGTCATATAGTATGGGATCATCCAGAATGATTGCTTCCACCGCATACTAGTTATCCAGCCCGTCTACTATCCTGGAGAATGCAGCATCTGTTAAGGGATCATAGCATGTGCAGAGCCAGGGCGTCCAGTCATAGATATGTCCTAGTACTGGCTGGCGCACACACTCCAGTATCCCTCGTTCCTTGGGGGTCAAAGCCGACCAGCAGAAACCACGCTGTCTTCGTTGGTCTTTGTATAGCTAGATCCTCAGCGGTGATCTGTTAGTGCGTCGGAGTCCATCTAGCTGCCGAGAGGAGAGGAAGAGGGGTTGTAGGTGGAGAAAGGAAGAATGAGTTAGTACCTGCTGCCCATCGACCCCGAGGGTCACGAATTCGGCAAAAATCTGCTCCCGCTGGGCGTCGGGAGAGAGGGGAGAATCCTCTTGCCATCGTTCCTAAGGGAAGTGAGTGCACGGTTCGCTAGACAATTCCATTGTAACTCACCAATAGGAACAAGTCTGCAGCCGCCAAGATTGGATCCTCCATGTTCGACATTTGATGCTAATAGCTAGGGAAGAAAAAAGGGACAAATCTCCTGCAAGGGCGGAAATTGGATACTAATTGTGGGATGGGATGTTGGATGTTGGCAAACGGGTGTCACCGATGGCGGTTAAATAGATTTCTGCTAGTTCAGGCATCACACGGACCACTACTTTGGGTAAATTGGGTAATCCGTGGGTACCCGCCAAGAACCCATGGGCGGGTATTGGCCATGTCCCGGGGACCCCGTATCTCAGTCTGTCTTTATCGCATCTAGGGTGGTCAAGATCGAGAGGATCGGTTTTAGGAGTCTGATATCAGTATCTGACCATGAAGCTCTGTTAAGTGCAGCACGCCCGTTTGCGTCCATTGACATATTATTGAAGTACATGCCCCAGACTCCTGGGGTGTAACTCCCCATTCGCATGCTAGTAATGGAGGCATGAAAATTTCAGGCTGCTCTTGGCTTGTGACGACGTCCGTCCAGATACCATCTATGAAAGCGAACGTCGTCTGCCCGAGTTGACGTGTTATAGTTCGAAATAGTGGTTCTGTATAAGGTTCCCAAACACGACGTTATTCTTTTTGATATCGCATATTTGCCTGGACATAAGTCGTCGCAGTGGCACAATGTCTTATTTCATGATAATTTCAATGTAGTTCTGTCTCAAAGCAGCTCATTGGATAATACGGCAAGGCTCGGCTCGTAGAAGGTATCACAGCAAGACGAGGCATCGAATAGAAACCCAGATAACGAAAAAGCAAAGTGTGGCTGAGTTCAGCTCCCCAACAGCATATAACCACGACTTGAGGATTACCGTCCATTAGCAGAAATCAGTTGCTAAATAAGCACTCCCCGACATGTCTCCACCAGCTCTTTTGGTGTCATTGCTCCTCACGAACATCCCCGCAGCATCAGCGAGTAGTCTCCTTTGGTACAATGCAACCCTTGACGAGGGACGGGTCGAATGCGTCTACCCAATCAGCGGGCAATATGCTCTTCTTCAGCGAGCTCTCTACTATTGCCTCCTTCTCTTCTCCATCGTCAGTCGCAAGACGCCATGGTTGGTGGTCGGTGCGCTTGGTGCAGCCATGACCTACGCCGGATCGGCCGCCGTCCATGCAACCATCCTCGCGGGCATATCGCGCAATTCTTTGCTAGACCTGGATTGCCTTGGGATCTTTGCCATCGTCAGCGTGGGAAGCTTAGTCGTGACGGTATTCTTCCATGGTTCTGAGCTCCTGCGCGAATCCCCTGCTCGGCCGGTATTTCAATACTGGGGGTTACTGATGGTGGTTGGGACAATCTGTGCCGTTGTCGCGATGTTGAGGGACTATCCCAGCGAGGAGAGATGTACATCTATACCAAGTGATGCGACCAACATAACAGAACCCATACTGCTGACAAGCACGGCCCAATTAGACCTGATGCGGTTCAACTGCACGTACGCCTGCTTCCAGACACGACAAGCATTTCGAAACCCGAGCGACATTCTCATTTTACCGGCAGGTACGGTATCGGTTCAGAGATTCAAATTATTAGCAGCCTCAATGTGCCTCTCGGTATTCCTCGGGGCCGTGGTGTCCCTCTACCGTCTTCTCCTGACTCCCCGCTACTACACGAAGGATGAGTTGGAACGAACACTCCGTTCAGCAAACAAGACCCTCGCAAGAAGTGACCTCTTCCCGAAACAGCGCCGCTACGCAAAACAGATGCGATCGATGGTGCAGAAGAAGTTGGCTCGGGGTCAGAAGCGCGCCCGGCCGGGCTTGATGACCGATCTGTTGGCCATCGCCTGTGTGGTCGTCATCGTCTTGAACGAGGTTTTCATCCATATCGGCAAGGAGATACCTACCAGCGAACCACCGTACGCTGTGGGACAATGGGGTCCATGGGTAGCTGTGATCCTGGCGTTGGCGGGATCTGCCATCGTGGAGTATCACCGGCCAGCGTGGGAGGAACGGCAGCGGATATTGACGGAGGAGGGCGTACTTGCCCAAGGAGAGAATGCCCCATCGTTGTTCTCTTCAGCATGGATGGGCTGGCGAAAGCTGTCTGGGAAATGGGCGGAACGAAGGGCTGAAATGGTGCAGTGGCCAGGCAGCCTGGCGAAGGGGATTGCCTAGCTAGCAGGATAGACTCACTACCACTATTTGGGATAGAACTTTGGGTATGGCCCAACTCATGCGCACAGACCTTATTTGATTTATCCATATACCTCCCTATTTCACTGACCACTACTCAGTATAGACAACAATCACCGATTACACCGTAGATACACCGGACTAGAACCCCTCCTCATCAACCGTAATCCGATTATACACATCCAAGCTATATCTTGCAAACCGACTCTTCGCACGAATCCGCTCGCCGAATCGCGCAAACAACGGCGGCACAAGACAAAACACCGTGGCAATTGCCGCCAACACACTGACCGCGACGTTCGCCCCCAGCGAGCCAAACATAGCCGGCGCAAACAGCGGAAACGCAGCGCTCAGGCTTGTCCGCAGGATCGTCTGCGCGGCGAACCCGCTGGCTGCGTAGCTGAGGTAGCTATCTGCCAGGTAACCTGTCAGGACGGAGCCGAACTCGGTTGCTGCGTAGCCTATGGCCACGAGGGCGACGGTGGGGACCATCCAGTGGACTGTTGTGATGGCGGGGGGAATGGTCCAAGCGAAGAGCCATAGGCCGAGGGCAAAGACGGGGGCGCCGATCATGAAGCCAAGGAGCTTGTCTTCGGGGCGGAGGGGGAGGCGCTGGCGGTGGTGGGAGACGATGAGTTTGTAGTCATGGATGCGGGTGAGCATGCCAAGCAAGCAGCCGAAGCCGAGGCCAAGGAAGGGGAGACACGAGTGGGTGGGGGTCATGCCAAAGGATTGGTAGACTGGGGGAAGGGCCTCGGTGAACATGTAGATGAGGGTGAAGGGGATGGCGCTGATAATGGATACCAGGAAGATAATGGGTTCGGTGAAGAAGAGGTAGATGGGCCGGAAGAGGGCCATGGTGAAGAAAGTGCGCAGGTCAGGGATGCGGTCTGGGTTGAGACTTTGCACCACGATCGGGGTCTCCTTGCCGAGGGCCTGGCACAGATGGCGGACTTCGTGGTCGAGGAGGAGTGGAGGTCGAGATTCACGGATGCCCAGCAGGAGACACGCGATGAAGCCGGTGACAATGGCTGCCACATAGAACACCCATCTCCTGGACGCAGTCAGTACTGCCATGAGCCACCGGGGTAAACATACCAATCTAGTGCGTAAATGATGTATGTGCTGTAGATCGGTCCCAATGCTAGACCCCACGGAGCTAGCATCATCCACAGTGACAAGAACCATATCCGGTCTTTTGCGTTGAACATATCTTCGATGCTTCCAGCCACCACGTTGGTGGGAATCGCCGACAAGAATCCGCTGAGCAGACGTCCAACCACCACTCCGGTAACGGACGGGACAATAGCGATTATAATGCACGACACACTGTACATCGCTGTACTGACTATATACAGTTTCTTGCGACCAAAGGCTTCCGAGTACGGAGGAAAGACGATGCTGCCGATTCCTTGGCCGATGAGGTACCTAAATTGTCAGTTGGGCCCGAGTTAATGACGGGTMACGTACATTGGCACAAAGAGAAAAATCGACAGGGTCTTGCTAATGTTGAATTCCTCGTGTGAGGCATTGGCCGCGGCAGACTATCAGGTCAGCGATGCTCACACCATCAGTCGATTGACCTACTCCTGCTGCACTGACCAACGTCCTGTGATTGTCAGCTTCGCCCAAGACATGAGAAGAGCAACATACGTAAACATCTCCAGCAACAAAATGACCGTTACATCGTGAGCCTTTCGCAGCTTCGACCAGTTGCGGGGGTGTCGCCTGTTGCCCGGTTTCCAATGCACGAATCCATCTGGGGTGAGCTTGAGACCTTGGAGGTCTAGCTGCTGTTGAAACAGACCCTCGTCGATGGCGGAGGGCGCCACGCAAAGTTCTTTGGATTCCACGATCTGAGACATGGTGTCACTGAGAGATGGAGGAGAAAAGAAGGCCATGAGGAGCGGACATTTATTTCATCATTGCTTCGGGCAGACCTTCGTCATAGCAGGTGAGCTCTTCCTAAGCTCCTCCCTTGATTGACGTCCCTGCCAATGGAGGCTCATTCTCTGGATTCCTGAGATAACCTTTACTATATTTGGACTCGTCCAGGAGTCACACCATTTGGTATAATGTGAGGTCATAAGCCCTACGGTGCTGGAGATTTCCTCATCTTCCTGCAATACTATTGAATCTTGGGAAAGATGAAGTTACGCGTCGTGACTGTTGGTTGATTCTGAGCATGGAACAGACGAACATGCTGAAAGGCAGAGGAGTCGGAGATTTGACTGCATCGTCTCCCTTGCCTCACTGTCGTCAGCCAGGAATGTGGAGAGAGCGTGATCAACTATCCCTCAAGCAGGTTGGGAATATTCCGATCAGACGTGATCATCCCTTGTTTGTCGCGACTTAACACAGGAATTACCCCTACGCCCATGTCCTAATGGCATCTTTTGTATCGATGCTTGTCGGGCTTGTAGAGCTACAAAGGTACGGCGATGKAAGTATAGTGAGCAACCAACCAATACAATCTAAATCGATAAAAGAACCTGTAACATAGTAATTCTCTAGATGATTGGCAGCTTCATTACTTCATCAACACGCACAACTTGGCCTCGGCGCATCGACTCATTCGCAGCAATACCCGTGGCAATCGACCATGCACCGTCGACATGCGTCGCAGCCCGTTTCAACGGATCCTCTATAGCCTCACCACCAAACAAGTCCTTCAGCAGCTGAGGATCTCCCCCACCATGTCCTCCCTGACCCGTCGGAACTTCAATCTCGACAGGCTTGCCGAACATGGGCCGCAGGAGAATGGTCATACTCTCCAACGCACCCTCCAATGCCTGCTCCCCACCTGAATTGACATATGACTGCTCCACCACTTCCACCTCCAGCCTGCCCATGCTCCCGTTGAACATCACCCGGAACCCTTCCCAAGGTGCATACGCCGTCAGGCTATACGTCAGGACCGCGCCACTCTCATACCGCACCATCACCCCCATCGTATCCTCAATACTGATCCCATCACCAAACACGCTCTGGTCCCGATAATACCCATCCTCGTGCTCGGCATCCGCATACAGCGCCTTCAGCTGCGCATTACCTTCCAGATCGAGCGCAAACGGGTCCGACCTACCCACCTCGCTGCCTCTCGCCCGGGCATAGAACCGCGTCTCGCCCCGGCGCTCTGCGTTCTCCTTCCCGTAGAAGCGCAAATCCCCCATCGCGACGACGGTCTCCGGCCTCGTCCGCAGCCAGAAGTTCACCAGATCGAAGTGATGCGTCGACTTGTGCACCAGTAACCCGCCGCTGTTGCGCTTGTCGCGATGCCACCGCCGAAAATAATCGGCGCCATGCGACGTGTTGAGCATCCACTCAAAGTGCACGGAGTGGACCTGCCCGATCGCGTCCGAGGCCAGCAGCGCCGCGATCTTGCTGTTGTGCGGCGCGTACCGGTAGTTGAATGTCACTCGAACCTGGCGCTGCGTGCGATTCACGGCGTCGATGATGGCTAGGCAGCGGGGCGCGTCGATCGTCATGGGCTTCTCGGTAATGACGTTGCAGCCAAGCTCGAGCGCGCGGATGATGTACTGGTGGTGCGTGCGGTCGATGGTCGTCACGATGATCTCGTCCGGCTTGTTGTCTGCGATCATCTTGTCGAAGTCGCTGGCGAGGTAGGTTGGGACTGGTACGTGTCCGAGTGCCTCCAGCCGACTGTTGGCGTATGCCATGCGGGTGGTGTTGGTATCGCAAAAGGCCCCCAGTTGCGCGGTGTTGGGAAAATCGCGCACGATGGCCGTGTAGAAGAAAATGGCGCGGCCGCCGGTGCCGATAAGGGCGTATTTCTTCATGTCTTTTCTTTTGTCTGGTTCAATTCGTTTGTTTTGTCTGATCGATTCGTGAGACGCGATTCAAAAGAAGAGGGAAGAGGATGTATATAAGCTCGGGATGAGATACCCCGAGATCATCACCCCGCACAGCACAACCAAGGGACGACGTTTAGCCTGAACGGATTTTCCATGAATCAGAATAACCTAAATTGCGGGGGATCTCACAGTCTGGGGTAAATGTAGATCGCCAAGAAGTATACAGACATGAAGTAGCTCTTGGCACCGCCAGTATAAGGCGGAATGATTACTGGAATGCAACAGGAGCAAGCAAGAACAACAAACGGCACAGGAAGACCATATCACTCCGATTCAAACCACTCGCAATGAACCCATCAAGGAGAAAGCGGCCCAGTTCCTGGCCACCGTAAATGAAGACAGAACCTTTACAGTAGAGGAGGAAAAAGCCGTCCTGAGACGGATCGACCGGCGGGTCCTCCCTTTGCTGTTAGCAGCATACTTCTTTCAGCAGCTCGACAAATCGTCGCTCTCGTATGTTTCCATCTTCGGCATCGTGGAAGATGCGAACCTCCACGGCAAGCAGTATTCTTGGCTGGGGTCGATTTTGTACCTGGCCCAGCTGGTCATGCAACCTATTGCCGCCTTGCTCTTGGTCAAATTGCCCACGGGGAAGCTGATCGCGTCGGCGGTGTTTCTCTGGGGAAGCTCACTCGCCATCATGGCGGCTTGCACGGATTTTCCCAGTTTGCTAGGATTGAGATTCACTCTGGGCGCGTTTGAAGCCATGATCGGTATGTCCTTCAACCAATTCCGGTGCCATGTTGACGGTTTTAGCACCGTCATGTGTGGCCGTGACGCAAATGTGGTGGAGGCGAGGCGAGCAGACACTCCGGACGGCCTTTTGGAACGGAATGAACGGCGTGACCTTTATTATCGGCAGCTTGTTCACCTACGGACTAGGGCATATCCATAGCGACAGTCTATTCTCTTACCAGGAACCGCCCCGCTCCCTAGTGGAGAGATCGAGACTAATGGGTAGATCATCTTCATGTTCTGTGGTCTCGTGACAGTCGCCTACTCTTTCCTCGTTTTCATCTTCATGCCCGACTCGCCCATGGAAGCAAAATATCTCAGCGACCGTGAGAAAGTGATTGCTGTGGAGCGACTGCGCCAACCAGATGGGGATCATTTCGCGGGAATGGCGATGGGACCACGTCTTGGAGACGTTCTACGATCTCAATACGTGGTGCTGGTTTTGTCGATCCCCGGAGTGACTCGTGCTAACTATTGCAGAATCCCAAGTGGAGGCATCAGTACATTCGGCAACCTCATCATCAAGTCCTTCGAGTATAACAGCTTCGAAACCATTCTCTTCAACATCCCCTTGGAGTATATCAGATATTAATTCACTCTCATTGAGTAAATTTAAGAAAATAATAAGCAAAGTGACTATGTCCTTTTCAGAATGACAGGCTCTAAAATTAACTTGCCTAAGGTACATATAGCCATGGGTTTATCAACTTCAGCGGGAGATAACTTGACTACATTTTCCTCTGACATACTTCAGCTAGAGATCTATAGGCCCTATGAAAATCACCTGAGTGTCATCTATGTCTCTGGAATTTTTAAGACTATGACACCTAGCTTACCTTTAAAGTCAGATATCACTCTTGTGAGGGACATGGTACTTAATTACAAGGACGATGGGTCTTGCTTGTGCACATCGGATTGCAATTTATTCGAGAGCAATAAAGCTATCCCATTGACAGATATCCACCCCTTCTGGCGAACAGGACTTTCTGGAATGGAACTAGATTATCTTCCTCTTTTAGAGCCTTTGATTTCTTTGCCAAAGCCTAAGAAACGGAAGTGGGATTAATTGGAGCAGGAAGATGACAGCGAGCGTATAAAGAAGCGGAAGAGGGCACCTTTCAAATGCACTGCAAGTGGTAAAGTTGGGCATACACGAAGGTCATGTAAATAATACGGAGGATGAATTTCCAATACAATCACACGATGGGCTTTTGAATTAGCCAATCACGGATCTTACATAATTAGTGAGTGAAGTCAGATAATTGGGTCTGATGCCGCGTGCGGCTTCCTGCTCAACCACATCCTGCCGTTCGGTGATTGTCGCGAAAGCCTATAAAAGCACCAGCTGTTTCGACCCGAAGCCGTGCATCGTACTCGACTATTCCAAACCCTCGATCCTCACCTCGCGCATCCGCGACCAAATCTGCCCGATCGCGCCCAATTTCCATCTCAGCCATGGCAGGCCAGTCCCATATCTTCATCGCCGCGCCGGTGCGCACCGGCGCGGCGGAAGCGCTGGCCTCCTTGCTCGAAACTATGAACGCCGCGCCGGGAACGGCTGACCCTGCCAATGCTCTGCTGCCCTTCGGCCGCATCCCCACGATCCACGTCGCCCGCTTCGTCATCCTCGACGACCACTCGCTGCCCGATCGGCCCCAAATCGCCCCGCAATTGCCAGCCACCGAGCCGCTGCGCCTCGCCTTCATCGCGGATTGCGACGGCCCTGCAGACGATCTGCTGCGCACCCTCGTCGATCTCGCCGCCCCCGGCCTGCAACAAATCTTCAGCCACTGCAGCGATTTCGACGCCCACACGGATCTGCTCGCCTGGCTCCACGCTTACCGCATCGTCTCCGCCGCGACCTATGCCAATTGGCCGGGCCGCAGCATGATCCAAGTCCGCGAAGAAGCTACGCTCCACGCTGCGCTCCGCCAAACCCGTCTCGCCCATCCCGAAGCCTCGCCCGAACAATTGCGTGATATCTTGCTCATCGCCGCGCGCAGCGTACCACTTACCCCGCTCCCCGTCCCCACCTTCGCCCAGAGACTAGCGCAAACCGGCGATTTCCTGCTGCTGCCACTATATGCGCTGCTGCTGTCACCGCTCCTCATCCCCGCCCTGCCATTCCTCATCCTCCTGCTGCGCTGGCGCGAAACCCATGATCCCGTGCTCGCCCCGGTTCCCTCGATTGCGCGCAACAAGCTGCTGTCCTCGATTGAGGACCGTGACGTTACTAACCAATACAGCGCGATCGGCTCGCTCAAACCCGGCCTTTTCCGCCGCTGGCTGACCGTCGCCGTCCTCTGGGTCATCAACTGGAGCGGCCGCCACCTCTTCAACACCGGTCGGCTAGGTCGCGTCAACACCATCCATTTCGCCAGCTGGACCTTCCTCGACGACAAGCGGCGGCTGTGCTTCGCCAGCAATTACGACGGCAGCCGCGAGGCCTATAACGACGATTTTATCAACAAGGTTGCCTTCGGGCTCAACCTCTCCTTCTCGAACGGCCTCGGCTACCCGCAAACCAACTGGCTGATCTTCGACGGCGCCCGCCACGAGCAGGATTTCAAGCGCTACCTGTTCCACCACCAGATCCCAACGCAAGTCTGGTACAAAGCCATACCCGGCCTCACCACGTACGATTTCGCCCGCAACGCCCGCATCCGCCAAGGGCTCACTGCAAACCTGACCGGCTCCGCGCTAAAAGCCTGGATCGCGGAGATATGAGAATGGCTGCCGACGACGAAGCCGCCGACATTCAGGCACTAGCTGATCGCGGCTTCAGATCGCTCACCGGCGCTTGCTACCTGCTGCTGCGCATCGAAAATCCCGTCCTCGCCAAACCCTGGCTGCGCACCCTCGAGATCGCCTCGGTGGCACAAGCCCGCGCGCAGCATCTGCCGCAAGTTTGCCAGATCGCCTTCACCGCCGCCGGCCTGCGCGCGCTGGGCACCGAGGTCACCCCCGGAGCCGGCTTCGACCCGCAATTCATCGACGGCATGGCCGGTGACGAACGCCGCTCGCATCAGCTGGGAGACGAAGGCGCCAATGCCCCCGCCCACTGGCACTGGGGCGTCGGTGAACAAGAGCCGCATATCCTGCTGCTCCTGCTTGCCCTAAACCCCGCGATCGACAGCCTGGCGCAGGCTACATGCAGCGCCGCCCAGGCCGCCGGCTGCGCGGTCGTCAGCGGCCATACCGCGACCACCACCACCCCGCTCGGCCGCGAACCTTTCGGCTTTGCCGATGGCGTCTCGCAGCCCGACTACGATTGGGGCGGCACGCTCACCCCCGGCGGCGCCCGCGACCGCGATTATCGCAATCTGCTGGCGATGGGCGAGTTACTGCTCGGCTATCCTAACGAATACGGCTTCATCGGCGATTACCCGCAGGCCGACGAGCTGGGCCGCAACGGCTCCTATCTGGTCTACCGCCAGCTAGCGCAGGATGTCGCCGGCTTCTGGCAATGGTTGGTGCGTCAAGCCGGCGACGGCGCCATCGCGCTGGCCGAACGCATGGTCGGCCGTGAACTCGACGGCGCTCCCCTACCCGGGCTCGAATCCGCCACGATCATGGGCACCGTCGATCCGCGCAATGCCTTCCATTTCGCCGCAGATCCCGATGGCCGCATCTGCCCGATCGGCGCGCATATCCGCCGCCTCAATCCGCGGAGCAGCGACGACCCGCAGGGGCACCACGGCTTCCTACGCGATCTCATCTCCTCGGTCGGCTTCAGCGGCACCGCGATGCACGATGCCGTCGCCTCCGCCCGCTTCCACCGCCTGTTACGCCGCGGCCGCCCCTACGGCCCGGTGATCGTGCCGCAGGCCGCGATGCAGGGTACGGGCGCCGACCAGGAAACCGGCCTGCATTTCCTCTGCCTCAACGCCAATCTCGCCCGCCAGTTCGAATTCGTCCAGGGCGCCTGGGCCGCCAGCCCGAAATTCGCCGGCCTCGCCGCCGAGCAGGACCCGCTGCTCGGCAACCGTCTGCCACTCGCCGGCGCGCAGCCGAGCGATGCCTTCAGCTACACCGATACCGGCGCCTGTCCCCGTGCGATCAGCGGCCTCCCGCAATTCGTCACCGTGCGTGGCGGCGCCTATCTCTTCCTGCCCGGCCTGCGTGGCCTGGCGCAAATATTGAGGGATCGCTGATAGACATTGACGGCCTGACCAACAGCGCCGATTAGGCCGGTATCGCCTGCGTCGCCGTGCAGATAAGCGCCTTCTAGGACAACTTCGCGAAGCACAGCAATTACCCTGTCAATCGCGGCTTCCATGTCAAACTCCATGTCATCCATGACATCCACGACATCCGCTTCCGCAGCGTTAATAATCTGATATGAACAATGTGTAACCAGACTGCTCAAGGCCTTACCAGGTAGTATGACTCCTGCATGGATAGCCTTCCTTCTACGGGACTGGCTGAAGGCCGTGGCGAGAATCGTTATCACGACGCCGATTCTCTACTTCTCACTCCTCTCCGTCTCTTACTGGCTGGAACATCAATCATTCACCTGCACACGTCCCGGAGTCACGAGCCATTGATTAATGAAAATCGAGCTGAGCGAGCTATAAATCTCTCATCAACCTTCATCAGCCTGCCGTTCTTCTCTCAACAAGAGAAATCTCATCTTTCCTGCATACAACACGCAACCTCCTTGCCCATCAGCTAAGAAAGCCCATCTTCGAACATGCAGTTCCTGTCTACCATTGCTATTGCTGCCACACTCGCTGTTGTGAGCGCAACCCCAGCTGGAGATCCAACGACAGCAGCCCCCAGCAAGCCAACAAGTGCTGCACTGGCCTCACTGACGACATTCTGAATCTTAACGTGCTCCGTGCACTTTGTCTGCGTAAGTGTTACATCTGCTGCTGGACCGTGTGTACTCACTAATACCATGTCAGCTCTTGTTGGAAGCTGCAACAACCAGGCCGCCTGCTGCGAGACAAACGGAATTGTAAGTTACGTAAGTTTCCAGCGCTTAGCACTCACCACTTTGCCACAGGGCCTCTTAAACTGTCTCACTGTCCAGCTTTAGTTGGCCAGACTTTTCTTGAGTTCTAGCAGCTGGACCCAGATGGATAAAGCTCAGGGCACCCCACACGTGCTGCAGCCGGATATGTCTTTCGTCATGGAGGAGTTTATGAACACTACGCAGTATCTGTACAGACCCACTCATTTGGTTTTGAAATAGTCCGAGAACAATTCAATATATGTTCTTTCGAAGACCGGGTTTTCGATCGTCAGTATCTAAATTAGACAAATCTAAGTCCCGTAGCACAGCACCTTACTATAAGTTGATAGCGCAAAGAAAAACACCACATGGAAACCATATTACCAAGGTAGCTATATGACTTATGTCCTAAGATAGAGTCCATACTACTTCCTGATAATAGTGATCAACATGAGCCTTTAATAAGCAGACTACTTAACTAATTTTTGCGGGTGTTTTCACAGTAAATACATAAAGTATATCATAAGGTCAATATTGTTACCTCTTCCCTATAACATTCATTTCACTATCTTTTGGGAATCTGACTTTCCCATTGATATTTATATTTGTAACAACGCATAGAATATATATCAGAAGGATGTATCTGGTAACATAACAGTAACAAGTCAACTTTGTTTATATTTTCTCTTTTGTATAACTTGCTAAATCTCAGCAATTGCTCACTAGTAAATAGGCAACTTTGAAAAGACAATGATTCAGTGTAATCACTGCCCTCAGCTTACAAGTCCCTGGCTAAATCAACGGTTGGAAAATCTTGATGAATTTGGAACGATGATCTTTGCAGCAACAGGGTGTACGCATGGTGGGTGATCAGATCTATTGAGCTAGGCCGCAAGGGGCAGTGGAACTTCGGCGTAGGGCAGGCAGTGGAAAGCAGCAGGCGGACGGGTTCAATGAGAGCCGTTTTCAGCGCCCCGCTAACGCGCTCTTACTTGACCAGATGGTTAGTAGACTGCGGGAAACGGCCCCAAGGCGCACGCGACGTGATGGTAGAAGGGTAGATCGGTATACGGGTAGATTGTGAAGGGCTGTAGCAGAATTGATTCAATGTAAGCTAGACCACGAACTGTTTACGACAATCTTGAGGAAAAGAAGAGAAAAGAAAGAGAATCAATGCCGTCTCTGACGGAATCCTTTGGAATCCCTCCTGTCGGAGGAAAGGGAGAGGATCGGTATCGCCTTCGATGCAATCTCGCGATGGAATTGTCTCGAATCCTTTCTGCCTAAGGCGATATTGAAGGCCATGGCACATGGTTTCACTGCCGGGCTCTGGCCCGTTACACTTTAAGGCCGTAAAGTGATACTATGGCCTGCGATCTGGCGCTTGCTTAGGGCTAGCCATAGCATGAGATAACCGCAGGGGACCCTAAGTCCCTGCGATGGGAGGACTGTTTTATATAGCCCTCGGGCCCTCTATATATAGTGTAAAATTTAGGGGTCGCTCGTTGTGCTAGCAAAGCCTTGGCTGGCTATCTCTGCTAGCGGTCACGCGGGAGCACATGACTTCTCTGCTAGTCGCACCACCCATTGTTCTGATCCAGGATACATGCATCCTCGTCACATTCACCGGGTTTGTAACAGATCTGCTCTTTATTAAGGTGGTCGGCGGCGTGTACTTCTTCCACCCTGGTGTGCGCGCTTTGCACTACCTCACGACCATGTAACGACGTACGCCTACGGCGCCAACGGCGGGTCGAAGGTCTCGCTGCCGTCCGGCTCGACGTGCGGCGTGGCGTTCATCTGCTGGCGCAACAGCGATAGCGCCTGGTAGATCCTGAGCCGTCCGCGGTTCTGGTTACCCAGCGGGCGATGCGCCGGCAGGCAATGCCACGGGTTAATCGACAACCGGCTGGCGAACGCGAGCTGCGCGTCGGTGTCGAAGCGCTGGCTCGGCAGTTCGAGCGTCGCGACAACCACAGGCGGGGTGTCGGACGCGGCCCAGCGTACCGATGCATGCTCAATGGGCATGCGCCGCGCGTCACTCTGCAACTGCAGCAGCATCTCGAAGCGCGCAGGCTGCGCGGTGAGCGTGCGTGCCATGGCATCGCGCAGGTAATTGTCCGAAGGGCGGAATGGCAAACCGGGAATGCGGCTGCGGGTGGCGCCCACCGGCCTGAAGCGGTATTGCATCGCCTGGCCTTCGCCTAGCAGGTAGGGCACGCAGCTCCAGTACTCGGTCTCAAGCGGGCTCGTCTGCGTGCGCGACCAAAGGGCCTGCATCAGCGCATCGAGGAAATGGCCGCCGGGGCCGATGAAGTAGAACAGTGGTAAGCCACGGTTGATGGCAGCTTGCAGCTTTGCGTTGGCGATTAGGTCAGGCGTCGTGAAGACTGGGGTGCTGATGCCGGTGAAGTCCTGCGTGAAGCGCTCGTCCTCTAGCAGCTTGGGGCMCGGGACGCCCATTACCTTGATGCCGATGCTCAGCACGCCGACATCCTCGATATCGGGTGGCTGCGCCGGCCCTGGGCCGCTGAAGCGAACCCAGACCGGGTATCGGCGTGGCTGCTCGAATAGGCCATGGCGCAGGTTCTCTGGCAGGCCGTCGTGGATCACCAGCTCGCCGCGCACCACGCCGTGGGTCTTTGTGTTGCCGCCGCGCTGTGCCGTGCCGGCGGTATAGTGCGTGCGCAGGTACTGCGACATGTTGGCGATGATGTCGGCGATCAATTCGTCCTCGCCTGCGATGGGCTGCTCCTCCGCGAGCGCGAGTTTGTTGTCTGGCAGGCGGGCACGGATCAGCGCCTGCACCAGGCGCGTGAGCGGCTCGCGTGTGATCGCGTCGACGAACGGACGGAAGAACGGATCGATACGCCGCTCGATAAGTACCGCGCCGACGAGGAAATCGTGCAGGGCCTGCAGGGCGGACATCGTGCTACCAGGCGAGGAACAGGGCTGTCGATGGCGGCAGGTACAACCCCGATGGGATATGCCAGGCCTTCTAATCCGGAACTGTCTCTTGGAAAGTGTTAAAGTAGAAGCGGAAACGTAAGTAAATTTGATTGTACTGTAGAGTCGTCGTGAAACTGAGGATGACCTTGGTGATAAGCGTGTGCGGACCAACAAGGGGGGCGTGGCACAGGTGCTGTTAGTGAAATGGGCCACGTGACCCCTCTTCATAAGCCAGCGGCAGGTGAGAAGGCAATTTCGCAGCAATCTTGTATTCCCTCCTAACCATTTCTCGACTCGGAAGGCATGCCATCATGGGAAGCTTCAATTTTGACTAGCTGGACAGCGATTATGCTTTGAATTATGGAACACCCGAATTTCTAACTTCCGACAGCCMCAGAATCGGCCTAGCCACTAACCGGGCCAGCCCTGCCGCTAAACGGGCTAGCCCAGCCGCTGAACAAGCCAGTCCCTATGGCCGATCAGCCTGATCAGCCAACTAGCGAACGTAAATTACCACTTCTCCGACTAAGTAGTTGGGAAAGTACCAAACAGTATGCAAGAATACTAAATATATCCGCTATGACTTTCGGTGGAAGGTCTCCTAACGTGAGAATATCAGAGCTAGGCATATTTGTTTAGACATTGATCCCGACCTCGTCCTGGCTCTGAGTGATTTTTGGAAGGTTAACTTCTAGGCACGACTTAAAGCCCTTCTGAAAGACGAGAATAAGTTCCCAGGAGATACATATACATGCGGAGAAACGATTATCGATACATCTATCGAGCGAGGATGTTGGCGTGTGTTACGATGAAGCTATTCCCAAGCGGCACTGCCTCGCCCATGGACCGGCGGTGTGTCGCGAGCGAGACGATCGGCGGTAAAAGCTGGTTGAATGCCACACAAGTTCTTTGTTATAACGCACCCCTGTCTCATGATGCATAAGATGTGCCGATCCTCATGTTGTTCTTGCATTTGCTGAGTTGTCCAGTTAAGTACACTAAATATCAAGAACCGGATAAGCCCCCCTTTATCAAAGCCGCAAATCTGCATTATAGTACATTAGAAATCCCAATTTCCCCAAATACCACAACTTCAAAATCACTATCATCCGCCATCTCATCCTCACCCCCAATTGTCCAATCTTCCTTCCTGTTCCGAGCTCTCATAACCAAGCAGACGAGAGTCACAATGGCCTACAATGTCGCAAAGCTGCTGACAATGACCCACACCGAGCTCGACGACCTCTTCAAGGGCGCCGAAGCCGGCCCCATTCCGAACGGCGATGCGGAAGGGACGGCAATCGTCGCGGCGGGCACCCCCTTCACGCCCGAGATCGCCCAGTTCATTAGCATCTTCGCCTGGCAGGGCAAGATCTTCAATGCACAGAAGATGGTCCTTGTGAACAAAATCACCGTGTTCGGCCTCGATGCCATCCTCGCTCGCATCACCCGCGAGCCGAGCTGGATCGATGGTAAGGAATGCATCGTCCTCGACTACTCTCAGACCTCCTTCGTTGCCCACTGGGTACGCGATGAGATCCGCCTCATCGGTCCCGGCCTCTATCTTGGAAGAGTGTTCTGGGACCAGACCCATCTTATTTATTTTGCGCTCCAGTTCTGAGCCGGCATGCGATGCGATGGACGGTACTACGGGCGGCTGGTGAAGGAAGAGTTTTATCCTTTGGTGGGCTATCCTAGAGTCGGGGCGCATGTCCTTGGCATGCTTGCAGTATACAAGCCGCTAGATCAGACAAGATCCGTTCACTCGTTACCGCGTAGAACTTTTGGTCAGGAAAGTTCTAGAGGAAAGGGAGTTCGGGACACGAATATTTTGACGATCATCATTATCAATCAGAGAATTGACTCTTTTAACACGCAACGCAATGGTCAACGCTATATTAACTTTTCTAGGCTCTAGAATAGTTCCAACATGTCAATTTCCGGCCAAGACCATTAAGCTTATGGGGCATTCGTCTCTATCCCAGTGTACTTCTTGGACTCTGGTAGCTTCTCCCACGGCGCAGATACATTCTTGCTCTTCTTTAAGACCGGTGCCAGTGCGGGACAGTGTCTGGTCAGGACATCTTTCATTGTCGTGTACTGGACCCAATGGACTCCTTCTACTCTAACATTGACGTGGCTAATTCCAGATCTTCCCTGATGAATTCATGTGCAGAATATGATGATCTGAAACACCATGTCCCATTTTGCCACTCTCTGTAATCTACAGTCACCAACTGAAGGTTACACAAGTATAAACCTTGATCATTCATGGCCATTCGCCTTGGCCAATCGCTATGACTGGCTGTTAACGAGGGGAGGGGGTGCTCTCCAGCATCCCTTGCAGAAAAGAGAATGCGGAGGGCATGCATACCGTCAACCTGTCCAACCTGCTTTCCAATGTCGTTGGCTACACAGTTACTTTTTCCTTGCTTTTGAACTAGAGTTTCCTCATGGCGGCGGACTTTGATAGACTCCAAATCATCGATCGAGCGTGATCCGCATTTTGTTTTGTCATGTCTCGTGTGACAGATCAAGTCCATCTCTATTGCTTTAGTGACAACCAGTCGCCTCAAATTCCCTATCACATTTCAGTCCCTAGTTCTCAAGATGGGTTCCGCTGATGAGTATGTAATTGTTGCAATCCTGTTTGGCACTCTCCTCTCTCTCCTGTCAAGTATCATAGATGCCATATTAATATGAATAAATCTACATCAATTGGACCGTGCGCAGCGTGCAAAAGACGCAAGTAATCGCTTTACGGGAGAGGAGGGGGGTGAGGAAGGGGGAGTGGGTGTCTCCTTTGACCTATAATTATATGAACTGACAGCCAATGGTGGCGTCCAGGCGCATATAAGTCATTTGCCTGATTCTAAGACAGCACACCATCCCCTTTCGGCGAGCAGGAGGTTACTGGCCTGGCTCGCGATGTTGGACTAGATCGAAGTCCTAGTCTGCAATTATTGCCAGACAGACGCCTCCAGGTCTGTCGTGTCCGCACGGTAGTAGTATCCTCAGAAAGGGTAATTCATTGACCGTCGTCAATTGTCCATTTACAGGCCTCAGAGCTATGGGCCAACTAACTGTAAGCTGAGAACTGAAGTAGGTATGTTTCTCTTGTCAATAGGCAAATTAAGCATGCCAGCGTATGCAAGTGTGCCCGAAGGATGAAGGAAGCTCCATTCAAGGGCTGCTGAATTAACTGGCACATTGAAGAAAAAAGCCATTGCATTCACTGTGGATCCAGCTTTGAAGAGCTCTTTGCCAGCGGCAACTTTAACCATGCCTGCTGAGCCAGTAGGAAGCCTACCACCCCATGTCCCTAAGCTACGCAAGTGCACCTTTGCGTAACAGGGTGCAGATGAGCGTAGTTGTCCACCGAGTACGCACTAGGACAGAATCAATTGATCCTGATAACCAAGATAGAGCCAAAGGTTTGCCCCTCTACGAGCGATTCTTCGAAACATTACGGAATCCTGTATTTCTCGGCAAGGGAATTTACAGGCGTCTGGATAAGAACATGTATTATTTCGTGGTACATACAAAACTGGTAATTTACACGCGAATCATTTTGGGGTTAGCGCATCATGTGATTAGAGTTTGAGAGACCATGTATGTTGCCCAGCGTAGAAGGCAATAACGGGCGCCACTGTAACAAAACCAACCGTTTGTCGAGATTGAGATAGAACCTGACTGAGAAAAGGCTAAGGAGAGCGCCACGACCAGAAGAGCCATGCCAGGCATTATGATCTTTTCCGATGCGTCAGGCCAGCAGAACTAACTGAGGGCTGCAGCTGTAGTCCTTGACATAGACCTACAGGCGTTGGAATCATGACAAGTCAGCATTGGGTTAATAGAACACTGGTCAGTATATGCCGCAGAGCTCATGGCGATATACTACACCATTAGCCTGGTGTATTAAATAATATAAAAGAAGTGAAGTACTCTAGGCATGGTTAAGCAACCTGTAAGGCTGTACCTATTCTTAGTGATAGTATGTTAGTGCTGCAAATAATTTAAAACCCATCTAATAAGTTAGGCCAAAGGATTATCTAAGCTATGCTGCAGGCAGCCTCTGAAATAAAGGCACAAGGGATCCTAATTTGCCTCTAATGGGTCCTGGGTCCCAGGGCATTGCAATAACCCTAGAAATAATAAAGCTGACTGCCTTACCAGAGAAGCGGTAGGTCTGAGGAAGATGCATCCCTTTTAATATCTTCTCTTATGTAAAAATGGTTTCATCTGTAATAAGATCCTAAATAAGTAGAAGGAAGAGTAGATAAAATCTATAAGGGAGAGCACCTTTGCTAAATTAACAAAACCCTACCCTTAATTTATACCTGATGACTATACAGATTACTCCTGTGGAACTGAGTATATCTGCTTATATAACTTTAGATAGGCTACTCCTGGCTGGCGATGTATAGTAAAGTATATTACTTCTAGGATTATAATAGATGTATCTGTGGTGTGCAAGAGATAGTAGTCTGTATAGTAGACTGCCTACTACTTAGAGATTCGCGATAAGAACTATAGAGGAAAATCAGGGGTACATTTAGTAATATTTTAAATATGCTAGGAGGAGGGTAATAAGGTAAGGAAGGTAAAGTATAAGATGCTGAGTAAGATAGTAGCACTCTAGAGGCTATACTAGACTTTATCGAAGCATTCTATAGGTTTTAAAGTTATATACTATAGGGGCTGCAGAACAGAACACCAGGCAACTAGGCTAATGCAGGCCTTGATGAGGCTCCAAATTTGTTAGGAAAGCAATGGTTTACTGTACATAAGGGAATACACATAGATAGATAGGAGAGGGAGATCCTGCATATCGCCGAGGGCGAGGGGTCAGCGTACGAAATCATCATCATCATCATCATCACTGTAACAAAACTACTAACCCACGAGAATCCCCTACGACACTGCCAGATGAGATGACATAAGCTAAAAGTGAATTTGTATGGGCTATAAGGAGACAAGGCACATACGGGAAAACCTATCGGTCGCACTCGATATCCTGCAAGCTGAGGAGCCAGACTCAGATCCAAGATGGTATATCGGAAGTAAAATCACTTGTCGAGCGAACAAATGCTAGTCAAGTCTCTTTCACGATCCGTTGCTGGCTTATGGCGCCGGATGCATCTCTCAACCAAAACGTAACATGTGCGAAATGTCATCCAAGCACAGGTCTATGGTTCGTCAACGGCCATCAGTTTCGGACTTGGCTAGAGGAACGCAATTCCTTCCTATGGCTGAATGGTTTCGCAGGATGTGGCAAGTTGGTCCTCTGCTCAACCGCAATCCAGCACACGTTTCGTGAGATGAGGCATAAAAAGGAAGCCGGGATCGCGTTTTTCTGCATTTCCTTTAACGACGAGGCAAAGCAAGACGATAATGGTATGTTACGCACGTTGCTGTTGCAGCTATCGGTACAACTACAAGACAGCGAGAGGGATCTAGAACAGCTGCATACATTGTATAAATCCTGGTCTTCCCCAGTGCATGCGCTGCTTGACACACTTCGACGCTTTCTTGGACGATTCTGCGGTACTTATATTCTTACTCGACGCGCTAGATGAGAGCCCTCGAGACTCCAAAAGGGAAGGCGCCTTAAGAGCGATACAAGTGATACGCAGTTGGACTATACCTGGTGTCCATCTTTTGGCGACAAGTCGGAGCGAGCTAGATTTACGTGAATCGTTGGACCCTTCCCCACATCAAGATCGTTCACTGAGGAATTTGGAAACCGACAGAGACATAGTAAACTTTGTCTCTTATCAGCTTAAGAACAATGAGAAACTCCAGAGGTGGAAAGCGCGCCATAATGAGATTAAGGCAGAATTGACAACAAGTGCATAAGGAGTATAAGCATAATAAGGAGACATAGTTCCTACTATTTTGACTAAAACCATATCTAGGTTCTAGTATGTTGAGTATTAGTTTAAAGCCATAAGACAGGTCCGCAACCAGATCCAGCTTGACAATGTCTAAACACATTGCCCCGCGATCTCGATGAGACATATGAGCGAATCTTGTGCAATATCAATGAAGAATATGTTGAGGATGTGCGGCGGGTTTTGACTCTGCTTTGCTTCTCCACCTGACCGCTCATGGCTAATGAGCTCATCGACGCACTGCTGTTGATCTCAATGAGCTACCGCGGCTTGATCGTCAGGGTCGTTTGTATGAGTAAGATGACCTCGTCGACATTTGCCTCGGTCTTATCGATGTCGCAGCCACGGAGAAAGGCAATGGGCAGACCACCGTAACTGTTCGCATAGCGCATTTCTCAGTTCAGGAGTATCTCCAGTCAGATCGCATCTTACCACAAAGCTCAAGAATATTCGCTATGCGAAGTGCGCCTGGGAATATGGAAATAGCCCAGATATGCCTGGTCACCTCCTGGAGCCAACTCTCTCTGAGGGGACATTAGATGAGTCAAAGCTCTAGAACCTAGATATGGTTTTAGTTAAAATAGTAGGAATTATATCTCATTATACTTATACTCCTTATATACTTATTATCAATTTTGCCTTAATCTTATTATAGCATGCTTTCCACCTCTAGAGTTTCTTATCATTCTTAAGCTGATAAGAGACAAAGTTTAGTATATCTCTGTTGGTTTCCAAATTCCTCAGTGAATGATGTTGATGTGGGGAAGGGGCCAAAACACATGACATATTTGCTTCTGCCAGATAGTGTCACTCAAGTTCTAGGCCTTGGCATGATTCTGCAAACGGTAAAACTATCTATTTAAGATTGTTCGGTTCCCAAGAAGACTTAGGACCATTAATCTAGGCCCACTATTCACCGCTTGGTGTATCTTTGGTCCATACCAAAGGCTAACTTGTTCCGCAGCAGAGAAGCAGCACCTCCTTGTCTCTTGGCATAACATAAATGCCACTATCTTAAGGAATTAGTAGATAGATCCCTGCAGCCCTCTGCAACTGTGGCAAGAGTAATGTGATTTACCATAGATTTGCCTAGCAACAGTGCAATAGATATACATCATCATTATATGCTAGTGATGCAATGCCTCGATGCATTCATATCAATGACGAGTACTTGAATTTACAGATATCATGTCGTAATCACCAAAGCGGCTGAACGCCCCCAAATCTACTCGCGTCCCCAAGCACTCCTGAAAAGTATCAGGCTGGGTGTCGCTCGCGTCTGAAGCGTGTCCACCAGAATTCAGTCAATTGTGTATTTGACTTCTTTCAGAAAGCAATCATGGTCCGAATTCAAGATTTTGAGGGGATGCAATACTCCCGCGATGGGACTCCAGCTGAGAAACAGGACTACGCCTACTTCAAACAGCAATATGCGACCTCAACTCACGAGGATGATCACAACATGTACCCAGATCTCATCGTTCAGCCGAAACGAGACGAAGACGTCATCCAGGCTGTGAACTGGGCCAGAGAGAACAAAGTCGCTATCGCTATCAAGAGTGGTGGTCACCAGTACAGTGGTGCATCGTCTACCAGTGGCAAGAACATTCAGATCGACCTTAGCAACACATACAAGGACTTGATGGTTCTGAATCCCCGCGACCCCATTGACCAGGATAGAGCACTGGTGTACGTTGGCGTCAGCAATCAACTCAGGGACTTCAACGCATATCTCAAGCACCACCAACTGTTTGTCCCCCACGGACAGTGCGCTTACGTATGTCTGGGTGGGCATGGTCAGACTGGTGGGTATGGCCAACTTGGCCGTAGCTTTGGCCTTTTTGGCGATCATATCAGAACCATTCGTATGGTCTGTCATGACGGTGTCATTCGAGACGTCTCTAAGGAGAACGAGGCCGAACTTTTCTACGCCGTACTCGGGGGCAGTCCAGGTAATTTTGGCATCATCACGCACTATATCGTCGAAGTATATCAGGCCAAGAGTTACATGGGGACAGTTTCCGGTCCAGATGGATTCAAGGGACCACATGGTATTAAAGGACTCTGGATCTACTCTCCGGAGGTCCTCAAAAATCTGCTTACTGCAGTCGCACAAATGGCTGACGATAGCAATGTCCCGCGAGGCTTTGACCTCTGTGTGAGCGTCCTCAGTACCGACTTTCCCGTCACGCTGCTATTCCCCACATTAAAGAATGCTGACGAATGGGAACGCATTCAAAATAAGATCAAGGGAGCCCTCGCGGATAAGTTTCTTGACTGGCTGAATGGCAGATTCCCCGCCATCATCGTGCTCTATGCGCAGTGGTGCCCAACCAGCAAAGATGACAAGTATGACGAGAGTGTTGGCCAATGGTTCAACAAGTTCCGGGCCCTGAAGGGTTTCTTCGAAAAAGAAACCCTCCTCATCAACGAGCTCGAAGAGGACATGTCTCAAATGACTGGAAGATGGATCTTCCCCAAGCAGCGAGAGTTTGATCTCCCTTACGTCAAGCGCACCTACTCTACGAATTCGAAGACTCTCGAAAAGGACGGCTGGGTTGACTGTGTGGTTGATCGCATCGACTTGATCTATAACCCGGACCAGTTGCTCGATAATAACCCGGGAGACACGGGGTACGAAGTCTACACGCATTGCAAGCTTTCAGTGCAGATCCAATGCTATGGAGGCGACAATTCGCGTTTCTATTTAAACAAGGATAACGGTACCTCGTACAGCTGGAGGGACACATCGGTTGTCCAGGTGCTAGACTGCTTTCATGAACCGGGCGACAAGTATAAAGGGTATGCCGAAAAATGGCAGGCCAAGAATGACTCCATTATGGTCGGTCCCTCGAGCCCTTTTAGCAAGCAGGACAGACGTTTACTCTGGGGGTCTTATGGTGACTGGGACCTAGGGAAGCAGGAGATTTGGAAATGTTATTATGAGGATGCGGACAAGTACCAGAAACTGGGTAGGGCAAGGGATAAGGCTGATCCCAAAGGTACCTTCACTGCAAACCCGTTCGCTGTTTCGGCTATTGCAACCAGGGACGCTTGAACTGTACAATTGCTCAGTGGATAGGTCACTAGTAGGGAGGGGCTGAGCTCGCTTAAACCTTGAAAATAAATTTGTTTGCAGGGATACTTATGATTATAAATGATATCTGCTTCTAACTAGCTAATTTACTATTTTCTAATATAAAATATTAGGTAGGAAGGTGATTAAACTAGCGGGGTACCTGTTTGGGATTAGTCCGCTCAGGGTAGAGAAATGCATTAAATAGGAGCAGAGAAGATGAATAGATCCTTTTCTTGAGAGGAGGATGAACATCTCCAACTCAAAAGGTTAATCTAATAATGTATACGGAAAGGTCCACATCAAGATTTTATTCTCGAACAGCACTGTCTTAGTGTTATATGTAAAGCACAAACAATCTATATATATCTCAGAAACGCATAATCTCAATAAAAAGAGCATCAATCTACCTTTACTATAATCAAACGTGGAAACCCACAACTCCAAACACGAGAGCCAGAATACTCCAGTGAGATGGCACCGTCTGAGGACTTGCCGCGCCTGTAGAAAGTAATGCAGTTGTAGACGGGCTTGCTCCGGAATTTGTATCTGTCGGTCTGTGCGATGTTGCGCTAGCTGACCTTTCACCAGTGTCGCTGCTAGCGGAAGAGATCTGTGGAGTCTTCTCCGAAGCGGGACCTGTTGTCGAGTGTGATGTGTTTGCCTGCTGAGATGGCGAGGACATTGCTGTCGGTTCCGCAAAGCTTGTAGCCGCCGCTGTGCTAGAGTCATCGTGACCCATAGTCCCCTTGTTTGTAGTATCTAGGGTAGTCGATGCTGGTAATGGATCAGTCTGTATTAGACTACCGCCTTTCCGCGTGGATGTCGTTCCTGTGGTCGTAGACGCCTGACCACTCCTCGTGCTGGAACTGACCGTATCCGCAGCAGCAGTGGTAGCCGACGAGGTCTCCAATCCCTCGCAGAAGTTCAAAAACTGCTGAAAGTTCGGCAAAACCTTTTGCTCAAAGCTGGCAGAGGTAGCAGTCTTGTGGATGCTACAGCACTTCTCACAGTGGCCAAGGGAGATGTTGAAGGCCGAACCGGCATTGCAGATCTCCGGTGTCTTGCCGGTAGATTCGACCTCCAATGCTGCGTCGTTGCACTCGTCGTAACAAGCGCCAGGCACGGTGGATACTCCGATCGACTGCCGGGGGAGTAGTTTGCTCCATGATCGACGAGAGGACCGGATGTAGTAGTGCTCATCGCCAGGTCTGAGATCCGGGATGCGGAAGATGGAGTAGTTCAGGCCGAAGATCTCAGGGTCGAGGTTGAAGTAGTCTTTCGATATGTTGTAGGTTGATCCAATCTCATTGGATTCTACTGGCGTGCCCCAATACTGGTCGTGGATGAAGGGTGGGCTTTTAATACACTCGTCCGGACTGCAGACATATGACTCGGCTGGCAGACCGGCTTCGATGTTGCAGCCTGCGTCGGCGCCGGTGTGTTTGGGTTTACAGAGATAGCCTGGTGGACAACCCCAGGTGTAGTTTCGTGGGAGGGGAGCGGCTGGAGTGTAAGTGGGGTTGATCGTGAGTGTTGGACAGATGGATAGCGTTGTGGTGGTTCCAGGGACTGTCACAGTGTTGCCAGTCTGAGTTGTAGATGCAGTTGGAGCAGTGATGGTTATAGTTTTATCAGAGCCTACTTTGTCAGTGAACTATACTGTAAGTAACTTAATCAGGACTTGGAAAAGACGAACCAGCCAATGTTACTGTGTTGAAAATGGTGGTGCTATAGATGACAGTCACCAACACAGTCTCAACTGATGGTGATCCAGGGAGACTAGTCGTCTGTACGATAGTGGATCCTGGTACAGTAGTAACGGCGCCTGATACTGTCACGGTACTTGCTGGCTTAGTGATGGTAGTGACAACTGTTGCTTCGGGCATAGTTGTTGGAACAGTCTGTTTATCCGTCGTTGTGACGCCAGGAAGAGTATTGGTTTGGACAGTAGTTGATCCTGGCAATGTGGTGACAGATCCGGACATGGTAATTGTCTGTCCAGGTTCAGTGATGGTGGTGATTATAGTTGATCCTGGGAGGGTAGTTGGAATTGTCTTTATGGTCGTGGCCATGGGACCCGGAATGGTGACTACCTCAGAGACTGTCATCGTTGTCCCAGATTCAGTGATTGTTTTCATATTCGTCACTGTTGTTCCAGGGACCGTGAGGGCCACAGTTTCCGAGTTCATTATTGTCGTGCCAGGTAGGGTAATGGTCTTCGAATCCACCACGGTTGCCCCAGGCAAGAAGACGGTTTCGGTGGCCGTTGTCGTTAGAATCTGGCTAATGGTTTGCCTAGTGCCCTCTGTCACAGTGGTTGTGTCTGTCACTGTTGCTCCTGGGTTCGTGACTGTCGAGGTCGAGATCTCGGTCAATGTGGTTGTGTTAGTGATAGTCGCTCCAGGATCAGTAACTGTTGCCATTGAGGTTTCAGTTACTGTCGCGGTATCTGTTACTGTGACCCCAGAAATGGTGACGGTTTGGGTGGTCCTCTCAGTCGATGTAGTTACGACCGTTATTGTTGAACCAGGGACTGTTACGGTAGACCCTGGGACAGTTACCAATGTAGTTGCATTTTTCGTGACAGTGGTTGCGTCGGTCACTGTCTGTATCGAAGTCACAGTTGTTCCACCATCAGCAGTAATGGTGACGGTGGTGTTGCGAGACATTCCATCGCCTAGGGTCACAGTATATGTTGACCCTGGTTGAGTTGTGGTGGTCGTGACAGTAGTGGTCGAGATTGAACCCTGAGAGGCTGTCACCGTGGTACCCGGTAAGCTAATGGTTGTAGTGATAGTATCCGTCCTCGCAGTCCCCGGAACAGTGACCGTGCTATTGAGTATGTCTGTCACCGTGGTACCTGGTAAGCTAATGGTTGTAGTGATAGTATCCGTCCCCGCAGTCCCCGGAACAGTGACCGTGCTATTGAGTATGTCTGTTTCTGTGGTGCCAGGCAAGCTGACAGTCGTGGTGACAGTGTCAGTCTCCGTGGGGCCCGGAACGGTGGTTGTCACAGTCACAGTAACATTAGACCCTGGTGCTGTTGTCGGGATGGTGACAGGATTACTGGTCGTTGGAGGTGGCGTTGTGGTGGGTGTAGTCGATGTACTTGCGCATACAGGACAGGTCGTGATTGTTGATGTTGATGTCACTGTGATTGTGCCCGCTGATCCTGTGATTATAGGCGGAGACTCTGGAGGAATTTGCCTTTTGGCTAAAATATATTCCGGGAGCGTTGTCATAATCGATGTACTTGTCTCTGTAGCTCCAATCGGTGATGACCCGGGAGTCGCAGCGGTGGTCGATGGAGTAATTGCGCGTTTGATAGCTATTGAATGCTCGAGAAGACTCGTCTGGAGGCTGCTTGTTGCCTGCTCTAACTTAGAAATTATAAGGAACAATACAATTGCAACTGACCTCCCAAGATCCGGACACAGTAACTGTCTCAAAAATTGTCTCTGTCACTGTCACATCTTCTGCTGAACTAGTACGCAATGCCAACAGGCTATTCGCATCCAGCGCATTTGACAACGACGAGGCCGCTATCAGGGCCAGCAAAGTTGCGCGTGAAAGCTTCATGATGTCCACTGTCCCTAGTCCGTCGTAGTGCGATAGCAAAGTTCTTTTAGAAGAAAATTAGGATGAGGAAACTGAGGATAGTTTCTAGAAACGATCATCAAATAGTTTTCTGCAAATCAACAACGACTTGTGATTGTTGTCGTCTGTGCCGGAAGTGGAGGTCCTCGTGGCTGAAGCGATGGACAAAGAAACAAACTCAGTTCCGAGACAATAACTCATCTACGTGCTGAGTATGCATACTAAAAAGCGTACTACAGGCCGTTACTGGTGACCAGATCAGGCTGAGGCTGGATATTCGACGCTTAGGCCCCGAGATCCCTAACTCATCTCTGTCTATGATATGATTCCCAGAAGATTTTGAAGGCTGAGCACGAAAACACGTCAGTAGATGCAATGCCAGACCGGGCACAGTGTACAGTAGCAGGGAGGGCTGATGATTGTGGCTGCATGACTCGAGAGTCTAGTACATAAGGCAACAATAAGCAATTATGGTTGGGTTACTAGCGAGAAATTCCACGGAATGAGAGCAGATCAATACACATCTCTGTTGAATAATTGTCCTCGTCGGGGCGAATCTTCTGGTGATTTTTGTCTCACTCCACCAGCTCCTTATATTTTTCTCTTTCTGGTATATGTGATACAATATCAAGGGCAGTGACTTGATATGGCTTGATGAAGATGTTCTGGTTTCCTTTCTTTGTCCCACCGCCAGTGCCGAACATGGCCCCGGGGCGCTGCAGAGGACAAAGAAAATAAGAACTAACCAAAAAGGGAAAACGAGAGGGGAACACGGATCAATGGTTACACAATTGTTGCTTTGACCTTGATGGCTTCCCCAAGAATTTCGTCCTTGTAGCAATTATGTCCACTCGAAGCGAGCTGTTTCCAGCAAAGACACTGGCTGTCATCAGCCTCATGCACGACTCGTATTGTCTATGACGGACTCGTGTGTTTTCTTCCTTCCCCCCACCATCAGCAGATTCATTTTCAAAGCCTCATGATAGCAATGATAGTATGGGCACCGATGGTCTGGCCTTCTCCTCTTTCGTCTGATGATCTTTTTCGATCCCTGGTTGCCCTCGTGGCTTGAGCTTTCTTTCTTTGTTTCCCGAGCGCGTCTTTTGACTAACGACTATGCTTACCATTTGCGACTGCTGTTGGCTTGGGGCTTTCTTAATTCGACGTGTTGTGCTCAGCCTCGTATGGTAATGCGATTTATGAAAAACAAACCGCAGCAGGAAATGGACCGAGCTGTTCGTCCTGATTCTGTCCTGACCGTTTGCTTCTGATAGAATGCGATTCAATTGGCGCAGGTCAGCCGGCATATTTGCCCTTTTGGTTGGCTGTTCGACCACACAAGGATGGAATATCAATGTCTCGATATGTAATTGGGATCAAGTTCGAGGTAACTCTGTCCAAGGTGTCCCCGTGATGACAATGCTCATATCTCTTAGTTAACACGATTCGTGATACTGTCTACCTTGATGGAGGATCATTGTGGTGGAAGCGGTATGTGCTCCTCTTCCGTTTTATGTCGATGCATATTGATAGACTGAATAGAGACTTGGCTGATGGCACGTCTAATTTGGCTAACGATGGTAGGTATCACCAGCTTCATGGATGATCGAGGCTAACCGTGTGCAGGAAACAATAACGGGCTGCTCTACTACCTCAATCTCACCACATCCTTCGATACTACAGCCTCAAACCTGACTGCCTTGTTCGGCAACGTATCCAAAGCCGGAGGAATCGCAAACAATATCGCCCCAACCTACCGCGATGGAGTCATGTTCGCTAACGACAACGAGCTCTACCTCTACGGGTAATTTGGCCTTCTTTTTATCGATTCCCCTCTGACCATACATAGTGGCCTCCTGCGTCTCACAGACAGTCAAGACCCCCCAGCCGGCAACTCCGTTCTCGGCTACGAACGATACCAGTATGGCCCGGACCGAGAATCCTGGCAACCAGGCTTCATCATCGACAATCTGGACAACGGTGTGACCAGATACGTGACGAATGGGGCCGGAGTTTCCGCACCGAGCGAAAATCTGGGTTTCTATTTCAGCGGTATGCGCGGGAAGGACTGGGGCCCTATCTATGTTGATAATGAATCCGCCAATGTCACATCCGACCGCATGATTAAGGTGGACATGTCCAGTATGCGCGCGAACAAGTGGTCTAATCTGTCGTTACCGTCGTATGTCCCTGCGCGGGCTAATTCTGAGCTCGTTTGGGTTCCTGTCGCTGAGTCCGGTGTCTTGGTGGCGATTGGGGGAGTGATCAATTCAGTCACGATCTTTTCTTCGGAAGGATTGACGAGTGCCCAGCAAAACGCCAGTAAGAGAGCAAGTCCTGGGTTCATGGAGACAGTGTCTGTCTACGATGTTAGCGGCGATAAATGGTGAGTTCTTGGGCCGGTAAAGCGTCGAATACTCATTAAGAATAGGTATCCGCAAAACACGACGGGGGACATTCCTCCTCAGTTGACGCAATTCTGCTCAGTCTATGCGAGTGCAGCAGACGGATCCTCCCACAATATCTACATCTACGGCGGCTACGACGGGCTGAGCACGGAAAGCACACCGTCCGACGATGTCTATGTCTTATCCTTGCCCTCCTTCAGCTGGATCAAGCTTTACAGTGGAAACAGCACCCATGGCCGGAGCGGTCACCGTTGTGTCAAACCATATCCTGACCAAATGTTTGTTCTTGGAGGAGTGCATCTTGACCCTACTCATTGCCTTGACGGTGGAGCGATTCAAGTATTCAACCTGAACACCGGCAGGTTCCAAAACACCTACAGCCCGACAGTGTGGAGCGAGTACAAAGTCCCGGACCTGGTCACTGCCGTCATTGGGGGAGAGTACGTACGTTACCCTTTTTTGTACCTATTTGCTAACGAACTGCAGCTACAAGGGCGGCGCCACAAGAGTATCACCCACCTCCTGGACCAATTCATCTCTGGCAGATGTGTTCAAAATCAAGTATACGAAGACTATTAGCACCTGGTACCCCTACAACAGCACTACTAGCAGCTCACCTACCATCGTCCCTACCATCGTCCCTGTCCCAACCACTGGGTCCAGCTTCCCCAGGTGGGCCGGCGCCATCATTGGCGTTGTTCTCGGGCTCCTTCTCATCTCAGTAGCTGTCATTTTCTGGTGTCTCCGTCGCCGTCGCAAGCTCCAAGAATCACAATCCACAAGCGAGCAATCAGCTCGACCCTGGATCCTGCGGTGGATGCACACTGGCGGGTCAATGACTGGCGTACCGAAATCAGGCGACACGACCGCGTCAACAGGATACAGTGTATTTGGGGATGAATCGAATATCACGCCGGCAACAGCAGTGTCGCCGCTAAGTGTGGAGGCAGGTGGTGATCCCGTTTACGAAATGCTAGGTCCGTCCTTCCATCATCTTGGTTTATCCTGCTAATCGTTGCAAAGCCCATACTACCGCATTCCCCGTGGAGCTTCCCACACCGTATAACAACTATTCCCTCCCCAGTCCGGTTTCGATCTCTGGCGTCTCGGCCACTGACCAAGTATCCCCTGTCACGGTCAGCACACCCAGCACTGAGGGTGAACCGAGCCCTGTAAGACAGCTGCATCATCGCCATGTGTCTAGTTTGTCTACTGTGCCGACTATAGCGAATGTGATGCGCGAGGAGAGTGGCCAGCGGCAGACATATAGGTCGGATATATCGGAAGGGAGCGTTGAGCTTGGGTGTCAGAGGGGTGCGGAGCTGAGTGGGAGCACTCCTCAGGAAGGGAGATTGGAGACAACAAGAGAGATTGATGAGGTTGGGGGCTTGGGGATAAAGGAATTGCCGTAGATTACGTTATTACCATAATAGTGTTAGCTGGAAGACGTACCTTGTTTTCTAAATCACTGATTAATTAGTCGTCCGCGATGAACTCACTATATGTTTCAGTCTGATTCCATTTGGTCCCGCACAGCTGCTTTGGATAAAGCATGATCATGAGCCATTAGCCTTTAACAGCATTAACACTTTCATTGGGCATACACCACACACATCTTGTCGATGCTGATGGCACCAGGCTCGTTGGTGATAGTTTCCTCACAGGGACTTAGGCAACTGTTCGAGATATCACTGTTCCCATTTCCAAACCGGCACGTTATCTGGCCGAAGGCTACTTCATACAAAAGGGAGGCCATGGACCTGACACCGCCAGACCCAGTCCTCACGTCGCACATTTGCTGTCAACCGCGCCGGAGATCTGGCTGCGCCGGCGCCACCGGTCATTCGTAGCCTCCGGGTTTATGGGCTACTATAAGCATAGTCCTCTTGATATGCTTGTAGGCAAGCTGCAATAAACATATGGAATTGACAAAGTCTCTTGTTGGGCGTTAGTTGGCGCATTGGGGACAGAGGGTATGGGCATTACTTATAATGAAAATGTCCCCATGAAGGAAGTCAAGAGCAAGTTACTGGTGTCTTTAATCAACAAATATCAATGGACGATGCTAATTTCCCTTTTCCTGAGTTTTGCATTACTGAATACCAGGGAGAGCACGGAAGAAACGCAGAAAGGAACTACGAGTGGACAGATATTGCAGACGGAATCTTGCTCTCTGCTGATGCATTCGGGATAGAATCACAATTTGAGTCAGATACACTTGTGGCAAGCGTGCCAACTGAGTTACTCCTCCGATCTCCGCATAAAGGCGAAAAAGTGCGAGAAAATAGTTCTTTATCGCGCAGTGGAAGAGAATATGAGCTGATTTCGGCATTATCGTCAGGAGAAGGATGGGTAAGGATATTGTCTCCCAAAGACGTCGGTTTTGCACAGGACAAGCTACTCTCGAGCGCATGGTTTCTTCCCTTGGGCTCAGTTGACATGGAAGTTGACGTTTCGGGAAACACATGCTCGTGTTACTGGGCTCAAGCTCCAGGGTACTGATGATCAGCCAGTGCACGCCGCTTTCGGTGGTATCATAGACGTAAGGGGTATCGGACCGGAGAGGGTGGAAGTCGAGGAAATCGCACTTGATCCAAGCCCGTGATACTACATAGGGCCGTGATGCGGTTTGATTACTGCACATGTAGAGAATTTTATGTCCAGACGTAACAATGTGGCAATTTTAATGCTCATTATTATAGTGCGAACCATATGATGCTTGATAGGAACGATTACATATTTTAGGCAAAACCATATAAGAGACTACTGCTACTTATGGTGGCTTCTCCCAGTTATCTGCAGATACATACCTTGGGGGAGAGGTTGGGGGATGTGGCTCGGGTAAAGTTATCGCAATAATGGGCCAACAAGGCGGAGAATTATTGGGGGCGAATATGGATTCAACTCTCTTACTTCGCTGTGGCTAGCCGTTCATTTCCCTGGAACCATAGAAAGTCAAAGACTGTTCAGGTCTAGGTCAAGCCTCAATAGGCAAAACGATATCAGAAGACCACCTATTAGTCATATTTTATTGCTAGGAGCTCCAGGCTGTTCCAATTGATTTCTAATCATGGTAATAAAAAAAGCCCATTTCGCACCTATAATATATACTTGACCTGCTGCCAAAATCGCTAGCCAGTATTATCATTTCTATGGATTGAAGAGACTCGAAGCCCGCAAGGTTGATTGCTAAAGATCCTACTTTATGTAAGTTTTCCCGGAGTTCCCCAGGCGTTGAGCAGCCTTATGAGACAAGGATCGCTAATGAAGCTGGAACGGCATTTCAGGACTACTCTCTGCGAGATCCTATCCCACTCAAGCGAACATCCGTATACGTTCGAGGCTTTTGTGGATTACCTTGCTAAGAACCATTGTCTCGAAACACTGGAGTTCATCTCAGAGGTGAAGCACTACCGTGAGAGCTACAAGTTATCTCTAGCACGTTTCAGTGTGCTAGGTGAAGACACCCCTGACAAAGAGGATTCGTATGTCTCCAGAGAATGGCAACATTTGAAAGATACATATATTGCTAGCAATGCTCCCCGCGAAATCAACATACCAGGGTGGATGCGAGACACATTAATGGAAAGCACACCTGGGGTTTTTTGCCCGCCACCGATCTTACTTGAACCGGTCCTTCATTATGCATACGAAATGCTCTCGGAAGATGCTGTCTTACCCTTCATTCGATCGTTAGCGCACATGGAAGACTCGGACGATGCTGGACACCCAGGAAACCGACGACATTCATATGAACCACCTAATGTTACAAGGCCGTTGGATGATCCAATAACACCCCCATCGTATGTGGCATTCTAATAGATTGTGGTTGATTGTGGTTGATTGAGTACTAACACTATGAAGTCGCAGATCAATTTATCGTCGTGGCACGGGGCGCTCTTCTCTTCAATCCCAAGATGACCAAAAGATATCTCAAAAACACACTCATTCGGAGAATCCATTCTCGAAGTCGGTCAGGCATCTGAAAGAAAGGGTCATTTTGCTATGCAAAAGGTCTCCGAATTAAACCCCGTTAGGTCGATTAGACACGGATAATGGAATCCGGACGCGCGAACCTACGATGCGACAACATTTCTCGACAAAATATAGACATCGTCCTACACCAAACCTGCCTCTTTAGACCTCTTCTACTATTTTGCCCCATAATTGCTGCGCCCATTTCTACTTCTTTTAATGCACTGAATGCAGTTATATGGGCAGAAACGTATTTTATGCCTTAGTCTTTGACTACTGAGGCCTACCGTTATCAATCAGACCTGTCTTTGCTGACAAGCCCCATACTGACGACCCGAAGAAGCTCACTCGTCCCGTCTGGCATAGTGGTACGCTAAGCTAGCCATACTCCTACTACGAGAGCCTGTGGACGGTCTCCCAAGATTACGGCCTGGGAGTTCTATTTGAGCCATTTAACCCTTCACCCCGTCTGCTTAGTGTTCTTGATAAGTACTAACGTTCTAGGAGTTTCCTATGGTGCTTGATGCCTCATAAGATTTCCCTGAAATTGCGTACGCATGATAAGAACACCCTTCTTGATTGACATGATTTATATCTCTAGACTCTCTCATTACGTGTTACTATGATAAATGCATAGATATTGAAAGTTCATCAGCCCGTAATCTTATACAGACTGCTAAGTATCCTGCAGCAAGGAATTTCTGTTATGTATAATCCTTCACTTTGTACTCTCTATTATTATTTCTATTTCTATAGTAAAAATACATGTACAGGCATAATTGGTTGCTGTCACTCTCAGGTGTGTGATGTTGCAAATCGACTCTTCTTCCGGATCCGACTGCCGTAGCGGAAGAATATATAACTGTAAATGGCATCGTGAGATTCTGTCAGCCACTGCTGGATGAAGATTGCACATTGAACATGCATTACGAGATATAACGTCATGTACCACATGGTCGTAAAATGTTCGCTAGGAAAGGGCAAGATAAGGGCTACTTACGGGAAGGGAGCCATTATGAGCGTAAGAAAGGCTAGCAGCGATGTTGCCCAGTGGTAGCCGAGCCTGTCGTACACTATACACGCAATGGTTAGTACCACTTCAGGGGGAGCAGATCAACGAACGCTGAACTAGGGCATACTCACTTTGGACGCCAAACAGGGGAAAGACCCCTGCAAATGTCGAACGTGCAAAACTGTTGGCAGCTAAAGCACTCGCCGCATATGTGGGATACGCATCCACCAGGAACGTAAATACACCAGAGTAGACTAGCACAGTGCTGTATATGCGAAGGATTAGCGAACGGCTCCAGTCATCTATCTGTGTTGGCTCAGACAACATACCCTGCTCCAAACACTGCGCTTCCGATAATGGGCACCACCCAGTGGACATGTGGATAGACTGTCCATGCAAAAATGAAGAGTCCAATAGTTACAAGMGGAGCTCCACCGACCGCTTCATACTCGCTTCGTTAATACACAATGCCATTAATGATGTCTTGGGACACTTACCAGGAGGTAGTCGCCATTCGGGCAAGGATTCGTTCTTCTCCCCAACAGCTTCTTGATGTTGCCGTTCGAGACGGGCATAGTTCCTGCGCCATAGGGGATCCGTCATGATCGCTGACACCATTCCGACGAGGATCCCCAGAAAGGAACAGCCGATTTGCCAGAGGTTGAAGCCATAGACATTGGAGAAGACCAGCTGAAAGGCACCGAAGAAGAGATATAGGATGCCTAGCAGGATGGCAGAAAATATGCAGAGATTCATGCACATGGGTTCCAATGCCAACAGTTGCATCGGTCTGTATACGGAAGAGCGGATCATGTGCAGGACGGAGGTGTATGACTTCTCGGTAGGAGCTCTCCATCTCTCATCTCCGGTTTCCTTGCGAAGGTTCATTGCCATGCGCTTCAAGAGTCTGCTTACCATTAGTGGACCCGATATGGAGTAGTATTTCGTGACGAGGGACTTACACTGGATGGTAGGTTTCCGGCACGCAAAAGCAGATCAGTACCAGGATTGCACCGGTCCAGATTATGAGAACGTAAAATGTCCAGCGCCTAGAGAAGTTAGTGATCGGCCTTCCGCCTTTCACAGCAACGGGACATACCATGTGGTGAATGTATTGATAAAGCCACCAACACTAGGCGAATAAGTCAGAATATATGGGACGGAAAGGATATAAAATACTTACAGAGGGCCAATCTCAGGGCCAATGAATGGGCTCGCAGTGTAGAACATCATCGGGGCCGCGAGCTCCTGCCGGTTGAAGAGGTCACCAACAGTGCCGCCTGCAACACTCAGAAACGCGCTCCCAGACAGGCCGTTAAAAAACCGCGCTATGATCATAGTTTGAATGTTGCGGGCTACCGCGCACGGAACAAGCCATATCAGGAAGAGGGTGAAGGATATAATGTAGATGTTTCGTCGACCGTACAACTGTAGATTGTGAGTATCGTATCCTGCCTGCTAAAGCACCAGGGGTCAGGGCTACTACTAACCTCCGAGAGGGGCGCCAGAAACAATGGACCAATTCCTAAGAATAAAGTCAGCAAACTCACATAGCCACAAGCCTCGTGGTCCAAGGGTCCTCACCAAGTCCAAAAATATAAGTTGTAAGCCCTAGAGTGGCTATCAACGATGAACAGTGGAATTCTTCTGTCAGTTGGCGGTACGTCATTGTGTACATAGATGATGTGCAGGTCCTAGAGCACATTAACTGGGGCTCACAAGGAAAGCAATAGGAAATATTCTTACACGCAGAGAGACCCGAGAGAGACAATCAAGACAATGACCCATTTCCTTGCGTAGTCGATGTTTCGAGGGTCCATAGAGGGATTCATGTCGAAACTGACCACATACTCCCTCTCCAATGTCACTGAGCAATCGGGCCCAATCGGACGGGTGTCATCGTTAGACTGGCTAGTGTCGAGTCCTGCATTCGTCTTCGGTAAAGTTCCGCTTGGCTCCATGTTGTATAAACTTGACCGGTACGCAAGTAGTGTCAAGCTGTTGAGCCACAATGTAAATGGAATACTCTTGGCGTGTACGGCTGCTGCTCTGCCGTCAGACTTGAACCATAAGCAATTCCCACCGCTGATAATCCGAGTGTTAAATACATGGTTGCTCATCGTCGGGGATTACCTCTATTTCCTCGTGTGGCGTAGTCGGCCCGCGCGGGCCCTGCGGATGAGTATACCTTAAAACTTTGACTGATGCCACTTCCGTCAGTATACTTCTGGACTTCTGTACTCCGGAGTTTCCCCCCTTTCCTTCTGTCATCATCAGTGTCTAGAAGCTAGAGCAGATCAAGTGAAGCGAAAGCTCCGTAGGAAGATTCGCGTATTTCCGGATCTCCGTAAAGTGCTGACAAATTTTGACACCCTGCCCTGCATCCACCAGCGTGCTTATGCAACAAAACTGCGTCTAGAATTTGTTTGAGGACCAAGGCTCATTCCAGCTAGTAGCGCCAAGTCAAGGTCAGGCACGTAGATATAAGCATGGTTAGAGGTCCTACCCCTGTCGATTATCGGCATTCTGCGATAGTCCCAATTGGGTGTGTGGACGGTAAACATTTGCGAACGCCATGGCGAACAGAATCCTTTTATGCCTCCAGCTCTTCCTATACGCCAGCATTTGCATGGCTGAAGCGTCGATTCTCTTCCAAGACGCAGCTGCGGTCATTTCCTTCAACAGCACCAGTGAAACGCTGCAAGTGATCTATAACGCCTCCGTGCTTGTCACAGGGACACCATTACAGCGATCATTCCAGCGTCTGAACATGTTCGACTCCCGGTTAATACCACTGTTATGCCCTCCGAAGGCAAGATAATCGCCCCTGGATTTGTGGACACTCATCGACATGCGTGGCAGACTGCCTTCAAAACCTTGGGTTCGAATACCAGTCTGGCGGAATACTTTGTGCGATATGGCGAGTTCTCACCGGCCAAGAAGATCTTCACTCCAGAGGATGTGTATATAGGGCAGCTAACTGGGCTATGCGAGTCGATTAATAGTGGTGTGACTTCCATCCTGGACCATGCGCACCATACTTGGTCGAGTGAGACTGCACTGGCAGGCCTTCAAGCCTCTGTGGATAGCGGAGCCAGAACATGGTGGTGCTATGCCTTTCATAATCTCAGCGACGCGACCTGGGTTTCCAATTATACCCGAGAGGACCAGATTGCGGATTTCCTCCACATTGCCGAGGATGGTCCATGGCGGAAGAGCGACACTGTTTCTCTAGGGATTGCTTATGATAATTTCGCAATGGATGATGCTGCCGAGATCGAGCAAATTACCTCCTTGGCTGTGTAAGAGGTCGCCCTCAACTGAGGTATGCAGAGCTGACTTTATTCCAGGTCACGAAACGTTTCTGCATTCACGATGCACTACCTCGGCGGTCCTTGGAGTTGTATGGATACCTACTATTTCACGTTTTGCTGCAACTACTAATGGCTGATATATAGACGCAAATAGTCCTCAACTGGCCAATCAGTACAAATTTCTCAACACCTCTATCCCGATTGTCTTTTCCCACGCCTCTTACCTGACAGTGGAGGATGCCGAGTTGCTTCGTTCAACAAACCAATATGTCTCCATCACTGGTGAATCAGAAAGACATTACTGACACGGAGACGCACGCAGCCAGTACATTATGGATCAAGGTTCTCTGGGAATCGACACCCACTTCACCTACAGCGCAGATATCGTCGGCCAAGCGCGCATGTGGCTGCAGGAAGTCAGGCTCCGACTGTACGCCCAGGTCCTCGACCATTGGGACATCCCGCCCAATAACCCCATGTCTGTTGAGCAAGCCTTCTTACTGGCGACCCGCGGGGGCGGCCTTGCGCTGCGTCGCCCAGACATTGGTGTCCTGGTCGAAGGTGCCAAGGCTGATCTCGTCGTCTTTGACGGTACCTCACCGAATATGCTTGGTTGGGACGACCCAGTGGCGGCGGTGATCCTGCACTCCAACCCAGGGGATGTTGAACACGTCCTTGTGAACGGGGAATTTCGGAAACGCGACTTCAAGCTAGTCGTCCCTGATAACCTGGCTCAAATCCGGCAGAGATTTCTTGCCTCTGCGAGGCGCATCCAGGAGATATGGAAGCAGATGCCGCCTCCTGTATTGGAGGGCCCGTTTCCGTACACGCCAGATGTTAATTACTCCGATGCTGTGACTGCGGATGTGGTGCGTGGATGGGAAAATGGGTGCCTCTCATCTTGAGAAGGCCTCTACCGTGCTGATTTTGACTATGGGCTCATCCCACGAACGGTAGCATAACCCCCGAAGTTATCGTTATTCAAAGCACTTTGCCTGTGTATTATTAGACCACACAAGTCGTAATCTTCCAGATAATATCCAAATGTAATCCAGATGCATGGCCTAGCCACGTCAAGAATGAAATCGGTCCCACGGGAACATCATCCCTTCCAAATAGTCGCCAAACATGCAACGTACTCGATCTGCTTAGAGAGATGACCAATCCCTCCGTAGTCAAATAAACGGTCCATGGCATCAATGAACAGTTTGCGTTCTCCGAAGTCAACTCCAAGGCAATGGTACCGGCATTTACCGGCATTGGGATATATACCCGTGTGGGCGTAATGTACCTAACGCTGATATTCAGACAAATCTGCTGCTGAAGGTTCTTCATCTTCACCTCGCGACCCGGCAAGATGTGATATTCTCTATTCCAGTGCTGTCGACACTGCACTACTGATTCTAGTAGCTACATGCTTATACTGCACGCCTTTTAGCTGGGTGGTTTAGTGTAGTCAACAGTGAACCTATACTCACGTAGCATCCTGATCCTCTGGACTCTTGCCATTCTTGTACTTGTACAGCCTGGAGAGCTCCCTGATTCGCATGGAAACAGTCTTCCCGGGTCCATCACCAGGCCGCACATTGACCATACTCTCCATAAAGGCACTATCATCCCCGAACATCGGATCCAAATAGTGCATATTAAACAAATGCCCCGACCCCTCCCGGACAAAGACAGTCCCAGAAAAGACACTCGCATTTGAAAATGCGTCCGCAGGCGACGTGAACTGCAACACACCAATATTGGCCACAAAATCCCGGGTGTTTGCGTAGTGTTCGATATTCCGGATTGCCCTCTCTCCTTGGATCTGTCTACGAGGTGTCTTGCCAGCTGGATCGTTGTCTTGCTGCTCATGCAGAGGCGGATTGCGAAACTGCCTCGCTGCGTTGCCGAATGTGTATATCTCTAGTTTCTGCAGTTGGGATTCGCTGAGCTCGCCATACAGCCAGTCGATTATCGAGGACGCGATAATTCCGCCTTGCGAGTGGACGATGAGGACTACTTTCTTAGTGGTAGATGCGGCTAGGGCGGCACGGAGCTGGGCGCGTCCCTGTCGGATGTCAGCTGTTTTGTAGTCGAGGTCGCGCTGGATGAGACATTCGACGAGATCGAGGATTACGCCTTTGCTGTAGCCAATGTTTAGCAATGCCCGGTACCAGGTGGGTGTACGCACGTTGGATTGTGGATACCCACGATCTGCCGGCCAAAGGTGTCTGCCAGCGCGATTAGGTTCGACTGGTGCCAGTGCTTCCTATATCAATCAGTGGAGTTCTTTGCTTGCTAGATAATGATATACCCAGTGGCTATTCCATTAATGAAAAACCATGGCTCAGTTTCGTCGTTGACTGGATCCCTTGTTCGCGGAATGCCGATTAGGGACCTGCCTGTCGGGGCCCCATTCAGGAGCCTGACGATCACCATAGTGAAAAAGGTAAAGACAGCAATAAATGCTATATGCACACCCGTGGGAAAGATCCAAAAGATGGCCAGGGCAACTGGTAAGGATATAAGCAGGGACACCTGGCTGAGAATGAGAATAGCATGTAAAGAAACATCGCATAGATTGCGACAACTTGGATAGAGCTCATCCAGCGGTCCAGATTTCAAAGGCAGAATAGGTAAAAAGATAGATGGCAGTAGCCTGGCTAGACGGAAAACGGAGCTGATATCCTCCCATACTAAGCGGAAAGGCTGAGCGTCTATGTCGGAGGGGATGTCGAGGAAGGGATTGCCCCGGACAGGTGTATTCGGGATGAATGATGCCATTTCCAATTGACCTTGTTCATTTGGGGATGGCTACAACACTTTTATTTTGCATATGGATGCAGCTAGGGAGATGGATCTGCAGAAGGTCTGCTTGATCACACCAAAAACTAACAACTGTCTGGTAATAATTACATCATAGTGACAAGGACAATTTCCTGGTACCGCCTAAACCTACTTGAAGGAATCAAACACTACTTTCATATCTATCGGAGTCAGCGGATACCTACGTAGAACAGGTGGATGGATGACCTACTTTGAGGAAACGGCGTCCAGGAGGATCCATCTTCGCGCAAGTACAGCTTAAACGCACCATTCACCATCTTACTTTTCATCTCTCCAGCTGGTCCAGGAGCTCGACGGATATTTTCAAGTCTACCAAGGACGCGCAAGAAGACGGCACCGGCTGTGGTGACAATTGCCCTTCCAAGACACGCGTGTGGACCCCAGCCATGGTGAATATAGACATCGGCCGGACGGTCAAGTCGGATCTCCTCAGGGTCGGGAAACTTGACGGGATCGCGACCAGCAGTGATGAAGTCTACAAATTCGATATACCCTTTGTGAACAGTTGTAGAGACTTTTCCGTCCTTGATTGTGGCTTCGTCAACTGCTGCCCGGAGGACACCGAAAGCCGGGGTAGACAGGCGGAATCTGTACAGATCAGCACAATCCAGAAACGACTTAATAGATCCTACCCCTCAAGAGCGTATTTCTTCAACTTTTCAAACGCTCCAGGATCAGCGGAGCGTGCCAGCTTTTGGATAGCCGGCCAGTGCGAGGCGTACTTATCCGATAAGTAGAGGTCGAGCATTTGGGCCCACTGCATTGTCAGTATGCCGTAGCTTAAGTCGATCAATCAAGACTTACACCCTGCGCTTGTGTCGCACACGCTGCTGCTGCGGTTGGAATAATGGTCCACACGACTTCATCGACACTCTTGCCCCCTCTCTGTAACCGCTTCACAAGCTGCGAGCCATAGCTCGCTGCCCCGGCCTCGCTCATCCCAAGCGCCTGCATGAAACGTCTGAAGATGGTATCTCTCGCACCGGAGACTGACTTGGTCATAATAGCGCCCATTCGCTGCGTCTCCGTTGCTGCTACGATCCTATTCCTGAGAGAATCTGTCGGCTCAAGATCCAGGAAGACATAACCGAACAACAAGGAAAGGGCGTCGGAGAGCTCTCTGGGGGTATAGGCATCAGGCGAACGGTCCTTTTTGTCCTTGAGCGGGATGCTGAAGAACTGCGAGCAGAAATGTGCGTGTGCTAGGTTTGCAACGCTACATTCGTTAGCGTCCACCTCTGGGCGATGGCGATAGCATCAGATGGACTTACTCTCGGACAATGTCAACATGATAACAGTCCCTAAGCTTGGAGCTTTTCTCATGAAGCAGGTCTGTCGTGATAGACTCGTAGAGCTTTTGCACATCCTCGAGCACAGTCTTTGGTTCGTAGAGACACTCGTTGACGAATCGCCTTTGTTCTGCATTCGCCGCAGAATCCCCACTGAGCATGTAATCATGCCCGGTAATCTGAAATGTATGTGCTCCCCCTATCCTATGTCAGTCAATTGCGGTAGGACTGAGTGCATAGACATACAAGGAACATGGAACCGCTTCTGGTCGTCCAGAACCTTTGTCACCCCTTCCCAAGTTGTGACCGGCACGGGTGGCGGAGTATATGACGGTCGATCGAAATTCGAGTCCTTGAATTCCATATATTTATCCATAATCTCACGACTCTTCTCCGGTGTCACAAATGGATATAGCGCATAGACGCTGTCTGGCTGGTACCATCCAGGGAAGGCTCTCATCAGCAATTTATACATCACACCCCCGCCAGCAACGTCAAAGTCTGAGCTCGCGGCATAGAAGCTGTCCAGATATTAGCCAAGAGACCTTAAACGGGATTCAGAACCCACCCAAAACTGGTCAAGTTGGTTGGACTATAGTCAACTGTGTAGAAACGATCTCCGCGAACGAGAGCAACCGCATCAGACAGAATAGCCGCTGATATGGTGAAGCCAGGACACAGCCCGGAGCCGGGATAGAAGGGCTTTTTGGCTTCTTCTGCCTGTACGCCAACGTATAGCTCTATGTTATCGGGGTGGCCGTATAGTGCTTCCACTGTAATACTTTAGCTCTATCTCGATATTTGTATGGTGATGACTCACATGCTTCTGCAATAGCTGGATTCGAGTTGACCTCCACTATGACAGCTTAGCTTGTCTACAGCTAGGGATACAAGCACTGCACTTACGGAAAGTTGAATACGGTTTCAGTTTAAAAAAAGCTCTGAACTCATTGAGAGTCGCCAGCTGCCATTGCCGTCCCTGCTCAATCCCGAGCATTTCAATGGCCTTCAGTACCTTTGGAATGTTTCTGGCGCCGAATGCCCCTGGCAACGTCAATGCTATGCTAAACTAACGATAGCTGCACTTACCCGCGACGTTCTCGCACCCTTCTGACATGAGACGAACAAGCTCACTGTCTGCGAAGCGTCCATCCTGCTGCCGTTCCAGCCCTCCGAAGGTCCACGTTGCAGGTTCGCCCTGTACATTGTCCTCGAAATATTTTCGCAACCCGTCGAGGAATTGATTCACCGATAATGTGCCTATACATCACCTGTTAACCAGTCTCACTCACCATCTCGGACTACATACTGCCATCGACTCCCGGTCCGAAGATCCTTTGGCAGAGTCTGTTCGTCCAAGCTTCATCCTGATTACTGATGGCCGCGTGCCAGCGGTATATCATGTTAAACTCGGCACTGACTTGATTCCCGACTCCTCGGGGAACGCCTCCTTTGTCGAAGACGTCCAGGCTCTTTCTGGGGTCAAGCGTCCAATCTGACTCGGTCGGATTCTCATTGAGGTTGAGGATTGTCCGGAGGTAGTCGTTTAGGATGATATTGACATAGAGGCCGCATGTTATCCTTACTCAATCAGCGTCGGCTGCTATAACCAAAGGATTCAGCATACAGTCTCCCCGTCTGGAACAGATCATTATCCCTCTTGGCCACCGCGCCGCTGTATCGTGGATCATCCTGCGTCAGTCCAGTAGGCAAACTAAATCTTCCGGCTTCGTTAATGTAGGCCAGCTCCCCTACGACCCAGTTATGGAATCGATTGAAGGAAACCAGCAATGCGCAAACGCCCGGCGGTTGTTCAAGGGGTCTTTTTTCTGCAAATGTGTCGGGTTTGAGGAGACCGTCTGTGAAGGTCCTCACCTTGTTTTGCTGGTCTTGGTTATGGCCATATAGCGGCCCGAGATCGAGATAGGAAGAGTTGAGTACTTTGGTGCTGTCGCGCTCGTCCGTGTGGAAGAGGTCTATTACCGTATTAGAGTGATATATGCATAGCCACAGTTGCTGTTGCCATACCGTGGATGATCACTGTCGCTAGATAGAAGAGATTGCTGGATATCTTGCTAGGGTGTTCCTTGGCGGGACCGTCGCGTGCCAGCAGGGCTAACTGGGTTAGTAAAGTTCTTGAAGTTTCTTATGCCAATCATACTGTCAAATATAAGAGACGGATCAGGAAGCACAGCAGACTTCGGATGCTGAGGGGTGACTGTCCGGGCATAATGGCTACCGGAAGCCCCGAGATGGGGGTACATGATGTTCTATATTTGTCAGGTCATATACTCGATACCAAGGTACAGATGCATACGTTATAGCTCCCATCCGCGGCCCGATACCTGAATTGATCCCCGAGATAAGACAAAGGAGGATGCTCGAGGTTATTCCACAGAGTGCTGACGAACGCATCCGTGATCTTCCCTCGCAATCCAGATGTGTTGGGCAAGGACGCCGTGACTTGGATAATATTTTCGATCTGCTTTTGTGAGCGACTCTTTCTCAGTGGCTAGAACGGCAGCATACGAGATAGTTTCTGTCATCAACTAGACCTCCATTGACTGCAGTCTGGCCGAGTTCTTGGATGGTCCGCAAGTCGGGAATAATTCGCCCTGCCTGGCTGAGAAGATCCTGACTGGCGTCAGTGAGGAACATGCGGTTCTTGCCACTTTGTCCTGCAGAGTGAGAATGGGTTTCAGTTGAGGGCGCCATAAGGAGATGTAGGATCTGTATCTCTTGATGCCGCAATTATCAGATGTTGCTATTATGACACTGACTCTACATGACTTGTTATAAATATCTTCTAAGGACCTACTATCCGACGAACGGTTTCCTTTCTGATATTTATCAGCAGTCACTATCTCTGCTGAAAATTACTATTTACCGGCCACCCTGTATGACCTTTCCGCAATTGAGTTCCAGCATGATGCGCACTTGCGCAATGCCGAATCGCGTAATGCATTTTTTTTCCTCATCGTCAGCAGAGGAGAGTTGTGGGTAGATGCGTAATCGCGTCATGGAGAAGACAATTTAGGATTTCACCAGTCTTTTGGCGGGGAGAAGGCTAGAACGAGGAAAGGAAGCTAATCTATGATTGTTGCGTCAAGTCAGTTGCAAGCGGCTTGACTGTCAGCACTGGTTTCGGCCGCAGTTTGGTTTAAGTTTGACCTACCCGAGACGTAAGGTCCGAAGGCTCTTTGCGGTTGTCCCATGTCACTAAGCAATAGATGAAGAAGATGATGTAACTATGGAGTCAAGCTTAATCCTGAAAAGAGTATGCCCCAGATGTCCCAGTGGTAGACGCCATTTGCTAGCTGGAGGAAGAGGGTATGATTAAAATTGTCCCAACTGTAATACCTATTAGTAAAGAAGCTGATGCCCCTGTGTTACGCGTAAGACCATAATATTATTTATAGAATTAAACCAATGGCTATAGAAGTTATTTACACAACCTCAGTCTTAAGCATTTTTGGATCCATCTTCATAATGCTACTTAACATGGTGATATTGCCTTCTTGTGGCTAATAGATTAATCCACTGAGCAGGTAAGCTCCGTTGGTGATGGTAAGGGGTGGGTCAGAGTAGACCTTGCTAGTCTTGGCAGATACTGGATCTATAAGCTCCACCGGCCAAATGTATAGGATGCACACATGGAATGTACAGTACTAGGTGGGTGCAAACATTAGGTTGTGGATGCCCACAATCTACCAGCCAAAGCTATCTGCCAGCGTGGTTAGGTTTAACTAGTGCCAGTGGCCCAGTGCTTCCTATATTAATTAGTAGGGTTCCTTGATTGCTAGATAATGATATACCCAGTGCGTATCTTATTAATAAAAAAGTATAGCTTGGTTTCATTATTGACTAGATTCCTTGTTCATACTCATAGAATGCTAATTAGGGACCTGCCTGTCAGAGGTCTATTCAGGCCCATAGACTAGATATAGATATGCCCCTGCTGGAACTCTTGGAGCAAACAAAGAAATGATGCTTACATTGCTTAGAAAATATTAGAATTATAAGATAAAGAGAAATAATAAGTTATAAAGATAACAGAATTATAAGATAAAGGGAAATACTAAGTTATAAGAATAATAGGATTATAAATAAAAGAAGATATTAATAAAGCTATTTGTGACAGGAGCCATCATGTAGGCTGAATCACCAAACCTAGTCAGGGTAAGTAACTACTAAACTAATAACAAAGAATTACCAAAGGGAATTCTAGATTTAAACCTTAATAAACCAAATAATATTAAAGCGCAGATATTACTATAAAGTAAACAAATGTTGGGACTGACCATCTGATAGTGATGAAGAAGATAAAAAGGAATGCTTGTTAGCCTGGTTAATAATTAGTGCCGACTTTACAGAAGCAGACAATGTTTCCAGGCTAACACCCTCATTCCCCTGGCTTATTGGTTTCTACCCCTTGCACCCCACAGACTCAGGTAACTTCTCCCACGGTGCAAATACATTTTTGCTGTTTCTCAGATGCACTTCCAGCTCTGGGAAATGCCGCAGAAGCACGTCCTTCATGCCAGTATTCTGCAGCCAGTGAAACCCTTCTTTAGTGTATGTGTTTGTGTCCCATTGTCCTGCAATAAAGCGGTCGCTTTTCAACCGCCTGCTGGCCATGAGAATAAATATGCGGAACGCTGTGTCACTGAAACCAAAGCCCTTGGGAACTGGCTCACTGTGTGAGCCCACGAGTGTATCAACCAGCTCAATGTCACCATACACCTCGCGCAGCTCTTGAGCGAGCTCCTTGTTACCACCCGTGAGCTCCTCGAAGGTTTCGGGGGGTGACATGCGCAGGAGCCGTCGGAACTGATTGTAGCGGGGCACACCACGCTCGCGATCGCGCAAAATATCCGCAGTGCCCAGGTCCCGATGCTGGCCGTCTGGCGTGGATAGGTTGCGCATAAAGTCAGGGTAGTTATTATTGGTAATAGCCCCTGGGTAATTAATGCCGAATGAGTAAAAGCTGTCAGCAAACGAGATACCCTGGTCAAAGGGCCTCTTAGCCCCGCTGAAGATCGTGTCTACGATGGGGATAGTTGACTTGTGCCGGCCGTCTGTAGCACTAAAAAAGGCGATCTCATCTGGATACAATAGTCAGTGAGTATGCCTTGGAAATATGTCAACTAAGAGCACTACCGATGCTTACCGGGAATAAGTGGATGCATTCTGTAGACGGAGACAAATTCTTCAGTCAGAGAATATGGAACGCCAAAGTGGTTTACACCAGAGCCAGGAATACCGCTTATTGTTTCACTGGTCTTTGAGATTCGGCCCACCATCTTCCACAGGGTCTCCCCAGCAATCCCCCACCAGTTCGCATTCATGCCAATCTCAAGGGCTGGATGGGCCAAGATAGCCGGGGTCCATTCAACCGTGTGTATCTTGGCCATCAGGGCGCAGTTGACAAGGCGAGCCTTGTCGAAGATTTGATCTCTGTGTTCCGGTAAGAACTTTGTTTTTCTTCTTTCAAACTTGTGTGTCAGCTTACCCAGTCCAGTCAGGATATGCGGTGCGCAGCATGTCGCAGATGGCATTATGCTCCATCGCGAAAAGTGTATGTAGCATTTCCATACCGGTCCACCAGTTATCGTTGAACCCTGTCTGGGGATTCCCAGTGTTATCTCGGGGCAGAAATGTCACAGTGCCATTTTGAGACAGCGACAACTTCCCATTCTGGTCTTTGGTTCGCAGGCTCTGTGTGGTCGCCTCGCTTGAGCCATAAATTTGCGAGGCGTCCCACCACGCTGTGTTTTGATTCTTGTAACCCGGGCACTGAATATCAGATTCGTCTAGCGTCTCATCAGGCTTCGTGCGTTGAAGGATCATGCGACCATGAGGCCATGTATCCCCTGATGGAAGTGGAATATTATGGATTTCTTCGCTCTGGTTGCAGAAGTTATCAGCACAATTCAAAGTACTAAAGTACATGCTACAACAACAGCAGAACCAAGAACTTCAATACGGACGCTTTCATGTTGGAACCAGTCATGGATCTGGAACTGTATCCACGCTGCAGCAAGCAAGTTTAGACTTGTTGCAGGGATAAATCCTCTGGGTGTCCTTGCCATGAACCGCTCACTGACTAGTCTAGGGTTTGGAGTCCAAAGCTCGTCCTTGTTTGGCTTCTGGGTGTATTTCCTCGGAAAATTCCGTCCAAAACGCATGCCTGAGCAACCCATGAGTGGTAGTTCAACAGAGTTGAACTTGCCATCTGAGTTTCTTGCATTGATGAACCGTTCATCTTCTAATGGATGATCAACTGTGTTTCCCTGCGCGTAGCCGGACGAATACCCGTCATGGAGGTTGTAAGCACGCAGCTCGATGCGCAGGAAGTCGAGGTTGAGTGCGCCAAGAAAGCCTGGGAGCCTGTGCCACGGTACGTATCTGTTAATGAAGTGGAAAATCTTGATAAAGAAGCGCTGGAGGAAAGTTGGCTGGAAACTGGGTGACTCCATTGCTTTAGAGTAGGGAGTGCTTTACGTAGAATTATTGGAAAGAAAACCAGCTACAGGTAAGACTAGAAGAAGAGCAAGTCTGGTTCCAGGACTAGTAGTAGGGAAGATGGGCGACATCTTATATAACATTTGCTCAGCTTTTTCATGGGGCTCTACGTTGCTGGTCCTTTCTCGCAGGCATTTGGATAAAAGTTAGTAAAATCTAAATACCTCTGGTATCTGTTAACCTAGACCCAGAAAAGTGCGAGCCAGTTACTTATTCATACCATGGTAAGATGGCAAAAACTCAAGGACGTCGCCAATATGATGAGAACATCAACTGATAATMATGTTAAGGACTGTAGTGCCCACTTCCTAAGTGTTCTAGCAAATATTCTAGACTGAGTTTTATTTGGTTAGGCGCAGGATCACTTAACCAAGAAATGATGGACTTGAGCATCCACTGTATAGATTATGTAAGGTTGTGGACTAGCTACCTAATTAAAGTTAAAAGCTTCTATACTATATTTCCGCTTTCATGTAGCTAAGGAAATAAACCATGGTATTAAAGTAATAATGTAAGCTTTTAACTTTCGAACTTATAAGCAAGCATATCATTATATGATCTTAACTGCTTTAGTTGTCCCTAATCTATAATAAACATGATTATATGTAGGCGTCATAATGCCAGTTTATTGCTTTACCTCATCATTAGTATTTTAGGACCAACAGTATCCACTGGTGAAGTAGTGAGTTTGACAAAAAAACAGTTGCATAAACCACACGTGGTGCTGCTAAGCCTTAACCCATTACTAGCTATTTCTTAATGCCTCAGTAATGTTTGCTAATAACCAAGTCCCTAGCATAAAGTAATTATACGCCCTTCGTACTAGGCACCATGTACATGGGAGTAAGATTGGGCTGGTTGCACGATCCCTTTCTTTATGATCTCATCCCAGGATCATCTGCGAGGTCACCCTGCGGATCGTCAAGAGCCAGCCACTCCATATGAGTTTCCAGGTTTCGGAGATTAGCGAATTCCTTGGCAACTTTGGTGGAGAACTCCAAGCTTTGAAGGCGGGATATGACCAGGTTTTCGGGATGTTGTTCCCGACCTCTGGTAAGCCGCTCCTCCAGCGGCGCAAGTTCGTCGACTCAGCAAACCCGGATTCGGATTCCTCGGGGACTCAAGTTGAAAACAAAAATATCATTGCTCTTTTCGGAGACCTGTTTCTTCCTTTGGTAAAGGCCTTAACGGCTCTACAGCTCCCAACGCCAGTGGCAGCACCGCTCAACAAAGTACTCATTGACTTGCCGCTGAAGAGGATTCGCGACTGTACCTACACCATAGATCCTTGTGATCGTGACGTAATCTATGAGGAAGAGGGCCCTAACTTTGAATTCTATGACTGGGTTTTTCCTGAGGAAAAGTGGTGTGATATGATCCGCGCGTTTCTGCAGCTGAGTGACTGTTCCCGAAGGGAGCAGAACGTTATCTTGCTCATGCCCGTAGCCGTCTACTTCCTCAAGCAAGATGAATCGTCTTTGCTTTCTCGATCGCGAAATGGGAATATAATCGCAGTTGACCCCGAGTATCTTGACCCAGCAGATCCCACGTGGACGGCGTTTCGGTTGGCTTTCAATGAGGTTGCGTTGTTTCACGGCGGCGTCCCACATATCAATAAGACACGTGGTGGAGCCATCAGCAACCTGACAAAAGTCCATGATCCAGAGAGTATTTTCAGATATGCAAGCAGCTGGACCCTAAGGACCTGTTCCTCAAATGACTACTTCAGGGCCTTGTTCGGCATATAGCTTGGAGCTCGCAGCATATAGGCAAATAAGGGCAAGGATGTATTCTAAGGCGAGATTTCAAGGCTCAACTGACTAGCTCTCCTTGTTTACTTAATACGATATTGTAACTATCTAGCTGATATTCACATTCTTCTGTACGTCCGTATTCATGAAAACGTCCTGATGCCACAGTGACCAACCGCTGCAGGCTTGTAGATTGCCATTCAAGTACACACAACAGTGAGCCAATATTTTTAGTCTCAAGAGTGTTGAACAAGTAAAAAGTGACTGGCAGATACAACCCAATTGGGACAACTTAACGATGGCACTGAAATGAATGTCATATTTCCACCTCCTTAGGGTACATGAGCGTACCTTACTGCCCTATGTGTAAAACACAATATAGAACAAGAGGATCAATGCGCTTCCAACCAAACCAAACAGTGTACGAGGCGTCTTGTTCTTCAAAATCTCCTCCGGAAATCTTTCCTCGGTATAGAAGGTAGTCATAGTCTCCCTGGACAGCTTCCCTCCCATTTGCGCAGTGTTTAAGAAGGAGACAGTTTGTAGGAGGTTAACAAACCATAGATTAAGTGGTAGTTTAGGCGAGCCTACGGCCTCACTCTCCTTCCGGCGTCGGACATATGTCTTGGCGAGAGATTTGATTGTGACAGGACCGCCGTCAGCATCATCGAGGAGTGCGTTGAACAGGGCAGGCTGAAAGGTGTAATTGTCACCTTGGCGGAAGTCCAGTCGTGTGAATGATGCATCATGCTCAACTACATTGTGTCTTCGTAGGTCCCGAAGATCGAAGGTGCCCTTGTCTCGGCAGAGCGGGCGGAGACTACGAGTTAAAGCTGATGCAAGGACGGTATCCATGTGAAGAGCGGTCCTTAGGGCGTCTTCGACTTGTGGAAGGGTGAGGTTTTGGCCATCACGAGGTCTTTTTGGTCTCAATTAGCGGTGGTTGGGACGGCAGGATGGCTGTTACGTACAGATACCCATGATTTGCTAAGGCGTTCAAGCCTGGGCATGGACCACGATTTGCAATAAGGCCTTGAATATAGCCGTGGTCGTCGAATGAAGAATCCTTGGCGACTTCCCTGTGCTGTTCAGGCGGAGAAGTCAACAGGCTCCTTACCAAGCTAAGTAGTCCCACGTACATGATGTCTAGTACGCAAGACGCGAAATCATTATGGTGCTAGGATATTAAATACTGGCAAATGTTACTGGGACTCTTATATAATTTAATAACTAAGTGGTCGAGTTACGAGTAAGCCCCACCACAGGTGGCTTCAGTGTTTTTGGCGCCAACCAGCCGACATTTAGTCGGTGCGTCACTACCAAGTGAAGACGTTTGGGACCGAAATACTAATGATGAAATAAAGATGAGAATCTGTAGCATGATGCCCACTGGTATTCCTTAGGAATCTAGGGCAGCTAAGTGGTTGAAACTTGATTAAGATTATAATGTAGATCATATGCTTTCTTGATATTTTAGGGTTCGAGCGTAATTAATGTTTCAATAGAACCATGGTTCTGATCCGCTAGCTAGATGAAAGCGGAAATACTGTATCAAGTCTTTAACTTTGATTAGTGAATAGTCCTAAGCTTTTTGTATGGCTCGAGCCATAAAGTACATTATTCCTTAGTTGAGTGAGTGGGTGATAATAAGTTTAAACCAAATAAATTTCGGTCTGGATTATTGCTAGGACACTTAGGTCCAGGTCACGGAATCAGGCGGCTAGGAACATAAGGTTGGTTGACAGGAATAAAGTTTGCCTCAATCACGCAACTCCCTGACAAGATTTTTTATCGTTGACTTTGTGGGAATTGACTGTAATTTTATCCCACTTGCTGAATTTCCCATATGTTGAATGCTTTTGTGAAGCTTGTGATATCGGTAGCAAATTCATTGCAGAGGTGGTGCTCTGACTTGCACGTCCCATTGAGCTTGATTACCCCTTGAACAGCATCAAGCCCATTTTGAGGTTTGGAGTTTATTATTAGCGCCTGTTGAAGACTGTCTACATGTATCTTCTGTATTTTGGTGAGGGACGTTTTCAACCTAGAAATAGCTGGCATTGCCCCTGCCAATCCATTAGTGAGATTGTTTGCTGTCTTGCAGCCTTGTAATGTGAGGGTTTGTAATGCACCACACTGGTAGTTAAAACTAAATGTAAGGAGGAAAAGAGAAGAAGAGAACTGTCCAGGAGAGCAAGCGAGTTAAGCATACTATGGGAAGAATCAGCCAAGACTTCTACCTTCATGGACTGCTATGCAAAGAAGTTCATATGAAGACTAAGAGAATACTAAGTGACCCGGAAATCCGGCCCATCTGAGAGAATCTGAGATTATGAAGAGGGTGAATACTATATTTCCTAAAATAGAGCGCAATCCGGCATTTTATTGGTTGACTTGCGATAAAGTGAAACGGTTACGTAGAAACGGGAAAAGGCGTTGACTGCTTATTAACTTATTTGGTTTTAGAATCCTTGGATTTAGGCGTTGCTACAGTATTTGACGCTGCTTGACCCCCTCACTATCAACCCTTCTGTAAGTTTGACCCTATTAATGTTGTTATATTCTGCTAACAAGATAATAGAACAGCCTGAAGATATCTTATTATTCGTACCCTCGTCCAGGTAGGAGAGCCAATGGCTCAAGGCATCATTGACACCTGGGCACCGTCCACCAGCTAAGCCAGGGCCTATGGACTGGCAGATTGTACCGGTTTGTCCAGGATCTAGAACAAAATCGACTCGATGGCAGATCCTCATGATATCGATTCGTATCTTTTTTGTCAAGCGGATGACTGCCTGGCGGACCGAAGCACTGTCCTAGGCTTTTCGTAACCTTAACTACATTGCCAGCCATAGCCACGGCCAGTAGCACTATTTGTGGAAAATACAATTAATGGCTTCAACGTTAATTAGACTTGGTGTAGTAGCATATACATTAACTAGAACCTCTCCTTCTGTGATTCAAGGGAGTGGGATATCTCTAATATGGGCGCCTGACAAGTTTGAAGACTGAGAGCAAAGCTTTCAAACTGCTTAGGCAAAGCCTGTTCATGGCTATGGCTTTCGTAATGACTGTTGTATCATGGTAAAATCCTGAAATGAATAAAGATTAGATAAGGTTCGCATGGAGTAGAACATAGAGTAGTGCTCTGAAATAGTCTGTGTCGGGTTAATTGATTTTCATACATCAATATTAATGATTAATGATCACGATCACGTAAACACTAATTAATATTGCTATTGCTACCATGGCGGAGGGATAGAAGGCCCGACGGGCATCAGTTCAGGGGGATGATTTATGATCATCTGTTTAAGGTTCATGGAAACAAAGTTATGGGAAATAGTGATTAAAAGAGTATCCTGGAGTACTATGACATGTAAGCGCCACTGGAAATCACACTGAGTGTAGGTAACGATGAATCTCTCATCTATATACACGCGCTGTCTAGTATATCTACGCACAAAAATGATATCAAAATGTAGTATAGCCACCACTTGCCTCATTGGCTGCACGGCACCTTTTAGGCATATATCTAAGCGTATCTTACAGAGTATTAGCTGGAATAGCGTCTAGGCCTCTCTGAGGGCTATCTTAAGCTCTGACATTGTCATATGTCTATATATTACATATATCTTTGAGCATTTATTGTACCCCGTTCCTTCTCCTATCCCATCTGGCCTAAAATAGATCCATGGAATGGGTCTAAAACATTTCTACTATTATAAATGGACGCCGTTCAATAGCGCAACCTTCAAGAAGACAACATCCCCTCAGCGAGTAACCCACGTATATGTATGGCGGCCTGGATTCAGACCATAGTATAGCTTCCCATTGACAGGAAGCCCAATGAAGGTGCTCTTGTGCCCAGAGAAGGTTTTTCTGCTTATTCTCTGGATATAGTGATGGTTTTATTTTAGCAATATATCTTCGATAGCCCTAAAAGGTATGCATGATCGGATTGCCAATTGAGTGTAGCCTAATCAAAATGCAAGGCCAAGTCTTAGGTACCTTGCATACCTCGACGAGATGACAAAAATAGTCAATTTCCAGTTGCTTCATTGCCAGTGGTTGACCAGGCTTTCAGAAGGGGTAGGGTGAGCAGCCTGGCAGGATAGTTGAACCTGACGAATAGAAACACCTATATGATTGGCAATATCTCAATGTTATGTGTATTGAGCGCAGAGATAGGTCGAATGCTCATCCCTGGTTAGCTGAAAATGAGGAGATGTCCATATTACTATATAGACATATAAAGAATTGATGTTGATGGTCATGGTTTCTTAGCTACGCGTAATTGATAACGGCATGGGAAATTCATCCTAATTTTACGCAGTTCGGTGAACACCATATCACAATATCAGAGGAGCCTCTGGCTACAAGATCTTCATTCTGGAAACCACGCGCGAATACAAACATAGAAACTTAAAGTAAGAATTAGCCTAACGTCTGCACGCACAGCTACTACTGTTTTGCGGTTGCAGTTTGGAGGATCCTCTTCACCTCCTCCTCTACACTCTCTTGTTTGAGGCCTAGGCGATCATTCCAAATACCGCCCTTCACATGGGTGTGGTCTTCCAGGGCCTCTTTTCCAAGCACAGCTGCTTGGATAAGGGCGGCTCCTCCTTCCAAAATATTGCCCTCTTCCATTTTCTTGAAGCCTTCGGCCCTGATATCTTTTGAATTCGCGTCTACCACCTTCCACTTCTCCCCAGTAGCTTCCTCAACGGCGGTGAGAACCTCAAGTTGAGTGGTAGTAAAGGACTCCACAAATACTACCCTGTTAGCAGTCTCAGTAGCATGGCTAAGGACAGCAATAAGGGCTCGACCGATTTGTGCGACGGTAGAGGCTGTGAATCGAGTCTTTCCGCCGTCAACAAGCGTAACGGTCTTTGTGGTCAAGTCAAAACCAGTAAGGCCTTGGAAAAATGTCTAGTATGAGAGGTTTAGTATATTGTATCTCACACAGGGCCTGGGGAGTGGTTCTGCCTATACCCAATCAAAGAATGGCCCAGTGATAAGTGCCGTCCAGCTGATGACGTCTTCTTTAGAGGACAGAAACTCCAAATACTTTCTCTTGGCCTCAAAAAAAGGCACTGCAGTTCTGTAGGAGCTAGTTGGCGGGTGTTTAAAAGTGAATTGACTGATTAATACGTACTGTTGAATCAGACCCATACTCGCTAGGGATAAACCTCTTCACTCCTGCGGCAATAGCAGCCTCGATAACTACACCCTGGTCACCAAGGGCCGTGATAGGTAGCATGCTGATGACGGCATCCTGCCCTTTGAAAGCTTCTGTGAGCGATCCCAATTTGAAATCACTTTTAACAATCTTGACACTCCCAGGGAACTTAGCGGATGAAGTTTCCCGTATCACGGCAGTCAGGCTAAGCTTGGACTTAAGGAGTACTGGAAGGACCAATGCACCCAAATTCCCGCTTGCCTAGACATTGTATTAGTCGGATTCAGCCGCAGTAGGTCAGAGAACGTCCTATGACAGATCGGGTGACGACCGTTCAACGTACCCCAACAATGGCAATGTTCTCAAGTGACATCATGGCAATTGATGTTACAGAATGTTTTATGAAGAGTGGTCAAATGTGAGTGATTAAGATAGGGATGTTATTGAGTTGGTGAGCGAGAGCAGTGGCCTGGCATAACCGAGGAATATATACATTTATCACTGTTTATTCTTTATTTTACAGAGCAGAGCTCGCCTGGTGAAAATTGTCTACAATAGGTCTTGAATCAGCCGGGGTATGAGACCCTCCGCAGCACAGTTCCATGAAAGACCTCGACCTATCTTGTTCCTCCGCGCCGATCAGTCGGACTGTATCGCAGCAACTATGATGATAAATCAAAGAAATCGAAGCCAACCAAGAAGAGGCAAATATTTTCATGCTGGCGGTGCACTATCACCGTTACTACTCGCCCCTGGGATTTTTAGGGAAACGTTCAGCTTCTCGCTGTAGTAGCAGCAGTGCAGACGGCGCAAATATTGTACCGTTGCCGTGAATCCTTCTCCCAAATCACGGCCATAGTGGAGACTTGAACTGCTTGGCAGCACATTCCTGCAATCGTGGAAAGGCGCAAAGGAACATTGATTGGTGGCCAATTGCAGGTAAAACGGTATCGAAGTATCAATCTCCGACTCCTGCCAACTATTCATCTAATCCGTATGGTCATATTTACTGTGAACTCACGCCCCTACATTCCAGGCTTTACATTTCCATTTCTATAATCCCTAAGACCCGACTTTTATCCTGGCGTAGTGAGAAGCCTCGTTGTTAGCCGTGATGTGTCCGTCCATTGCGGATGGCTTTGTCAAGGCTGCGACCTAAAACTCTAGAAATGGTGCTTTCTTTACGTATCGAAATAGGAGATCTTCACTGCAATCTATGATGGCCCCAGGAAATAGGCAAATACCATTCCGTTGTAAAAACAAAGGCGAGAGCTAGTTTACCAAGAGCTACTTCTGTGAAGGATCGCGACTTGATGATACATCAGTTCCTTAGGACTACTAATTCTATGTTGCAGGTTGTTTTCAGTCAATGCATAATTCAACCCAAAGTCGTGCACTCTAAACAATGTAGGGGTGGTAAGTTAACATTTCAATTCATAGCTAAATTAGGATCCTATATGAAAATTCATTCCAAATGGCTAACACTGCCACAGTTATTACGCTATCAGGCCATTCCGTAAACCTACTCAGATATTGCTTGTGATTCCTGGTTGAATCTGCTCCAGAATCTCCAACAACTCTTCGTGCACCCGTTGTTGAGCAATTGCTCCCTCATTGCTCCGAACAAACTTGCTTGGCTCCTTGACCTTGCATTCGCTCATGTATTTGCCGTGGCTCTCACTGCCAGCAGCTGCACTATGAACGAGTGTACGGCCACCGACCTCTGTTGTTCGCGCAATCAATGCTTTGGCGATCCTGAGCACATAGCCAGTCAATCCCTGGGAGTTGGCAATCAAGTCAGCATATTAGTCAAGGTGGCAGCAAGGGGAACGGTCGGATTGTGATAGAACTATGATAGGACTATACCTTAATATCCCGGTCGAGCTCCGAATGGCACAGCCCGGGGTTGACACAATTCAGAATCACAGGCTCCGCTGCGTGTGGACCCTTTTCCATAGCTGCAGATATGGAACGAACGAGAAGAACTTCAAGAAGTTTTGAGGTATAGTATCGATCCGCAAGGTATGACTTTTCATTTTTTTTGAAGGCTTCGAAGATCGAGGATTCATGTCGTTCTCGGAATTTTGCCTTTGAGATAATCAGCTCTCAGGATTACTACCTCGAGGATTCGATGAGACTCACGTTTTCATGCACAACGGAGCTTGTTATCACTAGCCTTGATGCTTGTCCTGTTTTCTTCCAAGACCTTCTCAGAACTGGAAAAAGGCCAAGCGCGAGGAGAAATGTTCCGATAACATTGACCGTAATAGAAATCTCAGTTCCTTCACATTCCTCGTAGGTGTTTCGTAATACACCAGCATTTGCAACGACAACATCCAGTCTGTCTAGCGAATCGCACTTTTTGACGAAGGCTTTAATGGAATCATAATTGGACATGTCGATCTGCCACACCTCAACGACATTTTTGCGGTTCGTGGACGATTCGATAGAGGCTTTGGCATCTTCACCTTTCTTGACAGATCTCACCGCAAGGATTACTCGTGCCGCATCAAGTCGCACAAAATGTCGTGCGGCCTCAAGACCTAAACCGGTGTTTGAACCCGTGATAATAACGGTTTGACCCGCGAACGATGTCGTAGGAAGTGGAATGTGTTGCAGTTGTGCCGCAAGTGAAGACATACTGGCTGTTTGTGCCTGGAGATAGGAAATATAATCACGAAGCAAGAGAGGTTGCAGCACAGAAAACGCTTTCGTATATCAGGAAGGACAATTTAACGACAAGTTTTATATAGCATCTGGAATGAACTGTAAGCGTCATAAGATGCTTCAGGTTACTGAACCACTGTGCTAAGCAAGCTTACCAATGACGGGGATAGGGGGAACCCGACAAATTGCTCCGATGCCCGAAGGTTGGCGAACAATAATAGCTCATCAAAATACAGTTTTGAACCTTAGTTATCGTGCGGAGGCGAATATCATCAGCTACGGCTTTGTAAAACAGGGTTCTCATGGATATACAGTTAATATGGTACGGCACGTACATTCCGCCGAAGGACTTCCGCGCTACCGTCAGTGAATAGCCTGTCGGAAGTGATCAGTAATCAAATAATTCAGCATGAATAATCCAATGGTTCCACGGTTCCACCTCTCGCCTGAACAATCAATTACTTTGTCTGTTGGGTCTATGGCGATCACTCCCTGCTGCCTCAGGCATAAACCCTGGTTGAGATAAGTACATCGTTCAGTTCAAATCAACGTCAATGAGTCTCAATAGACATTTGGCTTGATGCCAGTGAGAGTTATCATCTTTCATAGCGCTTGCTAGTTCACAGAGAGCTTTCCAAAGGGCAAAGGTCCTCCATCGCCCCGCTGTTGGCAGCACTGGTCACCAGCATCTAGAATAGAGCAAGGGAAGTGATCGGGCAGTGTCCAACGCCTCGATAGGAGGGGACATTTGTAGCTGGACGCTTCCACCATGCATCCACCACCTTGATTCTTTTGGGGTGAAATAATTCCCCGTCTTGTCTTATGTTCTTCGGGGAAGGAAAGATCCGCTAGCATAGACACGGTAGGTTTGTCAAGCACGAGGCATGCGTCATTGCGAGCCGGTGCTCGGATCCAGTCATTTTCATTGAGCTGCTGTAATGTCCGCAGTTGCGCTCGAAACTCTTCGCGAACGCGATCGTCTGATGCACCGGACAAGGTCTCCTCATCTTCCACAACACTGAGTTTGAACCGGTGGCATGCCTCGCCCGTGTAGGCAGATGTAGACTGTGCTCGGATATTGCGGCGAGTCACTTGAATGAGATGATCCATGGCCAGGGGAATCTTTTCCAGGACGTCGGCTGAATAATCAGAGACGAATGCATAGAAGTCCCATGGATCACGGCCTCTCATCTCTTCTGTTTCGTTATAATCGATTCGTGTAGTTCGATTTCTTTGAGCAAATCCCAGATCTCATCCTGTAGCGTTGCGAAGAGTTGTGCGTCCATCGAATTCAGATATGTAGCAGGGTCTGCGTCTTGCCGCACATCCTCCAGAGGCCGAACAAGCTCGTTGATATTTGGTGCAGCACCAGGCCCAAAAGACCGGAGTGCGAAATTACGGCTTCTTGGGATCGGACGAGTACGAAGAGTGGGGCCTGGCGGAGTGGTTGAGCGCTGACTAGCAGGAAGTCTTGCACGAGTAGATGTGGAGGGTAATTTGATACGTGTGGGAAAAGATGCTCAGTATAGAGTGAGAGTTTTCATCACGTTGATTTTACATCCTAATTCATTGTTTTCAAATATATATTTCTGGCCTAATGATCGGCGATGCTTGCAGGTGGGCCGAAATTAATTGCTCCTCGTAACGATATCGACAATCAGGAGTTGTCCACTCCAGTACACCCCTTATTGAATCAGAATTAGATGGAGCATTTTCCCTGCAGACTCCTTACTGTCAAGGAGCCTTGATATAGAGAATCCAGGGCTTGCTGATTTCATCTTTTTAACAATGGCCTGGAATTCAGCGACAGTCCGTCTTGATCCCGACGCAGGTGAAACGACAACTCAGAGTGACCTACTGGTGGAAGGAAGGGGGTGGCTCCTATTCTGCAAAGTAAGAGACCACATTCTTCGAGTTTGATATTCCAGTTGTCATCAATGTCATGACTAAGTTTTGAGTTGCTTTCGATAGGAATCATGGGTGCCCACCCCTGACCTAGGGCAAGAACTGCATGCACGACGATCTCTTATGGAATGATGGGCCGCTTCGGCCAGAGCTTTCCCGATGTCAGTATTGCATCCTCACTTCAGAATCTTAAGGGAAAGGACTAATCTAGTCTAGTATTATGTTCTCCGCGCGTGATCCCAGCCGCGAAGGATGCGATGTCCTGCAACTTTGCTAGGCCAGCAGCATCTTCACCAATTCATTTGCACAGCTCCTGTGGACCGAGAAGGCCATCATGCTAACTACATCCATCTCGTCAAGATCCTAATCCTCTGTTATCTCAGTACCTAAGAAATCGGGGAGAGGATAGGGTCGCGTCAGCCTTTCCGTGGTGCAGGGTCTCACAATCCCCAAACACCCAGTTACCCACGCTGCTTTCTCCCCCACACCCTGTCCTGGATTACAGCCTGTCCTCTATGTTCTTGGAGCAGGCAGATTTCCGGGCAATCCAGATGAAGCGCGACGGGACCGCGTTCTTCTCCTGGACGGGGATCTGGTTCGTCATTGACCAGTCTGCCCTGGACACCGGTCGGATCTCAGTAGTTGACTTCAATTCTAATGGGTGAGTAGTAAACTGCACTCAGCTTCGGCCATGGTATCTGGCGGAACTGGTCGTGTTATATGAAGGCTTGGGGTGGCCACTATGTGCTATAATTGATGAGAACCAGTTCCTCCAGGCGTATAACCAGCCGTAAGTCGACCTATATACTTTAATCGAGCGTGCTTTGCTGACTATCTATGCTAGACTGAATATAGATATGCCTCTGCTGGACCTCCTGGAGGAGACAAAGAAACAACCGGAATTCGACTGGGCAGACTGGGGGAGCCGGGAACTCTGGACACGCGAGGTTGACCGGAATGCCCCTGAATATCTCTCACTGGAAGCCCAGGGGCGCGAGTGCGAATTCAATCTAGAGAGTCTCCGGTCGGCCTGCGATGATTAAGTGCTAGAGTAGATTCCGGTTCCAGCAAATATACAAAATCTCCACGGTCGGACTTAACAGCATCAAAGTCCGTGCCAGTCAATTTGTCAGCTGTAATTGTCGATCTCCGAACGATTAGGCTTTTCGCCGGCCGGTCTTACGTCGATGAGCGCTGACCCTTTATTAATCAGGCTAGGAGTGATTGGCAATCGGTGGGTATATAGTCAACGGTTAGCTGCTTCTTTCTTTTTGAAATTCCCATTTCCTCCGCTAGCATCTTTGCAGATCATCGAACCTCGGATGCCTACCAACTACCTAACATCAGCTTCGCGACACTTACCAACCATGGTCCGAGTTCTCATCACCGGCTCCGCTGACGGTCTGGGCCTCGAGTCCGCACGCCAGCTAGTGAAGCGTGGCCACACCGTCTACCTGCACGCGCGCAACGAGAAACGCGCAGCTGATGCGAGAGCCGCCTGTCCCGGCGCTGCTGGTGTACTGATCGCCGATTTATCCAGCCTGGCGGAAACTCGCAGCCTTGCCGACCAAGCCAACGCGATCGGCCAATTTGATTCAGTCATTCTCAACGCCGGCATGTTAGCCGGGCCGTTCCGCAAGACTCCGGACACTGGTATCCCCGCCATGGTGTTTGTTAACGTTGTTGCTCCGTACATCCTGACCTGTTTATTACATCGGCCCAAGCGGCTGGTATTCATCTCCTCGCAGTTGCACCGCCAAGGTGACACTAGTGTGGAGGATATCTTCTGGCTCAAGCGCGGTGAATCAAGGTTCCAGGATTACCCGGCATACTGCGACTCGAAGTTGCATGTCCTCCTGCTTGCGAATGCTGTGGCCAGAAGGTTTAAAGATACCTCCGTGGTCTCAGTACACCCCGGCTGGATAGCCACCAAGCTCGGTGGCCAAGGGGCACCTGATAAACTGGAGGATGKGGTGGATACTTATGTGATGTTGGCAGAGGGAGATTACGATCAAAGCCTAACAGGAAAGTACTTCGACCCAAAGAGAAAACTTGGTCATCCGTTGCCAGCATCAGAGGACATCGACTTGCAGGAGAAGGTGGTCAAAGCCTGTGAGGAGGTGACCGGTCTGAAGCTTCCTGCTTAATGTACTGCTGACTTGAAGCATCTTGACTATACCAGAACTAATTAGCCAGAATCCAGTATGTGCATATTGTACTGGTACCTATCGTAATATGTCTCAGCTGGCTTCCTGACCCAGGTTATGGGTCTGAGATTTCCGTTCCAATGGTATAGAAAGATCGTGTTCGTTTGAAAAGTACAGGGCAGTGCAAAAAGCTCTGACTCTCTAGAGAATCTTGCAGCCTAATTGCTTAGCCAGGAACCGAAGCTCTGCGGGACTGTTGCTCTCAGTTGAATAACTATGACATGTGTTTCGGCTGTGGCTGAGGGAAAGGGTACGGATAATCGTATCCGAATAAGGTCATTTCAATGTAGGACCCACTATTTCAGCCTCATCCTACATTACTCCCTGCTACAAGCTAGGCGAATACGAGTGAACGTGGCAGTGAAGCTGATCATCTCCTTATTCCTTCTAGCTGAACGGTTGATTAGCTAGACTGTACTCCGTAGTTTGGGTCATTTATTCCCTCTGGACGTTAGCGAGTACGAAGGTCAAGCCATGCGCCCATTTAGGATCTACTGGTCGTCGTATTCGGTACATACATGACAACTCCAGCTGCAGTATATATAGGAGGCGGGCTGCTCGTCATGGGTGCCAGCTATTCCCAATCATTCTTAAACTCAACAAAAGCATATCTACAGCATACGCAGCTGCTATGAAAGCGTTATTGAGTCTCTCTTTTGCTGCATTGGCTCTTGCCAGTTCCAATTCTTCATGTCGTTGCAGACCCCATGAACCCTGTTGGCCATCTCCACAAGAATGGAATGCCCTTAACAGCTCTGTTGACGGTAGGCTCGTTGCCGTTCGACCCGTGGCTGCTCCCTGCCATGGAGGAGACCCCGAAGCCTGCGATTTTGTCACCAAACAGTGGTCTAATTCCACCTGGCGAGCCGCGCAACCTGGCGCAGTGCAGTGGGAAAACTGGGAAGCGTGGCCGGAGCACAATCAGACCTGCTCTATTATGAATCATCAGACACCATGTGGACAGGGAAGGGTTCCTCTATACTCTGTCGTGGCCGAGTGTGCATCCCATATACAAGAAGCCGTTCGGTTCGCCAAGAAACATAACATTCGTCTTGTCATCAAGAACTCTGGCCATGACTTTGTTGGTCGCTCGACGGCACCAGAGTCATTGCAGATTCTTACCAACAGGATGAAGGATATTCAGTTCAGTGACCATTTCAAGCCGGCTGGTGCTCCAAAGAATATATCTGAGGGTTCTGCCATCACAATCGGGGCCGGCGTCAGTTTGCAGGAGCTGTATCCTGCAGCTGGGAAGAAAGGCAAGACACTGGTTGCTGGCCTTTCGCACACTGTTGGTGCTGCTGGGGGTTATATCCAGGGAGGAGGACATTCTTTCTTGGGGCCCTGGAAGGGCATGTCTACTGATAATGTACTCGAATACACTGTCGTGACTGCTAATGTATGGGACCATCCCGACGCTAAAGAATGCTGGCTAATATTATCATAGGGCACCCTAGTTATCGCGAACAACTATCAGAACACCGACCTCTTCTGGGCTCTGCGCGGCGGAGGGGGCGGCACCTTTGGTGTAGTTGTGACAGTCACCCTGCGCACCTTCGACGAGGTTCCAGTCGTCTTTGGCAGTCTCAATGTCAGTACTATAGCCGGTGATCCCAATTTCTGGCAGGTCATGACGGACTTCCACGCTGCTTTACCTGCCATCAACGACGGCGCTGCTGGGTACTATTGGATGACACCCAACGTACCAGTGAACAAGACAATGAACGTTTCGTCATTTTCCATTATACTGATAGCTGCGAACCAAGCCAGCACTTCGATGATGGATCGTCTCACTGCGCCATTCAGGTCAAAGCTGAATGCAACCTCCGGCGTCTACACGCAATATGCGTCCCTGGCCTTTCCCAACATTCATACTCTGCTCTCGGAACTCCTTCTTCTCGGAGGTGAAGACCCAACGGGGGATAATACTATCTTAGGCTCGAGATTATTCTCCCGCGATCTGCTTGTTTCGCGCGACGGCCCAAAGAAACTAGTCTCCGCCCTGAAGAAGCTCAAGTTCGGCCCTGGGGAAAGTATCATCGGGCACATCGTCGCCGGGGGCCCCGTCGCCAAGAACGGACGGACTATCGACAGCGCTTTGAATCCGGCCTGGAGGAAAGCTGCCACCCATATCGTTGTTGCTCGCGGCTGGCCGTCATCTGCCACCCTCGCTCAACGGGATGCTATTATTCGCCGTCTGACTGATGTTGAGATGCCGATCCTCAAGGCTGTTGAGGGAACGAAGATGGGATCCTATATGAATGAGGCAAATGCGTACGAGCCAGATTTCCAGACTGAGTTCTGGGGAAGCAATTACCCGCGTCTGTACCGGATCAAGCAGAAATGGGATCCCACTGGTCTTTTCATTGCTCGCAAGGGAGTGGGAAGTGAGGACTGGGATGATGCCGGACTGTGCCGGGTTCATAGGAGGAATTAAACACCGTTGTTAGAAATGTCCGGCCATATTCATTAGGACGGTCGCATTGCTGTTACTGTTGCTGGTTATTTTCTTTCTTGTTCTATTTAGTCCCACTTATCTTTTGCTTATAATTTTCGGATTAGTATTCATTCGCTACACATAGCCTCCATACGGCAACTGTTCATTGTTTATAAAAATTCTTCCATCAAGCTCGTAACCTAGTTGTGACGAAGCAGCAAGAGGAACAATATGAACACCAGGAAGACAAATGTGATCTTTGTCAGATCCAAGGAGACTGAACGGATTGGAAATATGTCACCTGTACGCCTTTCCCGAGAACCGGGAATCAATGATGATGATGCTCTTGTGCCCTCAATTTCGGCGGTTTCTTCATCATCATCGTCCACTTCAATCACCTGTTCCAGTGATGAGATAGATATCCGCAGGCCATCAACTCCCTCCACTCCTTCCATCTCTTCAAAGATGACAAGGAAATCCTCTCTTGGAGACTCCAGTCTCCTCCTCTTCTCGAGGGTACTTTCCATCAAGCAATAGGCCTTGACATCGTGTCCCGCCTCCGAAAGCATGTTCAGCCATGCAGCTATGACATCTTGATGAAGATCAGACCTCTTGTTACGAAAGTGAATCATCTCGCCGATAGTCGTTAAAGCGGTGTAACCTCGGCCGCTTACTCTATGTATATCCTCTCCTCTACTCAAAAGACTCCTGAGAACCAACTCACTCTGCCGCTCAGTGTGCTCGTGTTCTTTCAATTTCGCATTAGCCCAAACGTGAGCAGCACAGTGGAGCGCGGAATAGCCGCTGTAGGTCGGGTCTCCGTCAATGTGATCTCCCGGAAGATGGTGACCAGCACTAAAAAGGACTTGGATCCGCTCGAACGAATCCCCGTAATAGAGTCGATGGAAGAATTGATGCTGCAAAATCGTCCTTCCACCATGGTTTCGCTCTTCGAGATCGACGAAAAACTCATCTTGGTGGATGAGGTATCTGAAGGCGTCCACCGGACCAGCATATGAATGTATTACGCCAGAGTCTCGGGCTGATCCCATTGGATCGACTTGCCCTTTTTCTACTAGCAATCTGGCCAGTTCTAGATGTTCTTCTTCTCGCGGACTAATCATTGCGAAATGAAGAGCGTTCCTAATATCTCGTTGGTCATTAATGCGGCAATGGATATGGACTCACTCACTCTCCTGATGTATTTTCCACATTCGCATCCGCTCCATTGTACAGAAGAAACGCAACTAAATCTGGGTTTCCCGATAAGGCCGCAAACTGCCAGAATAGTTAGCATCCAACCAGGTGTCAGCCGTGACTGCAAAATACACACATGCAGCGCGGTATCACCGTCAGGGGTCACATCAAAAGGCGAAGCCAAGCCTTTACTAAAGAGTCGTTGCACATTGCGCAAATCTCCCTCCCCGCAGAAGTCAAACAGGATAGAGTCAGGACTGACTACTCGCCATGGTCGTAGGTTGAAAGTCCACTGACTCGCTTGTCGGGTAGCCTCCAGCTCGATAATGCGAGAAGACAGCCATCTTGCTGATCTCAAAGTGATTGTCTTTTTTTCTGTTCGATACTCTGTTTTTGCTGTATCTGATTTACGAATTCCCGGTCTTAGGGTGATGGTTTGGGATTTGACGGACAAGCTGCCGAGCCAAAGGGTGTATACTGCTTCAGTCATGTTGCTGTACGATCGACTAAAATTTACCATCTGTGTGGTGAATTTTTCTTGCTCCATCCGTTCAGTGTTACCTGTAGAGCGGCAAGACGATTGGCTGAAGGCTAGAGGGCCTATTTTTCTATTCGAAGCGGTATCAGTAAAATTAACCGCATACATTTGCGTCGGCTCGAACTCACTGCATATGATGTTGATACACTAGCATCAAAGTCATTTTCGCACTGTCCAGCTCCTTCGCAAACTCGGCAACCCTCGTCTTCGTCACGGTCGCCTTAATAAACTTGATGGTTCGATTCTTTTGGCTCGAGGTATCAAGTGATTGGATAATAGTCAAGAGTCGGTTAACGCGAGACAGGCACAGCTCAAAAGAACACTTGAGAAGACCAACGTCGAGATGCTCTGGAAGGTCGGTGCAGTCTTCAGCCATGCGGCGTACGACCCTCTCGATGAGGAGAATGTCATTCTTGACGTTCTGAAAATCAGATGGACCTTGCTTCACCGAGTCTACAAAGGCGTAGAGCTGTTGGACCCCACTGCAGATCTGCCCCGCGAGCGATGCAATCCCTACAATCGACCCTGCAACTCCCAGAGCCTCGGCCATCGGATTTTATCTGAAACAAACGCCGTTATGGACTCAAAAGGATGGACAAGATGGGGCAAGAAAGTCAAGGACACATCTTGTCAGGAAATAGAAATGGTAATCTGGAAGACTTGCAAATTTGTACACAGCCACCCTCTTAACGCGCATGCTGACGAGGCTGAGTTATAAACTACTGATTGGTTGCTCTGGACTGACTCACCACTCACCGTCGATCTTGGCACATCTACTATGTTTCCAAGTCTGACCGCTGTCTACCTCCGGTCTTCTAGAAGGCATTTACATCAATTAACCCGTAAAAACGCGTCCAAACTGATGTGATGGCGCCTAGGCGGCTACAGATGAATGATGGCCCCGAACACATCAACGAGCAGGCCACGTGCCTCAAAGAAGCCTGCAATCAGCTGCAAGCGGTCAGTGGAGGAGGACAGGATCAGGTTCAATGGAACATAGTACAGTCATACTTAGCCTCGACGATGGCGCTCATTGGCAAGGTCCTGCGACAACCTGCGATGGGAGAGATCCTCCAGCACGGACAGGACGAGGCCAAAGGCACTCAGAACGTCCAAAAAGATATCACAATCATCAAGAACTCTGTCGGCTTCAGCACTACTCCTCTAAACTCGACTGCAACCTGGGCACAGATTGCGGCACAACTCAAAGGCGCCAGCCTTATCCCCGCCAGTACCGCAAGGAATGCACACTACCAAGATCCAATCTTCAGTTACAGCATACAAGGGCCGAGTAATAGTAGTCAAACTGAAAGACCCTCGGTATTGCACAGCGATATCGGTAAGCCCCCCGCAGCGTGGACTAGACAACAAGGGGAAGCCTCAATGCGCGACCACACAGGGATTAGGCTTGTGAAAGTAGTTACCGCACGCCAATATTTTCTAATGTCACCTATTTTAATATTCGTCCATGCCAAAGGCCATAGCATGTTGCTACTAGGAGTTCTATGCCCCTATGTTGAGAGGAACCTTATCTCGATCGAGACTAAGGAAAATATGATGGCAACTGAGATTATGTTGGCAGCGCTGAATAGGAATAGCCAGGAAGTTTTCGTCATGCACATGGAAGGATTGAAGCAATGGGCGGCAGAGATCAATGCTATCAAAGAGTCCCATAGCCTCCATTTGATACCCCTGTAGACGCCTGGCTCTTATATAATGTCCCCTGTGTTCCGTACGACTTGACCTGGGTGACGACAAACGTATCTAACTCATCTCGGGGCAAAGCGCCCGCATTCGCCAAGACGTACGTGACAGCCTCTGCTGCGGAAAGAGTAGCGAGACTCGAAGAGTCCGACGCCCAGGGTTCAGAAAGCACAGTCGCAGAGCCAACGGTATTGTAGGAGCTTCCATTTAGCTCCCCATCGTTGTTGTCATCGAGATAGTTCCCTGAAGCGTATACGCTTTGCTCAGAATCCATCTGGTAGAATACATCCTTCGCAGTCGAAGTACTTGGTCCCGTAATAAAATAATTGCCGATGATGTCGTGGGAGAAGTAGCCGGCTGTGTTCCCCGACGTATACGCCGCTTGAAAATTGTATACCACATTGTTGATATACTGGGTATTATCTTTGGATAGTGGCTGGCGGTTATGAGCGCTGACCCAGAGGTTACGATAAAAGGTGGAAGGGCCTGTCTCCACATGAGCTCCGAATTGCTGTCCAATCGGTAGTGCGATAATCGAGTTGGAAACGGTGATGTTGACTGCTCCAACCGCATCGATAGAATCCCACTGGCCGTATTCAACCGAGCAATGGTCGAGGATAATGTTAGATGCATCTCCCATGTTGAATGCACTATGACCCGTGTCGGAATCTAGAGTTCCTTGTCGCATGCGCAAGTTGCGAATGATGATATTACTTTTGCCACTAGCCGAAACTTCAGCTCCCATGATTCCGATTCCATTGCCTGGAGCCGTCTGCCCGTTGATTGTCAAGTCACTTGATAGTGATAGGGCCGACTGAAGCTCGATATAGCCGCTAACGGAGAACTCGATGATCCGATTTGGCTCGCTTACAGCGTCCCGTAGGGAGCCTGTTCCTGAATCTGCCAAAGTCGTAACCGTGACGGTGGTACCCCCAGTGCCTCCTGTGGCTATAGAGCCGAAGCCAACAGCGCCGTCAAATGCCAGTGCAGAGACTGTCGGAAGCGCTGTCACAACAAGAACGGCCACTGAAAAAAGCATGGTGAAAAGAAAGGTTTCACGGCCAAGATCGGTTTCAGAGGAATGTAATAAAGTCACTGGATAATCCTTAAAGTATTCCCACGTAGACGGATTGTTTTGTAGCCGCTTTATATTCATTGCCTCGGGATCGGAGGGGTGATGGTGATAGTTAGCGACTACTGCGGAGAAATGGATGTTTCATTTAAAATGCGAAGGCGCCGTTTTCCACCAATTGTGGAAAAATGGGGACGAAACATAACCATAAAGGGAGATCACCACTCATTCAACGTATCAAGCATTAAATGGGCTGGCCAGATTGGTGGTAGTTTAGGGTTTATTCACCCGAAATCCCAGGCGATCTTATCTCTCTGCTGAGGACATTACTCCGCCTTCGGAAAATTCTCTAAATGGACCAAGAGAGTTAAGTGTCAAAGATCAAGCATTGCATCTATGAATCTGATTGGCTGATGGGTATATCATGCCTTCCTTTTACCTGCGAGCATACAACCAACCCCTCATGCTTGATCACTCGGCTACGTGCAGAGCTTGCTCCGTGCCCAGACTAGCCAGGCTACGGTAGCCAGCCTTGTTCCGCCTTGATTAAGCTTCGAATCCAATAAGTGCCTGGGAATCGCCAACGTGATGTTGTTGCAGTCGCAAGGTGCCGGGAGAGTACCTCGAGGGAGTACCACCAGCCTATTAGACAAGGCGCCCATTTATGTGTCATGTATTGCAAATATAAAGTTATTCACCATCGACGCCCTAAATGACACAGTAAGGGGCTAAGACGGACCGAACAGGTCGCGTTTAATCCACTATTATCCGAATCATCCTCTCCTCGCCCTATTGGCACCCAGGTATATTTACTTACCGCGATGTATTATGATTTATGACATCCTAATCTTGTTTAGTCAGTGCAGCACGTGAGGGGGACTCCCGCTTTTCAATGACTCAGTTGCAGACATCGCAATCGATCTCTAACCAGGCATCTCTGGCTCCCCATGGAGGGATGCGGGGCTTAACTACGTATTACATATCCGGGTTATTGTACTTGGCCTCGGCAGTCAGCACACAGTAATTGAGTGGTGCAGATTGGGGTACTCCGGACTCCCTCATCGCCGCATCAGCAACTATATAACAACGTCAGTGAGGGACGACAAAGTGATACTGCATCACCTATAAAAATTGTATCCCATTCTCAAAGGTTTGTAATCCCATAGATATTTAAATCAGAAGCGGTTCATCCCATGATATCCCTCATTTTTGCCATAGAAAAGCTTCATCCTGACTTCAAGGCGCGATATCAGAAACTAATTTACCTGATAAGTGCCTTCCCTTCCTGGTCGCCCTGCTCTCAGAACCTACCTTTATCTTACTGCTGCCTGGAATAACATGCATATCACTAAAGGAGGAATACCTTAAATTGCGCTCCAGCCTCTAAGCCAGCAAGCATTAGTGACAAAAAAAGAACCACCCCCTGTCAAATTCGAAACGCAAGGGGCAGTGTACATGCAGTAGCGCCAAGCACTAACACCCAACTCTCATTCCTACGAACGCTCGCGCGGCGGATGACCATATATCTTTTTGACCTACTGCAGCTTGCGCCGAGGGTTTTTCGTCCTAAAACTGTCTCTAAGCCTGATAGCGACATGGTGCCATGAAATGGGGTCCCCGGGCTGGTGTAGACAGGTAGGGAAGCCACATTGACCTGGGCTGTGCTATGCATCGAGGCTTTCTTGTTCTCCAGGCGGTTCTCAGCCCTGCAAGGGGTAGGGGTACTTTTGAAATACGGAAATGAGATCGTGCGGCCCAGCTGGATGCATATATTCCTTCCATTTCTCGAGCGCTGGTTCGCCAGGCTTGATTTCTTTCATTTTCCAATAAACGCCAAATTCGCCTGAAGCATCCATTATGTCCAACGAAACAACACCACTGACCCCGCCCTCGACTGCTTTGTATCCTACTCTGATAACACCGCCAGAATCGGGTAATTCCATCGAGGACCCGATACTTATATTCGATTCTGATGAATCGGATGTCTCGGACACGGAGGCGCTTGATGGATCTGTTCGTCAGCTATCTGAAAACAGTCCATCGCCCTCCCCTCGGGGTGCGGCCAGATTGCAGCCCCGAAAGCTCCGGCGCCATAGCCGAGATGTATCTCCTTCTGGAGGAGATGCCAAGGTGGAAAAGCTGGATGAAGTCGAGAATACCAGGGGATTGAACGTAAATAATAGCGATCTGGGTGGGAATCCTTGTTCGAGCCATGTCATCATCTGGCAGTGCGCTAATAAGATCTCAATGCTGCAGCGCACAACACACCTCATAGCTCTCCCAAATTGCCAATGGACAGTCCAAATGGCGGTACTGCTTCGGAAAGCAGTGACACCAGGCCATCTCACTCAAGTACTCCCTCAGCCTCCGAAGTACCAATGCCAATGTGGAAGCTGGAAATGAAAATCAAGGAGATTATCTTGAAGACCGCCACGGAAACAGAAGGGCAAAAAGAAGGGCATGCCTACATATATGCGGATCCGAGAAATGAGGCAGGATATTTCAAACTGGGAAAATCTGAAGATCCATTGCAGCGTGAAAAAGAGCTCCAAGTTAAATGCAAACATCCCACGTTCCAAGTGGTGCATGTGGTGCCCAGAGAAGTGTCAGTTCCTTGGTTCAGTCGTTTGGAGTCGCTGGCACACGCTGAACTCGCCAATATGAGATATTCTTTCGAATGCCCTTGCCGTACGCCTCACAAAGAATACTTCACCGGAAGAGTGCAGGAGGCCTTGGAAATCCTCAACTTCTGGTCTAGCTGGCTGCAGTGCAATCCGTATGACGAGCAGCTCCAACTTTCTCCTTTCTGGAAAGATAGACTTCGTCTTCTGGGAGGGAAAGCACTTAGCCATCCCAGGTGCCCCAACATCGAATGTCGCTCCGCCGCGGACATCGGTTCCAGCTCATGTCAAGCATGTCTCAGACTACGCTTGAAAGCATGGGCAGACGTGACAGAATTTGATTATTTCGAGTTCGAATGTCGCATGAGGATTGGCTGGGGGTTTCTCCGTCAAGTCATACACTTGATGTGGCCCCGCTTTGGGAGTCGCAGTTTCATTCTCATTGAGGGCTGCGAGAAGATGAAACGCATAGCCGCTTTCTTGTGGGCCCCGACGACTCATTTGCGTTTCCTTTTGTTGTTGATATTTTGGCTCTGGCACTCGAGCAACGCACCTCGCGAATCCATTTTGTACTATGGCATACTTTGCTTTTTTGCCTATTGGAGGATCACGACAGAATTAGACAACACTCCAAGTGACAGTCAATTGACAAAAGTGCAACCCATTTCTCGGGCACCAGGCAAGAAAGCCAATATCAGCGCTTCGAATTCGCCAGGCACCAAGATCTTTCCTAACACAGCCAGTGAACCAGAGATGCCAGATGAAAAAGGACCGCCCTCCAAGAGCCGCTCAGTGAGCGTCAATGAACCTATCAATATGTCGAGCATTACCCGAGGCTATAGATGTGCCACTGCTGTCCATGAAATGTCTGAAACCTCCAAAGCAGAGCACAACGGTGCCAAACCTTTTTTGACTCCAGACCGAGCAACAAGGACTGTCGGTAAAACCAGTCCGAAAGCCGGTGCAAAACGACGAAAGAGCGATATTCTTTGACTCCTCCTCCCTATTATTCAGCTCGAAATATGTCTCAAATTACGAGCGTACAACTCCAGATCGGAGAATGTATACAATATTTTCACATCAGTGCCGCCCGGTCTTGGAGTCTATGCTCCTGTATTGTCCTTAAACCTTGCTTAAGTTCAATTGTATCGTGTTTCCCTTGAGCATTCCCCAAGCTTGAAAGAGCTGCTGAGGTTTCTTTTTAACTACCTGCCCCAACCACTGTGCAATGATGTTCCACAAAGCTGTAGAAGCCGAGACGGGTTATCATCGCCTGATCAAATATCGACCTTCTTCCCCAGAACCCATAAAAAGGGAACTTCCCTTTCTTCTCCTTTCTCTTCCTCGATATCAACAACAACCTCTCTGAGAAGCAACTCAAATCCAATTGAAGACAGAATCTCACAAGTCTTTTCCTCTCCCCAGCCACTCCAGAACATCTCTCCATCCGCCCCGTCCAACCACTGCTTGTCAAACGCGCTCTCGAATTCAGGTCCTGCCGAAAAATTCGCCAGAAACAATGCCCCAGGCTTCAGCCACTTGTGTATCCTTCTTAATAGAGTCACTTGCTCCTCCCTCGGCAGATGAATGATCGAATACATTGCAATCACTGCGTCCAAACTGTGGTCTTCAAACGACAACTCCATCATATCTCCCTCAACAAGAGTCACATTTTTAGATGGGAGATGCTGCGCGGCAAGCTCAAGCTGCTTAGGTGAGATGTCGTTTGCTGTGACTTTCAGACTAGGATTAGAAGCAAGGATGGCTGTGCAAGGTTGGCCTGAACCACAGCCTAACTCGAGAATGGACTTTTCGACTGGTGAAGGGGGAAGGTATGCCAGCAGTTTTTGGAGATATCCGACGCGGATAGGATAGGTAGGTTTCGTCCATTCTCCGTACTCAACAGCTATGTTGTCGTAGGCCTTTCTGACATTTTCTTTGAGAGCTGGAGATAATGAGGCCATTCTGTGACTGCAGTATTTGTTACTCGATTTCTGGGTAAGTGATTAAGAGATTCTTGTTCTGGGTTTGTGAGGAGGAAGCTGAGTGATAAATAGAAATGCGGGGTCTCCATTAGGCTAGACGGCTATCACGGTCGGTGAGTCATGAGTCATGAGTGATGACTGTTATGGAAGGGAATTCCTCACAGGATCTTTTGTGTTGCTTTGGTGTGGTAATGGCCTCTCTGGAGGCTCAGTGCTCAGGGGCAGTTAGGGATATAACAGCTCCTAGATGGGACGAATAGATAGGAGTATACAGCAGTGTGGTATGGTATATACGCAATATAAAAAGTATACACGCAGATATATCCGTGCCTTAGGCTTACCCTCACCGCTCCGCGTTGAGGGTGCGCCTCACCGAATCCACCATTTTTCGATAGAAATCATGATTTTGAGGCTACACTAGGGGCTATCTATGTAACAAACATGACTATTCTCATCTGCTACCTCTGCTGGTGCATTTGATACCTCATTCTCTTGTGTAGATGCTAGTAGTGGCAGGTATCCATGCACTTTCTCCTATTGCTTTTGTAAATATCCCTCTTACGCAGCAGCATCTTTGGCCTTCCTAGAAGCAATTAACCAATTTGCATCTTATAATTTCAATATACCATCCTGGCTAAGTGGCTTAACCTGCCGCTTAGTACATTAGCGCTGTAAAGGGGCTTGCGCAGCCCTGATTCAACTAATAGTATTATTTACTATAGCCAGGTGCTCTGCAGTAATTTAATTATGTTCAAATATCCAGTCAAGATTCCGTTGCAGCTTTGGTGTAAGGAGATCTGCATGTTTGGATAGCTTTGCCTAATTCTTCTTAAGGGCCTGAATCATCCGCGGAGGTGAGATATCAATACTGGATGAAGAAGGTGGCCGAGAGGGTGGTGTAGAGGGAGTCATCTCATCAAGATCAGGCGTGTAGATATCTGGAATTCCTTCCCATAATTAGATAGCAAGATTATAGCTATCTTACTATTGACTAGCTAGATTCTACAATCTTTGAAGGCCTCACAGATGATCCATTGGTTAAAAGCCTTCTCCCATACTAGTCCAATCATTTGTAAGAATTCTGACTTCCCTACTAGCTCACCAGCCCAGTAAGATAGCTCATTATTCATACAGCAGAAGTGTTGCTTATAGCTTAAGAATGGCTTACCATCTAATGGCTGGCAAAGATGCATCATATGAGGAAGGAATCTAAAGGGAATAATGCCATTATCTTTGCAGATCTGTAAGAATTCAACAGTGAGGTGGGAGCCATAGCCATGAAATATAAGTATCCTTTTCTCCCCCCTCTTTGTACATTCATTTGTCACCTTAACAAAGCTTTAAAGTTATTAAACAGCTAGCTCATCTGATATCCAGTCATTAGGAGACATCGCTATCATAGTATCCAGTGGCAAGGCCTTACTCTCATTAAATCAGGTTTCTATGAAGATTCCGTTGCCTTTAGGAAGCAAGAATAGATTAGTATATAAAGGGAAGAATCATTAGAATCCTACCTTTGAAGATAAACCAGGGATCCATCTGCCATCTATCTGCAGTAACGCATTCAATAGCTATAATATTCTCTCCTCTTTCAGATTCAGCAAGATCAGGGACTTTGCCTTCTAAACTAATAACCTTCCTAGATTTGCCTTCACCAGGTTGGAATCCACACTCGTTAAAGTTGTATACTAATCACACTGGAGTATCTTTGATCATATTTACAAGCTGATTATACTAATGTGCTAGCAAACCAGCATCCTCAGCCTGGATATACTTTGATTCCTTTATATTTTGCCTCACTGGGCCTAGATTAAGGTGTTCTGGGAGTTATTTCTCAAAGCAATATGCCCACATCTTGCTAACCTATCTTGATTCCCCTGCGTGTTGAAGTGCCTGATTTGTATACTCTTCTAGCAGCTTAGGTATCACTGGCATATTCCAATCACGCATACAGACTATTTACTGTATTAAGGCTTCCTCCTGGTATCCCTGAAGTGCTTTATTAACTGGTTTGTTAGCAAATTAAGAGTGTACACCCTTCTTGATGTGATCATGTAGGGTGGCATAAGGAACACCATATTCACGCGCAATCTTGGAGATATTCAGTTTTTTTTGGGCCTGAGCGGCCTCGCAGGCCTTAAGGAGGTAAGATTCATTAATTCTAGATGATTTAGGCATGTTTGGTGGTTGGAATAGATTCAAATAGTCAAAATATCGAAAAATGGTGGATTCGGTGAGAATGGTGGATTCGGTGAGGCGCACCCTCACCGCTCCGAGGCACAGATATAGTGGAACTGTGGAATAAACAAGAGGGGCCACTAAACCCAAAAAGGTGATTATGAAATTTTACCAGTAAGGTAATTATTAAGTATTTCTCCGGCAGATTATAGTTATTCTCTGATGAATCTGTGTAGGAGACAATAACTTGAGTATCGTCATGGAATCAAAAAACCATCTGACAGGAAATGAGATCCTTGCTTCGGGAGGATCCGCCTTGCTCAGCCGTGAATGTTTGGCCCCCAAGTCCCTGATGTAACAATGGCACTCGCTTGACCTGATCAGGATTCGATCATCAACTGACCACCATTTAAACTACCATGGTTACATGAGACATAGCCTATCACAAGCCACAATGAGATCCTTAATGCAAGGATCCCTTCTTCTGCAGGACCATCGGCGAAACCGGGAATCTTTCACTTCTTCGCCGGCTGCCTGCAGACTGAATGCTCGATGTATATTATCTCTCCTCTTCCTCTGTCGGAAGCTTCTCTTGTAATGGCAATTATTCAATCAACTTCAAAATGGGTTGGATCATTGTGCTATATGCGTTATATGTGGCGGTGTTTGGAGTAACTGTCGTCTATGGGATAGGCGAGATGACAGGGGATTCAACCACGCTCAGTCAATGGCGATTGCACTCCTCCCTTGCGGTGTCCAATGTTTCTGCGTGGTCACTGCCAGGAATGGACGATTCCTCCTGGTATCAGGTTGGTGCGAGAACGACCGTCATGGCTGGTCTGCTTGAGAACGGCGTCTTCGACGAAACAACCTTGTTCTACTCCAACAACATGGAAACCAAAATCGGTGATACTGCCATGTTCGAAGCGCCTTGGCTGTACAGACATGAACTTTCGATTGGGAACAAGATAGGCGCAGGAGAGCATTACTTCCTTCGCACGCATGGCATCACTTCCAAGGCGGATATATTCGTCAACGGGGTGCTGGTTGCACCGAGCTCCGTTCAGCAGGGATCGTACGGGGGTCACACGTACGACATTACGAAATACGTGCAGGTTGGGTCAAATGCGCTGCTCATCCAGGCGTATCCGACAAACTATCTTCGGGATTTCGCGCTAGGATTCGTGGATTGGAATCCCTATCCAGCGGATAATGGCACGGGTCTATGGCGCGATGTCATGATTGCAAAGACGGGACCTGTGTCGATTTCGTCGCCGCGTGTGCTGACCGATTTCCAAAAGCCTGATGGAAAGCCGGTCACGGTGAATGTTATTGTGGACGTCACGAACAATGAGAATGAGACTATCAACGGTACTGTACAGGGGACCATCCAGTCTGGCACTGAGAGCTTTGCGCTTTCCCAGCGATTCTCTATCCAACCACGTGAGACAAAGACCATACCTATGAATGTCAGGATCGAAAAGCCCAAGGTGTGKTGGCCGGCGCAATGGGGGTCCCAGCCCTTGTACACAGTCAATGTCAATGCGACAGTTGGCAAGGGGCAGATCTCGGATGTTGCGCTTCAAAGGCGGTTTGGCATTCGCCAGGTAACCTCTCATGTCAACTCTCACAACGACACGGCATTCACCGTGAACGGATCACCATTCCTCGTTCTCGGTGGAGGGTACTCGTCTGATATCTTTCTTCGGTTTGATGTCAATCGTGTGCGGAAAATCTTCCAGTATATGCTCGACATCGGACTGAACACCGTCCGACTGGAGGGCAAGCAGGAGCATCCAGAATTATATGATCTGGCCGATGAAATGGGATTGATGGTCATAGCTGGATGGGAATGTTGTGACAAATGGGAGGGATGGGATGTAAGTCATTTTTCTTTGCACCAATGGCGCAGAATACTCACGAGAATAGTACAATGATGAAGCCAACGGAGAAAAATGGACCGAGAAGGACTACCCCATTGCCAATGCATCCATGCTCCACGAAGCAGCAATGATGCAGACCCATCCGTCCATGCTAGCTTTTCTAGTCGGATCCGATTTCTGGCCCAACGATCGTGCAACTAAGATCTATCTCGATGCGTTGCATCGCATGGATTGGCCGGTGCCAATCATTGCATCTGCCAGCAAGCGGGGGTACCCAAAAGCTCTCGGACCGTCTGGTATGAAGATGGATGGCCCGTATGACTGGGTGCCACCAAATTATTTCTATGGTGACCAGCTGGGTGCTGCCTTTGGATTCGGGTCTGAACAGGGTGCCGGTGTTGGAACACCCGAGCTGACCAGTCTAAAGAAGTTCTTGTCGCCAGAGGATCTGGATTCCTTGTGGAAGAACCCCGATCAAAACCAGTATCATATGTCGCGGTATGACTCGTCTTTCTATAATCGCGCTCTGTATAACAAGGCTCTCTTTGCGCGGTACGGCGCCCCTGTCAGCTTGGAGGATTATCTCCTCAAGGTGCAGATGATGGACTATGAGGCCACGCGTGCGGAATACGAAGCGTTCTCCGCGCGCCAGAATGCCACTCGTCCGGCCACTGGAGTCATATACTGGATGTTGAACAGCGCATGGCCGAACCTGCACTGGCAGCTGTTTGACTATTATTTGAGTCCAGCTGGCGCATATTTCGGCACCAAGGTCGGCTCAAGGATTGAACATGTGGCGTATGACTATGAGGAGCGTGCAGTCTACCTGATCAATCGTTCTCTTGATAAGCAAGGGCCTCGCGTTGTCTCTGTTGACCTTGTTGATCTGCAAGGCAAACCGATCTTCAGCAAGGAGGTCACAGTTAAGGCCACAACAAATGCGTCAAAGAAGGTTATCTCCGTCAATGCAGTTTCTCAGATCAAGGACGTCGCATTTCTCCGTCTGGTGCTCAAAGATGGAAGTACAGGAGCCATCCTCAGCCGCAATGTATACTGGTTGACCGCTCAGAACGACGTCCTGGACTGGAAACATTCCGACTGGTACTATACCCCCGTCACAAAGTATGCCAACTACAAGGCACTGACGTCGATTCCGACTGTCAACGTAACTGCATCGCTGAAGCCGCTGCCTGCCAGGGACGGTCTGTCCCAGGTGCAGGTTGTCTTGAATAATCCTTCGGCAACACCTGCCGTTTTCATGCACCTGTCAGTCATCAAGAAAGAGACGCAGGAGGAGATCACTCCGGTGTTTTGGTCTGATAATTATGTGAGTATTTTCAAGGGGGAGAGCGTGACCCTGACAGCGGCATTTCCGGGAGGGAGTGACTGGGAGGTTATACTGTCGGGTGTAAATGTGAAGAGAACTATCTTGTCGTAATTGACCATAGTATGGTCCGAGATGTGAGAGAGAACTGCTTCTATATAAGTATAATGCATTTGCTATTAAATCAATGAACAAGTGCCCAGTTCAATAGATTCAAAGTGTTACCGTGAAGGAACAAAAAGGGGGATTTCCGAAGACGAAGTCACACTCAAAGCGTGCATAGAGTCAAGTTTCTCCATCAACAACAACTCGACGATGGATCATCCATCAAAAGCAAGACTCAGAACGAGAACGGGCTGTCTCGAATGTAATATTTGCCCTGATATTCTTAGATTACCGCTAATTTACCAGGTCGCCAACGACGCAAGAAGTGCGATGAACACCGACCGCGATGCGGGGGGTGCTGTCGCGGTCGACTCGACTGCACTTGGCCAACCGCAGCGACGCAGCCGGTCGATAGACGACGACGGCGTCATCAAGGTTCTATTTCAAGACTGCTCTCATTTGCACCAGACAGTCCTGAGGAGTATTATCATTACTTTGCGATCTCTGTGCATCCGCGTCTGGTGCGACAGAATTGCCTGACCCAATACACGGATCAATCGTACATGCTGCGATTGGGACTGGAATTCCCTCCTCTCATGGGCATTATGGTGGCCATTGCTGCCATGGACAGAGCGAACCATCATCAGTTGGCCATGCTTAGCTACATTTTCGCTATCCAGGAGCTTCGTGCCAGCATTGCGGATGCTAACGACGCCCGGAATGAAGATGGCTTATTAGCTACGACGATATGTCTTTGCGTCTACGAGGTTGTCTATTCGTGACAGTTAACCGACGAATACTGACGTGATATAGAGCTTCCGAACTGATTCACCACCAAATGTCGGACCCCATGCCACAGCTGCTGGCTTTCTTCTTACGTCACGAAGCCCGGCACAGAGAAATCAACAGCCAGCCAGGATGTTCGAGAGGATTTGTGTGGAATCCTTTCTCTATCACAGCGCGCTCATGATGCTCTTTGACCCCACGTTCGATGCGCTCAGCAATCCAGACCGCCGAATGTACCTTGATCGCTACTTTACTGTACCGGATGAGCCAGGCGAGGATCCATCCACACAGCCCATATTGTGCACATCGTATCAATTCTTCTTGCTAATAGCCGATGTTACACGGCTGGCACGCGCCGCCGGGCTATTTTGTCATTCCGACATGTTTACCTGGCAAAGACTACAGGATGAATTACTGCAGTGGGAAAGGAACCCCCAAGCTCAAAGCGAGGGATGTATGCTGTATATCCTTGCCATGCGAATCCTTCTCATCAGAATCGACACATCTGCCCCGTCCGAGGAGGTCGAGGGGCGAATTTCTTTTCTTCTACGCCAGGGTCTTGGCCTGGTCCAGTCTATCGATGCCGACCAGTTCCTGATCGGTGATCTCCTCTGGCCATTGGCTGTGCTGGGGTCTGTAGCGGTCACCGCAGACGAAATTCGGATTTTGAATGACAAGATCGCATCGCTTGGTAGTCGCCGTGCGCTGGCATCATGGGTCAGGTCCCATTTGGACAAGATCAGGACAATGACCTCGTCATTGAGGATGAGGTTAGGGTATCTCCTAGGTGTTGGCCATGATCTGGCAAGTGCACGTTTGCTTCTTCAATATTGATACATCTTCTTCTCCAGATGTGCTCTGAGGGTCTTTGGTTTCTCGGAAAGACAATATTTGCCAAAGACATCTATTTCTCTGCTGCCAGCTGTACAACCACAATAGTCTACATCACTATAACACTCAATGATCGCTGACGCTGCAACTCAATCTCCATCTAAGAGCAATTGGTTCCACCGTAGACAAAAGTTCCGTCCGAGTTCTCGCAGCCACAAGTACMGTCCTTAGGGCTCTTGATGCAACCGGTGCCGACACCAGAAGACTCTCCATTGTCACTGTATAGGATTAGTACTTGTACTGACTGTATACCGCAATTGCCTCTGATTGACTCACTTCCAGAAGAACGTCCAGCAATCCGCATCGACATCGGTCATTTGCGAGTCAGTGGGCGCGGTGCAGGTGTACGCCTTGCAGGTTCCGTAGGGAGCTCCATGGGAGGAGTCATACTTGTGGTCGGTGACGAAAACAGCAAAGGTTTGTGTTTCTGCATCGGTATTAGAGGATGCAGCATCTAAGGGAAAGTTTAGGGACGTACTGGATGTGCGCGTGTTGTGAGAGCATTCCGCGGCTTGAATTGCATTGGAGGTCTTTGCGGCTGTTGATTGTCAGATAATTTGGCTCAGTAGACGGCAAGAGTAGTACTAACGAGAGCAGTTGTAGGTACTAGGGCATTTGCCCTTGGTGTTGGAGGTTGCCGGGTCGAGAGTAGCCAGCGCAAGGGTTGCGCTGAGAAGGACGGAGATCAGAGACTTGGAATACATGGTTGCAGTGGTGAGAATGCTTTTGATATCTTTTGGATGATGATTGTTGAAGAGCTTTATATCTTTTTGGATGATGGATCTCTCCTTTTCTCGAAACAACATGGAGATGTCATGCTGAGACCTGCCGCGTCGTCCGTTTCAAGAGAGTGGGTCAACAGTATCAGGCCAGAATTGATGAAGAAGCTCCCTCTTTGTCGGTGTGGGGTATCTACAGCAATGATGTCCATCAACTTGCAAATTAAGGAGATCTTCCGCGGGTTAAACTCCGCGTGACAGCTGAGCATCACATCTACATCTGGACTCCACGGTCTTGACCTTAAAGTAGCGTGATGACGAGTCTCCGGAAGTGTTCCGTGGGGATTGTATCAGATATATAAGGGTCTCTTCATCACCGGTTCTAGATTCTCCTGGACCAATATCATTGTCATACTATTGCTGAGCAGTCAATTGCTACGAATGTGTGCTTGATATGCACTGCTGATGCGCTCCTCCGACACCCACTAATGGGATGCTCAATTCCCAATGCTGATCGATTACTCCGTACAGTATATCACACTCTGACACACAAGGCCATACTATCGTCGAAACAGTAAACTCTGATATGGCTTCTACTTCGATAATAAACTTTCAATCACCTTGGCGTGCTGCATCAGGGCCTCATCCTTCAGCTTTCTGCCCATGATCTGCACGTGGCATGGTGCACCTTCGACTTCTTTAGGCTTGTCTACATTTGTCCGTTAGTCACAGCTCCCTGCGAGAAGAGAGCGCACTTACACGCTGGGATGTACTGGACATCTCTTACAAACTCGGCGTCGGCAGCCTCCTCCGCCTTGCCAAAGGGAAGAACGCAAGATGGATACTGACAAGTTAGCAACGTTCCTGCATCATATAGATCAAAACCTACATCGAGCAAGTTGCTGAAGACAGTATATGGTGGCTTCCCATATTCATCGTGAGGAACCGCACAGCTCTGGAACCCCGGACTGATGATAACATCCAGCTGATTCTCGAGGAACATCTTTCGCACCTCCGCCATCACGTCGCCCCGTGTCACGTTCATATCGTACAGCTCTCGCAGCGTCGGCTCCGGTGCAGGCTCATCGGGATTATATGTGACGCCCAGGGAGGGGATGGGAGGCTCGCCGCTATCGGAGATCTTCTTCAAAGCCGTCCGGTCGGGATCCATGTTGAAGTATCGGAAAGAAAGTTCACAGGCATCAGAGATGCTGGGCAACTTTCCGGTCAGATCGATAATACGATGACCGGCCGCAGCGAGTTTCTTCGCGGCGAGAGTCAGAGTACGCTGCATGGGCGGATGAAGCGGGTACTTGGGGTCCTCTGCCATGACGCCGATGGTGAGCACATCCTTTGCGGGCGCATCACACCACGGAAAGCCTACGACGCCGTCGTCGAGGTCCTCAGGGTGCGAGTTGAACACAGTCCGGAGGAGCAGTTCGGCGTCTCTGAGGGAACGGCACAAAGGCCCTGCCACGGCCGCAATTCCTACCATCCCGGCTCGACCGACAGGTTTTTGGCCCGCGGATGGCACCCGGCCAACAGATGGCTTGAAGCCAGTTGTCCCGCAGCACAGCGCCGGGATGCGGATGGATCCTGCAATGTCGGTGCCGATACCTAGCACCGAGCCGCGGAGGGCAATGAGAGCACCCTCCCCGCCTGTGCTTCCCCCCGCCGTGAGATTGCGGCGGTGTGGATTGAGGACACGGCCAAACACGTTGTTATGCGAGTCTGCCGTCATCATTGTCTGCGGGATATTGGTCTTGACATAGAGAACAGCACCGGCGGCGAGGAGGAGATCGACCAACGCCGAGTTTGTGGTTGGGGCCGGATGGTCCAGGTAGGATACAAACCCGAGAGAGCTTGGCACGCCAGCAACGTTGAAGCTCTCCTTCAGACTGATCGGAAGGCCGTGAAGGGGTCCAACGGTCTTTCCTGTAGACGCCAGATGGTCATCCAGTTGCCGGGCTCGGGTGAGTGCTTGGTCGAAGAAGGTCTCGGTCAGGCAGAAGGTAAGCTGCTGGGCAATAGCAGCACGCTTGCAAAAGGCTGTTGTAACTTCCAGGGCACTGAGCTCTTTTGACGCTAATTTCTGCAGGAGATCAGTGGCGTCGTAGTTTTCGGTGATGTCCAGCTCGCGAGCAGAAAGAATACCGCACTTCTTGGGAATACCAAGAACATTAGGCTCGTTGGAAACGGCATTCACGATATCTGAAGAGAGTCTCCATTCTGGAGGGATCTTGCTAGCAGCCTCAGACTGCTTAAGCTGAGCTTTCTGTTGCCAGTCGACGATGGTCATGGTGGGATGATGTGGTAGAATGGTAGACATGTGACTTTACGTCGATAACGAAACAAATCCAGGACTCATCGACGTTTAAATAGCTTTGCCTCCATTATTCCCTGCGATAATATGATCTCAGCAATGAGGGGTAAATCGGACCAGACAAAGTGGACCCTGCAATCAGCCAAAGAAGATAACCACACCCCGCCAATCAAGCACTTTTGCGCGACAGTCTTGGTATTCCTAGGACCTAGGACTATGAGAGCCGAATAGACGCATGTTCGAAGGGTGGAGATCCTTGGTAGTTGACAACTTCTCCGGCAGAGTGACTCGGGATCTCAACATGAGAACTGCCTGATATCCCTAGCCGAGGCAGACCTACAATTAGTACATAAGACTTGGTGATAGGCTACCACGAATGGGAGCAACTCTTTCTCTGATGTTTGTTGCGTGGATACCTGGTTCGGCCTGGTGCTGCAGCCAATGAGCGATATTTGCGCGCTGCTTCTCCGCATAATGGAAACATTCCCCGGATTGTCGGCTTGGTGCCGACGTCGCTATTCCATACATTCATTTGCATTGATTTGTATCTTGCCAATAATGAAATAGAGCCATGTACATCGCGGCGGTAAATTCATAAACATTGCCCCAAAGTGTTGTGAAAGTAACAACCTAATGCGTGGGTACCTTCATGAGCCGACGTCCTACTAAGCCTAGATACACCAAAACGTCGTTCAAAAGTAACCAAAATCCTCAAGCCAGACCGGGTATCTTATACGTGTGCTTTCCTAACGCCAAAACCATCAACGAAAAGGGAGAGATAGAACAATCAAAAAGCTATCAAGAAGCTCTGGCGGTGCTAATGACCCTCTGATTGGTTGCTTGAAGTGGTCAACTTCTCGGTCGGTGACAGACTGCCCTTGGACTGACCTCAGCGGACCTCCAAGTCTTTCTGTTGGCGATGGCTTCCCCGGCCGTCTTTAACGCTATCTTAGGCTCTGGCTCCACGGGGGTAGGCCTCCGTGTCACGAAGGCGAAGATGAGCCGTTTCCCGTCTGAACTTGTCCGAGTCGACCTCCCATTCCAGTTTGGTATGTTTTCCTTCAGAGTCATCATCAAGAAGCGGGTCTGCTCTCGTGAACGAGCCGGGCTGCAGCGCCCCCGTGACCAACACTACCCGCGTCTTTCGCTGGGCGTTTGGCCACAGTGCCTTTTTTCTGTTGAAACTCGAGCTGCGTGATCCGATCATGGAAAGCGACTGTATCCACGCCAAGATGACGGCCTAGCGAACACATGGCGGCGAACAATTAGACTCGATAGCCCAGTCAAGTTCCCCGTCGATAAAATGTAAACGAGTGGAAATGTCGGAATCACCAGCGGAGTCGGAGGAGTCGTAAAGCTCTCAACGGTCGACAAGCCGGATGTTGTGATGCTTGAGAAGGGTCTTCAATTGATTCTCCGGTCGCGAATCTCGAACTGCTTGTCAAGTTGCTCCTGGAGTTTGCGATGTTGTTGCAGGGCAGCATCTTCAATTTGTCGGTCCATTTTGATGTTGAAGTGAATTTCACCTGATCATTGCATGCTTAAGTTTGTAGATAGAGAAGCCTGACAATGAAAGCGGCAGATGGACGAAGGAGTCAGGTGCCGTCCCTCGACCGACTATGTGGTCACGTGGGGTCTTCTCATGTGGCTGAGCATCTCCATCCCCTTAACACTCAGCACCGCCGCATTTCAGCCACTCACTGGCGCGTCAACAAACACAAATACTTTCAAATACTTTCATTATTTGGCAGCAATATGCTGCCTCACTCCGTCTATCAGAAACATATGGTGGTGTTATCTCAAGAGACTACGAATTGGGCATCTTAATTTGTCTATCCCTCACTATAATGTACTGTCTGCTCTTCAACTTGTAAGACCCTGATCAGCTCCTTTGATTAAATATATCCGCGCGATTGGAGTGAGATTTCAAAAAATGTCTTCAGAACGAAGATGCTCCCATTCTTCTATGTGTTACAACTCCTCTCCTCATGCTGCTGAAGTAGGTTATAAACAACCAAGTCTGAAGCAAAGGACGGCGGCCACAAGACCCACAGGATCCCAAGGACAACATGGCCGTATTGATCCAAGCATATTTCCAGCTCCGTTGGTTCTACCTGACGACGACCTTGCACTGGATCCTGAGTACCCACCGCAATCTTTTCAAGAGTGGTTGGACGACGAGGATCGCAACGAAGTCACCTCGGACAGAAGGACAGTCTATGTTGTTGCGCCACCTGACTATGACGAAGATGCCCGTTTCGCGCAGGCATGGACCTCTCCCAGAGTGGGCAAGGCCCAGCATCAGTTAGTAAAGCCTACTCCACAAGACATCGTCAGTTACCTCGCGGCGTTTTACCATGGGGTCCCCGTCAAGCTCCTTCGAGTACCCGGCTTTCGATTTGTTCCTTGGGATGGTCAGGAATCCAAGAGCTCACCCCGCTTCATTGGTTTAGCTATTTCAGACGAATGCGTTGGCATTCGGACGCGGGCATGCCCTGACAAAGTTTATACTCGTCAATTGAACCTCGACGATCTCCTGGATGTGGCGATAAGCATACTTCCCGACGATGCGTATGCCTTGTGTCTTCTCATGAACCATGATCTCTATGAGGACGCTGATGATACGTTCGTCTGCGGACGTGCATACGGTGGAAGCCGCGTCGCAGTTGTCTCCAGCGCCAGGTATTGTCCGTCCCTGGACCCAACTCAATCAGTAGAGCGGGAACATTCGTGGCCAGCATCACATTGTGATGACTACGTCCGAAAATTCAGCTCCTCTTACGTGGCGAGTGCCAAAAGGCGGAAGACCGCCAGCGAATCGTCGTCCTTGGCTGCTGCGCCATTAACAGCCGCGTTATCTGCATTGTCTTCCCTCCCAAAGATCGATTCATCACCACGGTTATTGTCATCACTCTGGCTCTCTCGAATGTGTCGCACGGCAAGCCATGAACTGGGTCATTGTTTTGGTATTGACCATTGTGTATATTACGCGTGCATCATGCAGGGAAGCGCGTCTCTGTCAGAGGACACGAGGCAGCCGCCGTACCTCTGCCCGGTTGATTGTGCTAAGCTTCTACATGCAACGGGAAGTACAGATAAGGAACGATATCTCAAACTGCTGGATTACTGCAAGAGAGCGACGAATGATGGAACGCATTTCTTCGCTGCGTTTGCTGCTTGGTTGACTACCGTTCTTAGTACAGTCACAAGATAGCCTTTCTTCCCGGAATTCCATAGCGCGGCAAATCCCCCAACGTGTCTGTTGAGTGACATCACAAGACTTACGAACACCGATTCACATGTACCGGGATATACCCTGCTATCGACGCATACTCACGGGATTTCCCAGTCCAAGCTTGACCTGACTGGCTACAAGCCTCAAGTAGAAGTGCTACCCGTCATATCTAACACTATTCCACATTAATGACTCAGAACCTGACGCTTGATCCCACGAGCAATATGGTCCTCCTTCAGGACTTCTAACGGGCATAATTTATTGATTTATAGTACTCTGACGTACCCTGGCAAAGTCGTTGGGTTTTCGTGAAAGCAGCTGCAGGACTGGTTGTGGCTGTGATCGCAAGTCGCTGCCCGGATGATTGATCTGATTGTCACTTGCGCTCACTTGCGCTCTACATAGTACAATAAAAACACAATGATCATTCTTGAATGTGATCCCCTTGGTCTTTTGACCGCCAAGCATAGACCAACCTCAAACATAGCATCATTGCGGGATGGTCGAGATATTACCCGATTTGGAAATGGTTGCGAACGCTAAATTGGTGGACCCTGGTTGGGCTTCCCCAAACTGCCGATGCGAGATGGGTTAGTTTGAGTACTCCCCTCTTTCTATTTCGATAATCAGGTTATGGGATTGTGAGTACTTTGGCCAGCATTGTGTTGTCTCTTGGGGATCCCAATTGTTTCCGGGTTGATGACCGGATATCTGCCAAACTTCGCCACAAAGATATCAGTCTCGAGCAGGATACTTAACAGATTCGACTTGTTGATACCTGGACCTTTGAGGTAAGTCAGTACCCCAAGCGGGGTGGTTCGTTGTGGAGAGAACATGCCCTCATCAAGCCTCACATGCTGATCATCAACGGTGGCTCGCTAAGGGTAGTTTCCAGATCGACGGGCTTAATCTTCCATTCATATGTCAAACAGATTTTGTTGGGAACCAAGATCCACATATACTGACGTTGTGGGGTGTTGCTGGCCTCTTCACATGTCCTGGTATCTCCAGATTACCGACATCTCCGCAAACTGGAGCCGACGAGCCTATTTAAAGAGCGGGCCATCACTCAGGGTTCCTACGGATTCACAGAGCACTCGAAACTATCGCAGCCATGGAGACCAAAGGCAACCCGAAAGACTCGATGAAGTCCACCTGGCGTACTGCCAGCAAGGATACCTGGAGCTTCGGACACTGGCTCATTCATATACTCAACGTCTACCCTACAGAACTGGACAAAGAGATACCGGTGCACTCCAAGAATGAACCGATCCCGTTCATGCCGCAATGGTCGATGAACCTCTGGGTTATCTTCTACGCGTCCCTACCTCTGGTGTTCCATCAGGCCTGGGCATGGTACACAGGTCGCAACTTGGGTCCTTTAGCCACCTTTAATCTGTATATGTTTGCCTTCAATGCGATCGTCATCTATCAGGTACACATACTCCGTCGACTCGGTCACAAATACGGCTTCCTGGATGGCGACAAACATGAACGAGACGGCGTTCCCGACGTCGGGGTCGGCAAGGTTGTTGCCTCGGTGTACAAAACGACCGGTTCTCGCTTGGCGCTATCGGTGTACTTCTCCTACCAAACCAGCCAGCTTCCCTCACAGATGAACTGGTATTGGTTACCAGTTGAGGTTGGGCTGTACGGGATCGTGCTCGACTTCTGGTTTTACTGGTACCATCGTCTCATGCACGACGTGAGCTTCCTCTGGAAGTACCACCGCACGCACCACCTGACCAAGCACCCCAATCCTTTGCTCACGGCATACGCGGACCACGAGCAGGAGTTCGGCGACATGGTCGGGGTGCCGATGATGACCTACTTCACCCTGCGGCTGCTGGGTCTGCCGATGGGCTTCTACGAGTGGTGGATCTGCCATGAGTATGTTGTTTTTGCAGAGGTGTTCGGGCACAGCGGCCTGCGCCTGCATCTGACCGTCCCATCGCCCCTCAGCTGGCTGCTGCAGTGGTTCGATGCCGAGATTGTCATTGAAGACCATGACTTGCACCATCGGAAGGGCTGGAGGAAGAGTCACAACTACGGCAAGCAGACTCGTCTTTGGGATCGGATCTTTGGAACCTGTCATGAACGAATCGAGTCTGTTGCTGAAAATGTGGATTATGCGAATACCGCCAGGATGCCATTGTTTTGACGCGGATTCAATGCTAGAGGGTCTGATGCAAGCATAGAAGAACAGAAACGTGGAGCTGGATTGGAACTTTCTTGTATATAATTACTGCTACTCTAGCAGACGACAAGGCATAACCTGGGCTTGATGAATATATGTCAATGATTATTTTTGGACCATATCATCTCGCCATACTCTTTTGTACTAAAAGATTGAGAATGCTTCAGATTCTAAGATTATATGGAGTCATTATATGGACGTTCTCAGCATTATTAATAGAAATATACTGGCTATCAAGTAACCCATGCTCCGACTCAACAGCCACCGCACCATGTCTTGGATGTTGTTCTACAATCTCTACCTTACAGAGTAGTCCGTAGAGTGTTAATTCCAAGTGCGAAAACAATGTGACAGTCAAAGGTGGACCGCCAAGAGGATTGGCATCCTAACTGCATGTTGACAAGTCACCATTGGCCAAAGAATGGGTATTTGTTGTCCTGCTCCTTGTAATCCACGCATCCGTCAGTGTCAGCGTCACTGTCAGCCCTAGCGGCCGAGTGGCGTCAGCCCCTCACCTAGTCTAGTATGAGTATATACTATGTTATGATACAGCACAATTGAATATAAATATGCAATACAGCATTTAAGCTGCCTGATATCCTTTCTATTTCTCTTGATTGTAAAATTCACTGCGTATCAACCATCATGTCCACCGGAGCCGAAACGCTTCAGCAATTCTTTCCCGCGACATCCCGGCCGCTGATATGCAATGCACCGATGGCGGGCGCAACAAACGCCAGAATGGCAGTGGCAGTAGCCAAAGCCGGGGGACTAGGTGCGAGCTAAGCAGACAATATAGAGAAGACGACTCATCATTATTCAGGCCTTATTGGCGGCGGAGCCGACTTCACTGCGTCATCCCCGGAGTTGGCAAATCTCCGGCGACAATTGATCTCCGCCAGGCAGCTCCTTGGCATTGTTGACTCGAATGCGCCGCTACCCATTGGAGTCGGCTGTCTCACGATGAAGTCCGACACTTGGAAGGATAACTTTGTCCAGCTTGTCAATGAACATCGGCCAGTGGCAGTGTGGCTGTTTGCATGCACCCGCCGATCGCAGCACACGGAACTAATTCAGGCATTGCAGAAAACAGGCAGAGACTGGGGACTGAAAGTGATCGTTCAGATTGGCACGGTGGAAAGTGCGAAGGAAGCAATCGATGATGGGGCCGATATTCTCTCTGTTCAAGGATCCGATGCCGGCGGCCATCAATTTAAGCAGGGGGCTAGTCTGATGACCTTGCTTCCGGATGTATCGGATATGGTAAGGAGAGAATATCCAGCGAAGAACATTCCATTGCTGGCAGCTGGAGGAATAATGGATGGCAGAGGAGTCGCAGCTGCCTTGATGTTAGGTGAGATCGAGGCAATTGGACTCAACCATTGCGGATAAAGCTGATAGCATGTCTGTCTAGGCGCAAGTGGAATCGTGATGGGAACAAGAGTGAGTTAGCTAACAAGCTGGGTTGAAACATACTAACTGTCAGGAGTTTTTATGTACCACGGAATGCCCTGCCTCGGACCAGGTCAAGGCCACTTTGATTACCACTCAGGATGGCGCTTCCTCCACTTTGAAGTAACAACAGTCGTCCTTGACACGGATGGTCACGATGACTGACTGCTGCTAGATCCCGCGTGCACGACGAGATTCAAGGAAGGGCTGAATTTTGGCCAAGCCAATATTCGGGGCGCGCGATTGTGTCAGACGTCCATCGGAAATGGGATGCGGAGTCGGGCAAGCACAAGGGTCCAGATATGGTCAGAGCACCCCTGGCTATCGTTTGGGCGTAAGAGATTCCCCCGTCTTTTTGAAACGGTTTAAGGAGCTGACGATCTTCAATAGCGGCGCCGGAGTGGGACAGATTGAGTCCGTCGTGGATGCTGGCACTGTCGTGACTGATACACAGGCACAGGCCAGGCAGTTGATTCAAGCATTTAACACTTGAATCGATGCTCTAGATGCATGTCTAATGCCGAGCACATCAATGTATGCAAGGAATCCGTACAGAAATGTAACCTGTCGACTCTGTCCTTGAATATATCAAGCAAATAGTATATAGTCTGCCAGTCTAGACCGACGGAAATCAAAAAGGTATCATTTCACTGCAGCTGTTCAACGGCCTGAATAACATCACTGTAACCTAACGCGGGCGAGAACTGTATTAAGTCCCGCGGTCCGTAGTGTCAGGCTGACTGACCGTAATTAGATACGAACGCCACATCGGACTCCGTTGCTACCTTATGATTATGTTTGTCCATCGCATCACGGAGGACATCTCATTTAGGTTAGAATAATTCTCGCCGTGATTACAACAAATTAAAAAGGTGGCCGAGACGATATTCGAACCCTGTCAGGTCACCTGACCACGACAAGATAGACGGTCGGACAGAAACGCTTGTAACTGATTGGACTTACGAAGTGACAAACAGGCTGTTAAGTTGGCAACTTGTAATGCATTTCGCAAATTGAAGTATGAGCTGTCGGGCCTTGGAGCATGCAATCTGTGGTAGATAGATACTGTTGTACCGCGGAAACGGAGCGGGTGATTCATCGCACGGCAGGTGGGCCACAGCAAAGTTAAACAGCCTCGAGTGCATCAAGTGGGTCAGTGTGATGAGGAGCGATACGAACAAGCAGACGCACATGAAGATGCCATGCTCTTGTCAAATCTTTAGTTTAGTCCCTGGCTGGAGAATATATTTGAGACAGACAGACAAGTGATGAGGCTGTAAGGCACCCCACGCCTAACGAACCAAATGCGAACGATAAGTAGTGGTCTTCCCAGGGGCAAGGTTATTGAGAATAAGTGATGTAACCTTTGCACTTTTCTTAAGTAATGAGCCGCGTAAGTTGACAAGTCGAGAAATGAAACGAGCTGAGCTGAGACGAGCCACAAGGTAACATCCTGCTCTGTATGGACTGTCTAGTAGTCCACCAATTTGCCACGGTGCCCCTGCAGGCCCTGAGAATATGGCCAGAATAATTGAGTTTGTGATCTTACTCAAGAAGCCGACCAATGAACTGAATGACTCGGCACAAACGACTGACCAGGGCAAAGAACTCGTGTGGGGGTTTGGGATTTTCAGGCACCAAACCAATTACGGGCAGACTAAGAGGAGACGGCGTGTTTCAAGTTCAGCAAGTTATGGCTTGCACTCATCGCTGATTGGATATGGCCATTGCTCCGGTGAGCTTAGCCCTTCGGTACTTCAACTATCGGATCTATGTACTGATACTTGTAGAAATGCCCCATTTGCTGGGAACAGAGGGTCCAGGGTACACCGGAGAAGGGACCATCATCTCGCACAACTCGACGCTTATAAGAGCCATGTACTCCCCTCCTTTTCCGTCTCTTTCCCTTTGGTCCGTAAGCTAGACTTCTGTCATTCCCTTCCTTTCGTGCCGGGCACTTCTGTACAGCCACCATGCTGGTCATTCCTTTTGTAAGTATAAACAACACTCACTCCTATCACTACCGCATACTAATATACTGGCCTTAGATCTTGGCTGCTGGCAGCCTTCCCACTCTCATTTCTGGGCTTCCTGTCCCGTCCTTTCCCTCCAGCAAGGTGACTACAGAAGTTTCCACCCAGACCCTTCAGAAGCGAGGCTACACCGTCCTCGGTGGCACCGGTGAAGTTGCGGATGGATGGCCGTCCATGAGCGACTGGTTCTCGACCTTTGAGGAGATGTATGTATTTATGCCGCGAGCCGCTTGGCAGATGCTAACCTGGGATGTTTGCCAGGTTCGAGGCCAACAAGGGTACCATGAAGAGCTCCTGCGCGCAGTGGAATGTTGAAAACAACTCTGACGAGGAGCTGGCAAACATGTCCAACAGCATCAAGTCTGTCGCAAGCTCCACCGGCGTCGATGCTCGGTTCATCCTGGCCATCGTCCTGCAGGAGAGCAACGGTTGTGTCCGAGCCCCCACGACTAACTACGGGGTTGTCAACCCTGGTCTAATGCAGAGCCACGATGGATCGGGTTCCTGCAACCGCGGCAACCCCCTGACTCCTTGCCCCGCCAGCCAGATCACCCAGATGATCACCGATGGCACCGCGGGCACTGCATCCGGTGACGGCCTCAAGCAATGTCTCGCACAGGCCGGAGGAACAGGCGATGTGGCCTCGTACTACCGCGCCGCGCGTATCTACAACTCCGGCTCCATCGCTTCCTCCCAGAACCTAGGCCAGGGCATCGCGACTCACTGCTACGCGTCGGATATTGCAAACCGTCTCACCGGATGGACTACCGGACCGAGCGGCTGTGATCCCAACACTATTGGCGAGCTGACGTCCGGTGCTTTCTCCGGAGGCGCAGGCTCTCCCACCACCAGCACCACCAGCGCCCCCACTACTACAAGCGCTCCGGCCACCACCACCATCCATCCAACGACCGCGACGTTCACCACCGCGTCCACTACTTCCTCTAGCAGCTCTAGCACAACAAGCACGACAGTCTCTACCGCCAAACCCACGGTCCCAGCCACCACTATCCCGGTATCGGTCCCGAGTGCGGCCAGCACTCCCACCGTCGCCCCGACTGCATCGTCCAGCCCATCCGCGAGCGCCAAGACGTCCTCCTCAGATGCGCCGATCTACCCATATGCAACACCCTCCTGCCAGGAATACTACACCATCCAGACAGGCGACTACTGTTTCAAGGTCGAGACTGAGACCGGCATCACCGCCGCACAGCTTCTCGAATGGAACGCCGGGCTGGACGAGGCGTGCACGAATCTCTGGCTGGGATACCAGTACTGTGTCAAGGCGTAGACTGGTCAACTCTTTGGCGCTTTCTACTTTTCTTCGCTTCTTTTCTTAGCTTCCTTGTCTTAGATGTGTCCGTGCACATCCAAGGAAGCTCTTTGGCTTGTTCAGATTTGTGATGCCCAGCCTGGTGACAGTGCTGTCGCTAGTCGAGATCGCTGCTCCGTTGTCCATGTAACGATATACGATCTATAACATCTTAGATGAGACTGCGGAAAATGTATTCATTTAGGCGCTTGCAGACATTCCTAGTTGATTTGATCTTTGTGGCCACGTCAGCTTCTGCTCCATGGCAAAGTTACCCGAGTAGTATTGATTCGCTAGTGTGCTGCCACGACGTAACCCGCGCATTGACCGTCGCGATCTCCGTCCGCATGTCTGATTGGCTCAGTCTGTTCAATTAGGGGCATAAGACAGAGCACGTGAATTCTCATAATGCCTCAGGCATACGTAAGATAGATTCTGCTGAGAAGGTCTTCCAAAATCTGCAATGATGCTAACTCTGCCTGAAGATGAAAGGAACTACCTGCCCGCTAACTATCCTTATTAGTGTCTCGTCCCTGAGTATATAAGACAAACGCCCAACTCCGTCATCCTAATGCGTGATTGTGATCGTGGTTAAGTAGTCTGAACGAATGCTGTACCGACATAAACGAAAAGTCGTCAATGCAAGAGCTCGTCGATCTGCTTGACTAATTCCTGAAAGCGGATCGGCTTGGACAGGAAGAGGTCAATGCCGGAATTAAAGGCTTCCTGCCGGACCGGGGCGCTGCCCAATCCCGACAGCGCAATAACCGTCGTGGGTTTGGAGCACGAATGACCGGCATTGGTGCTTCCTTCGCGATGCATCTTCTCGAACAGGCGGATCTCCCGCGTCGCCTCGAGACCGTCCATGACCGGCATGGAGATGTCTAATTGGTTAGTGGGAGCGACCGATAGTATTTCTAGTAATGGGACCACTCACCCATGAGCACAACTGGGATGTACCCGACATTCGTTTTGAATACTTCCAGAGCCTCGAGCCCATTGGAAGCGGTATGATAAGAAAACTTGGCTTTTTTCATAAAAGCAACCAACAGCTTCAGATTCACGTCATTGTCGTCCACCAAGAGCACAGAGGGAACTCTCTTGTTCGCCTCTATCGTCGATACTTCCACAGCGGAATCATCGACATGAGTGGTAGTCACTGACACTATGGTCTTCTCGGGCGCCAAGGAGAAGTCGACACGCGACACATTCCCACTCTGCCGCCTAGGTTTGCTCGCTTGAGCCGCGGAGAGAAACGCTGGGTCAATCCCGCCAGCCGAAATACAAGACGGCCGTTCCATCTGGCGTTTGAGGCAAGCCAGAAGTGAATTGGCCATCTTGGACGGTCCGCATGGCTGACTGATAAACTCGTAGACCGACGTCGACGGTCGCTGGCTTGCAGTGGTCGCTAGCTTTTGCGCCATCTGAGGTGTCGAGCAAATCACGATCATCGGCGGGCTACGCGAGTCACTCTCGGCCATTGAGACCTGCCGACAAATCTGATCCACTTCGTCGAGGTTTGCCTGTCGGACCAAATACAGGTCGTACACCGGCTGCTCCGGCGCATTCGACGAGACAAGACCGACTTCCATCCCGAAATGCTCCTTGTACATGCGAAGGAGGGACGAGCGCAAGAGAACAAGCGCCTCATCTTCATGTTGGGAGGCCGATCCGAATCCGATCAGCCCAATCGACTTGCCACGTACTCGGTCTTTGGCTTTGCGGACAATACTGGTGTCGCGTTCATTATCCGCGACCTCTCCCTGAGGAGTGCGTGGTAGATCCATCGTGACCGTCACCTCCGTCCCGACGCCCTTGGTGGAGATTATGTCGACTTTGCCACCGAGTGATACAACGGTCTGATGGACAATGCTGAGGCCCAAGCCACTGCCTGGAGAGAGAGGGTCTTCCTGCGAGAACGGCTTGAACACATTGCTCTGTAAATATTGCTTGTCGATACCCTGCCCGGTGTCTTTGACGGTCAAAGTTACACTGCCCATGCCCTCCCGTGTCCCATCTCCAGGAGACAATCGTTTCATCTTAGGGTTGGACGCCGATGAGCTACAATTCAACGTCACAGAGATGTAACCCGAGTGTGTGTACTTGAGGGCGTTGCCGAAGAGGTTCATGAGGATCCGACGCCATGCACCGGCCTGTGTTTCAAACAGCCATTGCACACCGGGCTCAACATCGTAGATGATAGTGAGTGCTTCATTAAAAGCAGAAAGTGATCGCTCTGCAGTACCTCTCATAACTAAATCTCTGTCGCTATCCCGGGCAAGACCCTGTGGACCAGGTCGGGAAACGAGCCCCCCTTTGGCGGAAAAGCAATGACCAGCAAAGACACTGTCCACCACTTCTTCCAGCACTGCATCTAGCTGAACATCCGAGATCAGATTGACCACCCCGAAGCCGGGCTTATCTTTGGAAGCCATGCGTGCAGGCAACCCCGGCCGTCGACGAGAGGCGTACGTAGATTTGAACCGAGAAGATCGGGATTTGCGAGTGAACTGGTTGATCTTGGCAAAGTCCAGCATATTGTTGATGATGTCAAGCAGCGACCGACCGCAGTGCTCGATGGTATTGACCAGAGCAACCTGGGCGGGTGTCATCGTGGAATCGGTCAGTAATTCCGTACTACCGAGAATGCCATGCAGTGGACTGCGCAATTCATGAGAAATGCTTCCAACGAGAGTGGCGTGCGCCTTGTTCGCCAACTCGATATCCAGCCGATGGATCTCCGCCATGATGCTGTTGGAAAAGGCGTAGAGGTAGGCCAACTCGCCTGTCAGGCTGAAGACGCGCGGCGCAGCCGTCCACACAAACAGCCCTGAAAACCATCGATTTCGCCGTGAATCCCAGAGAGGGAACATGGTCACACTGCGGGCCGCGGGGAACACTTTGATCAGGGCCTTGTTTTCTTCCTTGAGGCTCACTCGCTCCCGTTTTCTCTGTTTCCACTGTCGCTGAACCTTGGAGCCCTCGTCACGACGATAAACGATCTCTCGCGAGACGTAGCTTGCGGAGGCACTGTCGCTTCCCTCACTGGATGATACCCCACCGTTCTCGTCAATATTGAAGATAGCACCACGGGGATAATGGCGAAGGAGTGACCGAAGAAATGATTCTCGCATTAGCCCGGTCGATTTCTCGGAATCGTCCTGTGCAGTGGAATACCCCAACACATCGCATACGGTCGAATCGTCCGTTTCGGTCGATGAGTGTCCGGTAGTCGGATTGTCACTGTCACTGCTGGAAGCAGCGTCACCTGTGCTACTACTGCTCTCAATGTCCGATTGGCGACCGTCCGAGTTCCGGGTTAAAGTCGCGTAAGAGTTAACACTGGCGTCGAAGAAAACAACGCCTTCCACTTCTAAAGAATCACGCAGGACACGAGCCGCGCGTGAAATGATCTCTCTTGTACCAGAGGCCAGAGTGACCTCCGGTTGACGGTGGTGGTTGGGTGTGGAGGAGATTCGAGGTCGTGTCTCAGACTCCCGTGGTTCATGAGACCCTATAAAGACAGTTTAGAGATGCCTCTGTTCCATGTCATCAACTAGGACAAATGGTGGTACCTGATGGAGATGCAGCGGCCTCCTTGTGGTGGCTTCGTTCCTTAAGGGGAAAGCGACCGTCCGCCCGCGCTTGATGATGGCGCCGCGTCTGTGGGGTAATATTCTGTGGGTTCCCTGACCCCTGCTCCTCATCCTCATCGTGAGTGTGTCTGTTCCTTCGGAGGCTGCTCGATGGAAAAGTGGCACCCTCGACAAAGCTTCCCAATCCTGCGATCATATTGGCCCCGCGGCGATTCTGTTCATGAGAGCGCATCATTTCCAGATGGTTCATGATAGCCGCCGCGGTGTCTGTCATGAACCGAATCTCCAGCGGATCCAATCCTGCACGAGGCTGACCGTCACTCACTGCGAATGCGCCGATGGCAATGCCCCGACGGCTCATAATAGGGACTCCCGCATAGAATCGTAGATGCGGGGCGTTCACCACATACTGTCGCTTGCTGCACCGGTCGTCCTTGGTCATATCCGGAATGACCAATGCGGAATATCCTCCATTGGGACCCTTTGGCCCGGCGTTGAGCTGATCCTCCTCGCAACAATAGTGACACACCCCATCTGGTTTGGGAATGACACTGCTGCCCAGCCACAAGCCATCACCATCGACATGGACCCTGTCGTCTTGGAGACTTAATGTGCGAGTCGACTCAGCGAGGATATATTGCGTATGACGATCGAAGAGGGAGATCATGCATCGTCGGGCATTCAATCGCAAAGCTCCAAGTTGCGCAAGCGCCGTCAAAGTGGTGTCTTGTGATGATTGTGGTAGCAGTTCCGCATCGATTTCGCTCCGAGGGGATGGTGGTGGCCGATGGAGGAGGCCCGGACGCTGAGGCAGCTGGCAATACCTGGCAATGAGTTAGATGGCCCGACTCTCTTGGGTGAGCGGATACGTGGCACGTACTTGTAGAACTCTCGCTCCTGTGCCATAGCGATCTCTGGGGAGGGGTTGCGGGCTGATGTGCTAAATTCCGAGATCTCTAACATCTCATGGTTTGTTCTTCATCTTCTCACTAGCACATGGCTCAAGGATCCGAGGGAGGCTGCACAGGTATAATTGATCCTTTTTTGGGGGGCCAGATCTCGACAGATCGTCGCTGGGAAAAGGAAAACCAAAAAGGTGAGGAGGGACGATCGATTGTTGATCAGAGGACCACTGGCTGGTTGGGGGATGGTAACATGGGACCGAAACATGGAAGAGGCACAGGAGGCCTAAGGAACCAGGGCCACAACGTCATCGTGGTACTTTGTCATTTCAACCGCGTGATTTGATTGGCTGTTCAGAGTCACACTAGCCGGGATCAGGAAAGGCCGTAGTGGTCCAGGCCACAGGACCCCCTTCGAGCCCCGCTTCTTCCGATTCAGCCAGCAGCCCCCGGACAGGTTAAGTGCGAAGCCAAAAGAGTA